CACCAAAAGTAACATAGAAGAAAGCAGTTTAAATCATGGGAGGAAAGATCAGACTTACTATTGGGACAGTTTTAATGACACATGTATAATGACAAATCTTATCCTAGTCTTGATGTTAAACTAACAGGGCTCATATCTATTACTAACACATATGAAAAGAGGCAACACAAAAGATAAAATTATCCATGTCACAATAGCGAATCCTTTACAAGAAGGCTTACAATTTGGACTTGGCCCTGAATGCGGAAGATGGCTTGATTAGCCGGTGTTCTGAGGTCGATCACTCTATTATTCAAACGTGTATCCTGATCGGCACCAGCTTTCCCAGCCTGCAACAATTTTGGACACATCAGCTCTTATGAACAGATAAACCACCAGATAAGCATCAGAAGAACACATTTGTACCAGTTCCGACTAATCTCCAAGTCGTAAAAACAGTATAGTACCTTAACATCTGCTTCACTTCGGGCAGCATTCTCCACGATAAGTGGTAACTGTGGCAAGGCATTGTTGACACAGTACGCTTTTCTCACTTGAATTTCGACCTGCAATAATAACATGAGTTAATACTCACAATCAAAATCAAACGAATTGGGAGAAGAAAGGAATCAAAGGAAACAGATTTAACCTGCTGCGTGGATCCCGTCACAGGGTCCTTGGGGAGAACGACGACACCGATAACATCGACAAAGGATTCACTACTAAGCTGCTTGAGGAATTTAATCATGTTGACGCTCACTTTGGTCTCCTCCGATTGTGTAGCCACGCATTGGACCTTGAATCCACTTTGCCTCAAGATCAGAAAACCCAATTTGCTAGATTTATGGCGATACGTTTCCAATCGGCCTCTGATCAGAACCTCTGATCCAACCATCTCTTCCACCAAATCCCTCACATCGGTCCACTTCTTTCCCATCCCCTCAACAGCCTCTATCCATTTACCGGCTTTAGAATCCGCCGTCGACTTTAACTCGGTAAGAGTCACGTCGCCGTAGTTCTCGGAAAACGATTCATCGTCCAGAGATAGAGAAGCAGTCTTACGGGCGGCTTCTTCTTGTTCCATTTTGCGGCGCAACTTTTCCAGCTTCGCGGCTTCCTTCTTTGCCGCTTTCTTACTAATCTTCTCTCCAGATTCCTCCGGCACGGTGGTTGATGACGACATAAGCTCCGGCTCCGACGACATTACGGCTCCTTCGAAGTTTTCGATGACTCAAACCTACAGGTTACAGGAACAGATACAGGCGATGAAACCCTATATCAGTGAGGTTATCGAAACTAGAAAACTCAGCAAAGCCCCTTAATATTTGAAATATTATTCATTTACACCCCACTATTTGAGATAGAGATTTAAACACCTTTTCTCCTACATTTATGTTAAAGACACGCTAGTTTGAACTTTGAACACTTTCAACATTACTAGAAAATGGTATATTATATGTAGTATATATGTATCTAAAAAAAAAAACAATCTATATTATATGGAGACGCTTATGAGTTATGACTTTATCAAGTATCAAAACTAGAAAGCTAACATCATCATACATTTGCTACAATAAATCATGCTACGTAGAAAAGTTTAAGACCATGCATATATGATATACATAATACAGCTTTGTTATAATTCACACAATCTAATTCTTATAGTTTTTGTTTTTTGTGAACAAGATCAAATTCTTATAGTTTTGATAGGGAACATATGAACATGCTCACACATAGATCATTTCCTCACAATATCCTTTGATGTTCACATCTTGAATAACTCTATGCGGTTACTTTAAACAAATCAAACCTCAAACTGTGAGTCACAAATTTGCAATGTTTTCTTCCTTCCGGTTTCTCTGATCAAATACATGGTCGCTATTAAGTATTCAGTGAAACCCATACCGTGTTATGGGGTGGTGTTTATCCAGTTTAAAAACATTCGAAACCAATGAATTTATCAGATATCAGAAGAATCATATGCTTGTTGTATCTATAGGACAATTATGGTAGAAAATAAAAGTGGAAGCTAGGATTTAACAAAATTAGATTTCTAATTAATCTGTGATAATTTTAAGATACTAGTAAAGACGAACTACAAATCAAAACTTTATATAATCAGGCGAATAAAGTAATGTTACAGAAGACAAGCGTGAACAAGAAAAGACTGTTGCTCGTAGCTTTAAAGCTACTACGCGCCGCCTGATACGAAGACCAATCATCCGCTGCGAAATGACACGCTGAGTGGGACACGTGTCCACATGTTACAGCGCGTGTGAAACATTTTCTCTGCGAGAGCGTGTGGCTCGGAAGCTGTCCCAATAAATAAGAAACGAATTTGCCAGCAAAAGGACGGGCCAAAATTGAATAAAAAAATACCCAAAAAAATCAAAAAAAAAAAAAAAGGAAGAAGAAGAAGAGGAAAATCGGAGTGTGGGAAAAGTAAATGGGAAGCGACGACTGACTCTTCTCCCTCCTCCTTCACCACCACCTCTTCTTTAGGTTTCTGTCTTCTTAGCTCTGAAATTTGATCGGAACTAAGCTTTTGTGTTGCGCTTTGATTACTTTGTGGGTTTTTGATTTCTCGATCAGCCCTTCGATCTCTTACTTATCCAGTACTCGAAGTTTATTTCATGTCTTCTCGCTCATATCCACTGGTTTTTTTGGGGCCTATGAAGCTCTAAGGTAAACCATGGGTTCTTCTTCTAGCTTATTCCATCTTTGAATCATCGGATCTGTGTCTACTTTTTGAGTTCGTGGAAAATGAAGCTTCTTTCTGGATTTATTAGTTGCTAGGACCTCAAATTTTTCTTAACATGTGTTATCTTTGATATCTAATTTGGAATTCAACGGTGAAGATGCTACTTTTACCTTGTTTGAGTACTTGCTCTCCTCCTCAGCTGAGTATCAGGGATCTGATCTTAGCTAAATTCTCGAACTTTTTCCATTCTTTTAGTTACATGGATGTTTCTATTTTAGGGCGTAGATAATCCTTAGTTTCGATACAATTTGAGGACAAGATAGATAGGCTTTCATTTGCTTCTATCTTCTTGCTTTGCTCTCAGAGGCAACATTTAAAAATACATTTTGATGATAGTGATTGCTCGATCTGTGCCCCGTACCTGGATGCACGGACAAGCAAAATTATTTATTTATTTTAATCCGAAACAGAAATCTGAATTGTGTTCCTCGTATCTTTTTCTTTGTCCCCTTTATTTACTATGGTATCTCTTTGCTTTAGGTACATGTTGAAGAAGATCTACATGTGATCTGCAATTCATCATACATAACACGTAACCCAAGAATTTAGAAAGGATGCTTGAGGGACCAAAGTTCGATGTGCTCGCTGTCGGCAATCACAACAACGACAACAATTACTATGCCTTTACCAAAGACTTTTATCAAAAGCTCGGTGAAGAAGGTACAAACATGTCCATGGACAGTATGCAGACAAGTAATGCCGGAGGTTCTGTGTCCATGTCTGTTGATAATAGTAGCGTTGGTTCTAGTGATGCTCTTATTGGCCATCCCGGTTTGAAGCCTATGCGCTATGTTCCCTCTCTCTCTGTTGGGCAAAGCGTGTTTCGCCCAGGAAGAGTTACACATGCACTTAACGATGATGCCTTAGCACAAGCATTGATGGATAGTAGCTATCCAACCCAGGGACTGGCGAACTACGAAGAGTGGACGATAGATTTGAGGAAACTTCACATGGGTCCAGCTTTTGCGCAAGGGGCGTTTGGTAAGTTGTACAAGGGGACTTACAATGGAGAAGATGTAGCGATTAAGCTCCTCGAGAGGCCAGAGAGCAGTCCGGAAAAGGCACAAGCCCTGGAACAGCAGTTTCAGCAGGAGGTTTCTATGCTTGCGTATTTGAAGCACCCCAACATCGTTAGGTTTATCGGCGCGTGTATCAAACCAATGGTGTGGTGCATCGTGACTGAGTATGCAAAAGGAGGCTCGGTCAGACAGTTTTTGACTAAGAGACAAAACCGAGCCGTGCCTTTGAAGTTGGCTGTTAAGCAGGCTTTGGATGTTGCCAGAGGTATGGCTTACGTCCACGAGCGCAACTTTATACACCGGGATCTAAAGTCAGATAACCTCCTCATATCAGCTGATCGGTCCATCAAGATTGCTGATTTTGGCGTTGCAAGAATTGAAGTTCAAACAGAAGGGATGACACCAGAGACTGGGACTTACAGATGGATGGCCCCGTAAGTTGATATTGTTTCTTCTATAATATGAATCATTTTTCTCTCCTTGTCCTTGTCCTTTATAACCTTAAGTCTCTGCTGCAAGTTATATATAGACTAAGTTCCTGTCTTTTAACTGATGCAGAGAGATGATCCAGCACAGACCCTACACCCAAAAAGTAGACGTGTATAGTTTTGGAATCGTGCTGTGGGAGTTGATAACAGGTCTTTTACCGTTCCAGAACATGACGGCGGTTCAAGCTGCGTTTGCAGTGGTTAACCGAGGAGTTCGTCCAACAGTCCCAGCGGACTGTCTCCCTGTGCTTGGCGAGATCATGACACGTTGCTGGGATGCGGACCCTGAAGTTCGTCCTTGTTTTGCAGAGATTGTCAATCTTCTCGAGGCGGCTGAAACTGAGATAATGACGACTGTGAGGAAGGCGCGTTTCAGATGCTGCATGACGCAACCAATGACAATCGACTAATCTGTCGTGAAGAAAGAGAGAGGAGAAGAAGAAGAGAAAAGAGGAGTAAACAAAAGGGGAAAGAAGCAAAGAAAAGGCTAAAAAGAGAAAAGAGAGAAAGAGAGGAAGGTAAGAAGGGCTTTAGATATATGTAAGTTTGTGTGTGTATCTATATAATATCCGATTGTATCTCTTTTCCCAAGATAGGAGAAGTAACCCAACCATTTTAGACTACTGATTTTCTAGGTTTTTTGTATTAAGAAAGAAAAAACAAAATAGATGTGCGTGAGACACTGTGACTGTCTGAAGTGTTTGGTTTAGTTTTTCCTTGAATTGATTTCTTCCTGTTCCTGTGGTAGAGATGCATGTATGTCTTTTATCTTCCTATTCTCCTTTCTATGTTCATCATCTTCATTACATCCTGTATCAAGGATTGGTACTCTTTCGATGCGTGACAAGAGAAATCAATCAAATCATGATTAATGAATCGATTACTTTTATAATTAGTGATCTTGGCAAAAAAAATATGTAACTTAGAAGAAGAAAAATACAATTACATATCATCAAAACTTTGGATAGTGATAAACCATCTTAGAGATCAATATAGAGCGTAAAAGAAAATAAGATAAAAAGAAAAGAAAAAACTTAGAAAGGATGAACGTTGTCTAGATAATCCTCTTCACCACTGCTCATAGAATCATCATCATCACCATCATCTTCATTGTCATCGTCTTCATCCTCACCTCCAAACACTCCCAACAAGCCACCACCGTCAAGGAGCATATCTCCTTCTTCATCATCCAAATCGCTCGCACTATCTTCATTGTCATCACTAATGTCATCATCTCCACTGTCGCTATCGTCTCCACCTAGTCCCAGAATCCGGTCCAGGTCATCTTCCTCATCTTCATCGTCTTCATCTTCATCCTCTGTCTCATCATCATCATCTGGATCGGAGTCATCATCTGTTGGTCTCCGTCTGCCAATCTCGTACATTCTGGCCGAGGAAAACATCTCTTCTTGATCTTCCATTGTGATCAGCCCAAGAAAAGAATCCGTTGGTTCGGTGGCGAAGTCGAGAAGACATCGGTCCACAGGTATAGTTGCAATGTCTGAATAGTTGATCGCATCGAGAGTGCGGAAAGCAGCAAACAACGGATGCTTCACACGGCGTGTGTGAACAGCAGACATCACGTCCTCAATGTTTCTCCTCAGCATTGCGTATATAACATCTCCCCTGGAATTGAACGTAATAGCTGTCTGGTCCAGTGATGGTACACTTCGAAGAAGCCTAAAATTTCTCAGATCCCAGACCTCTGAGTTTATGATGACCTGTAATAATAACCAACAAGATACAGATAAGCCAAGACACAGTGGGTCAAATTTTAGCATTACTATATCTAGCTTGAGAGTTAATGTAGCAGGTTGGAGCAGTTGTGAGTTGGGTTCCATTACCTCGTTTCCAGAAGGGTGATAACCACCGCCGCCATAATCACTAAATTGATCAAACCGATTGATATTGTCTGCTTTACGTATGTCCCAGAGAACACCATTCCACAATATCAAATTATCACAAGGGCTGAAGTGCACAAGAGAATAGGGATTACTCCGAGAAGAAGTGACCGTGTCAGTGAGTTTTAAAACAGGACTGCAGGTCTGTACGTCATATACAAGAACATCTTTTGATGATGCTTCACAAGAGAGCGCTGCAAATTGTAGCCCAGAGTTGCTGAATTTTGCAGCCTTGCATCCATCAAAGGAGTGTCTAGGCCCACCAGTTATATAAGACGCGTCCCACAACTGCACATCACTAGAGCTCGAAGAAAGCAACAACTGAGTACCACCAGAGACATATGGCTGAACAAGTGTAACCGGAGCCTGGTGAGCTGAGACACTCTCAAGCAAGCTACCGCTGTTAGCTTCATATATCTTGATTTCTCCAGCATGACTACCGACTGCTAAATGATTAGTACCTCCAAGAAGTGAAATGCATGTGAAGAGTGCAGTCTCATCCCGGCAAGATCTCCAAGATTTAAATCTGCTGAAAACAAATTGACGGTCCCTGCGATTCCCATGGACTCCACCATAGAAACTTTGGAGCTCCCGGGTACCAAGACGGCCAGTGATGTTTAGTGGAGCTTCAAGTAACCGTTTAGGTTCAGGACAGACATGCGGATGTAGGAGAGACACAGGAGGAAGAGTTGTGATTGGAGCCCGGCACTGCCTGTGTTGGTGTTTCAAATACTGAACCACAAGGGAGTCTAGCGATAATCGTTCCGGATTTGAAGGCTGCGAATCACTTGGAAGCCTTAGCTGAGAAGCAGGTGTCATCTGGCCCAGTCTGGAGCTTCCAGGTTGGTTGACATCTACAGCTGAAACTGGAGTTTGGAAACCTGAACCATCCGCAATGGTTGAATTCCTACGCAAGGAAGCCGTGGTTGGACAAGCTGGAGTTCGAGGTCCTAATTCGCCCAAATTGATTCTTTTCACCGAAACTGACAACTCTGGGTCTCTAAGCTCAGTCAATTTCCGTTTTCTCGGTAAGGAAATCGGGGTCTTAAATTGAGCATCAGCATCAACGTCGTTCTTCAGAACTAATTCTGCAGCAGCTTCTGAAGTATCTGCACAAGCAGGATCTGAATTCGAACTGCTATTTATTCTCTGCGTTTGAGGGTCATGGGAGAAAGATTGCTTTCGCGACTGCAAATTCAAGCTGGGTGAAAATGTCAAATGCTTCTTCTTTGCTGATGGAGCTGCATTACCTCTCGAACTAGGATCTTCGTTGTGTGCACTGACTTTGGGTTTGCTGGGAAAAAAACCACCGTTAGCACGGCCAGAGGGCCATTGTTGCTGTGCTACTGGCGAGGACGTCTCCTGTGCTGAGGAAGCCAAATGTTTCTTCTTGGCAGATAGAACTGCCATAGATCTAGAATTGGGATCTTCACCATGTGCACAAACTTTGGGTTTGCTGGTGAAAAATCCACTGTTAGCACGGCCAGAAGGCCATTGTTCCTGAGCTACTGGCGTAGACATCTCCTGTGTATAGGAATATGCAATTGAAGAAGGGGGAGCCAACGAAGGTAGAGGAGTTAACTGAGCCTCTTTTAACAGTGCTGAAGCAGTTTCACCAAGACCTGATGCCTGGAGGTGCTCATGGATAAGCAGCAAAAGCTCCTTAGAATCGTATGTTATAGGTGTTGCTGCTGCAATAGCAGCTCTTTCAATGCGCCGCAATGTTGGAGTAGCAGCATCACTGGCTGTTAGTGTAATCGCATGCCCTGAATTTGTCACTATCTGCAAGCAGATATAAAAACACAATTAAATTTGTCAGCAAAACTTCGACAAAGGAACAAGGAATTAAATAAACACTACTGACTTTTGAAGCACACAAAAAGATCCCCGTAGAGACACATTCAACAAGCAAAACCGATCAATTCAGATGATTACCCCTATTAGCTCAAGCGCCACCTGAGCAAGTTCAGCCTGCCATCTCCCCTGATCTGTTCCACTTGACTGACCACCTGAATCTCGAATAAGTTCTGATAAACTCTTACCAACCTAGAAACCATGCTTGGAAAATTAGTATCTATCGCCTACCAAGCCTGTTCAACTTCATCAGATGTTACTGAGAAATAAAAGATATATGAAGATAACAGCGGAAAGGAAATTGCTATTCTACCTCAAGTTTAGTCAGTATGTGTGCAATTGTATCATCTCTAGCCAGGCCAAGAAGTACTCTGCAAGCGAGCGCTCGTAGGCAATCTGGGCTGGCAGGAGGATTCACATATATTCTGGGCTGAAGAAGTTTTAAGAGAATTTTTATACCGTCGTTCCCACGAACAGCTTCACGTGCTTGACGATAGAACTGCTCCAACTTAGCAGCAAGACCAGCAGAACCAGTTCCTGCTCCTAAGAAAATTCTTCGATCCCCAACCAAACCTGAAGACGCTGGTGCAACAGGAGTTTGTGGAGCATTACCAGTGGACTGAGTACTAGCAGCAACATCGGTAGAGGGACGGGCAGTAGCTTGGCCAGGAACAGGTTGATGACTTTGTGCAGGAGGCGGCTTGTTGCTTAATGATGGTGGTGGGCACACCAGATTGATTAGGACATTTAGTGCAGGCTGTATGATCTTCAATAGCAAAGAAAACATCAAGATGTAAGTATCCATGAATAACAGAATAAAAAGACCAAACCCATATGAATTATTGGATAGAAGCGGTCTGCTGACCTCAGGGTCCACTATGCTGTTGGAGATATTTGCTGCATCCAGAATAACAGCAATGCCAGCACGATTGTTGCTGAGTGTGGCATTCACAATTGCTTTGCGGCCATCAGGTATTGATGTAACGATGTGAAGAACACCAAAAGCATACTGAAGTAGATCATGCAGATAACGGTCTACTGGTGGAGTCTGCGCATGTGACCATAATGTAAATACATGGTAAACAAAACAAGAGCACTTGTGGAGAGTAAAATGCTACATTACCTGACATAGTTCAAGCATGGTAACATGTCCAGAGGAGGCCAAAAAATTATTGATAGCAGGCCACTGGGTTCTCACGAACGTCGGACCCAACTTCCTATCCTTCTGTAACTGAAGGAAGACAGCATCTACAGCTTCATTGCTGATGTCAAGGGGCTTATAGGCTGCCCTTATATTGGGAACGTTCCGCACACCACATCGGCTACTTCTGCTAGGACGGATGGAATCCACAAGCAAAAGAAGATGAGCTCTAAAATATTGGCGCAGAGCAAAACAGGTGTGAAAAGCCATCTGTTTCTCTGAAGACGTCATGACTTCAGGAGCTGATCGGTCAGAATTAGCACCAGTTCTAACTGAGGCTGCATCTTTAAGAATTGCAAGGAGTTTCTGCAAACTATCATGAGCATCAAATGCATCCAAAATGGCTCTGAAGACAAAAGCAGCAGCAAAGAATAAGGCTGAATTTTTTCTGGCTTGATCCTGGGAACACTCTAGAAGTTCGATAGCTAATTTAACCACTTGATGTATGAGATCCGATGGAAGTGCACATACACGTTCCATTATACCCTGAGATAAATTTTGAAGGTAAGACGAGCTGATTAACGAGATCAAAGAGAAGAGAGGCGGACAAAAATTGCATTACAAGCCGGAAAATTTTGCTGTTAGTATTACCTGAAGAGAACCTATGGTGTATAAGCAAGATGAGAGACCATAAAAGGTCTCATTAACCCTTGGAACAGCAAGTAATTTTTGTATGCCACCCCGGTCAACAAACATCGCAGCAAATTTCCGGTGAGCAGCTAGAGCACATATCAACTTCATGACATCAGGTAACAAAGGAGACAGTGTAGAACTATCATTAAATAGGGATGTACGTTCCAGCAGCATAATGCATACGTCAACACCTTTTTCATGGAGTACAGGTCCGAGAACCTCGACATATTCTCCAAGTATCTCAAGGCACTGGATGCAATATTTTTCTTGTAACTGAGCCAACAAGTCGATACTTGGTAGTGAAACTTCTCCAATATCCTCAATTGCAGGCGTTTCCACACAATTCAAATCCGTTGTCTGATCAGTTGTCGTTGCATTAGCGGCATCTATAACTGTACTAGCTGCTCGAGTAGCAGCAGACACAGCAGCTTCTTCACTGCCAGAAGAGTTAAATTCCTGGATAATATAAAAGAAATGAAATCAATATAAACATCAGGTCACCTGTACCAAGGTTCATTAAGGAAATCAAATCAGTAATAGCTAAATCAAAATAAATACATGCCTCTAGTGCAGCAGTTTTGACAAGCTCTGCTGCAGCATCCCCAGCCGCTTTAGCTGCGTCAGGAGGAGCATGGGCAGCTCTAGCTTCAGTTTCAGCAGCTCCAACTGCTCTCTTTACTAGATCAATTATGTTTTTGGTTCCAATTACGCAACCTTGAAAGCACTCATCATTCTCATCTCTTTCTGTTTCCATAATACCAGACTTCATTTTCCCCAGACATATGGTCACATCTTCTGCACTTCGGACATCTGAAATTTTTGATGGATCCCTATCTCTGACAACCAGACGATCTGATCTAGGAGACGCCAAGAGAGCTTCTGTATCAGTTGCACCTTCGTTAACTCTTCCTCTCCCCCTGGATTTTGATCGGTTTAGTCTGTGTCTTGAGGGGTCATCTCTTCCATTATTGTCATCTCCAGGTTTGATTTTAGAATCAACAACACCTGAAACATTAAATCTTTCTCTGCCTTCGAATTCCAATTCGTCTTCAGACCGTACATCAGATTGTCCCATCTCTCTCCCGGAGTCCATCTCAAGAACATGTTCACCTTCAACTGTATTCACAACCTTCCGCACCCTACTTCGACCTTCTTCTTTTGTCTTTACGGACACATGCTTGGCCTCACTAGTGTGAATGGCATCTCTACGACTTGTGCTGGCCTCTCCAATAACTCGTACTCGAAGATAATGCATAAGCTTAGCAGATAGTCCTGATGACAAGACGTCTTCAACTAATTGCCCACGACTTTCAATCAGACAAAACGCAAATATTTTTATCTCAGCTGTGGGCGCCAAAAAAAATAATACAAAAATGGAAAAGAGAAAACAAGTTGAGAATGTTTTATCAGTACCTCACCAGAGAAAGAGCGAGTAGTCCAGTAGAATAAGTCTTTAACATTTCAGGATCTGAGGCTTCTTTCCTGCCAGAGTCTTCACCAGGAAACTTGACTGCCTCTTCCAAGACCCAATTTTTAAAGTTGTCCGTAACAGCATCATCGAAAACATGAGGGTACTGAAAAACAGAATTGCGTTATGAACCAAGCAACGAGCTAATAGTAAGGGAAATGAGCAAGAAGGTCGTAAATTCATACCATCCAAGTAAGCGAACAGTTCATTAGCAACCTTGCGGAGGCTGCCTTTACCGCGGTTGAGTAAGTATTCTCAGATAGAAAAGTTGAGGAAATCAATTCAAAGAACTCATCATTTTCCTGTAAAAATCAAGCAACAAAATAAGAAGAAAGAACCCACCCAAGAAAATACAATGAACAATCTATTAAAAAAAGGCTTACTCGGATTAGATTACACAGCTTGCCACTGTTATGACCACCGCGACCATTTGAGTAGTACCCATTCTCCTCTAAGAACCTGTGAATAAAGGTAGGCGTCAAGCTAAATGCAACTACGAACGAACAAATCAAGAAGAGAGAGTGAGAGTGAGGAAGAAAGGGACATACAGAGACTCCTGAGATTCGAGGAGATGGCTAAGAGCGTGTAAGATAGTAGGATTAGGGTTATTAGCACCGGTGGTGATTTTTTCCATGAGCTTCTGCGCTTTGTCTATAAGCTCGTCATCCACGCTCAGCTCTTCTCCTTCCTGTTGTCCTTCTTCACCAGGGTTAGCTCCGTCTGTTGAATTTTCCATCTCCGCCGTTGCCTCAGTCGCCTCCGCCGCAACAGCCGATTGTTCAACCTCAACCGTCGGATTACGGACATCGGAATCATGCCCTTGCTCGTCCATAATTTCCTTCTTTCCAATGAATAACCCAGATACGGCGATCAATTTAGGCGTTGTGATCACGGACAAGTAGTTCACGGAACAGAACCAAAAAAAAAAAAGATTATGAGAAAACGAAGCTTTAGTTGTGGAGTATGAAACGCAGCAGGGGGGAGGTGGTAGATGGAGACGACAAAGCAGAACCGACTGTGATACTAAAATAACCCGACCCGGTTTTATCACCAAACAAACCCTAACCCATTTTCACGAAATGGGCCTTATTTAGGCCCATATTGTACTGTTTTTATTTACGATGCCATTTATGACCCGGTTAAAATATGGGGCTCCACCCGTGGCTTGACAAGTAATTCTCCCTTGCTGTTAGTCTCCGGTGACTGAACGTTTCCGGGAATGGACGGAGAAGGAGCTTCAGGCGAGTCTTCGTCGGGAAATCAGCTAGAGAATTGGACCGAGTAGGTGTCGCATTTGATCTTACTTTGATTCCGGGCAATCAAATCGATTAAGGATTTGTTTGATTTCTTTTCAGAGAGCAGGATCGGCTGAAGAAGAAACTGATTGCGTACGATGACTTCCCATGGAAGTTATCTTCATCATTGGAACTGCCTCAGGGATCGGAGATGCTAAATTACGTTGGAGGTGTGGACATGAGCTTTTCCAAGGAAGATCCCTCCATCGCCTGTGCTTGTCTCGTCGTTCTCGAGCTACCTTCTCTTCGCGTAGTCCACCATGACTTCTCTCTCCTCCGCCTCCATGTTCCCTATGTCCCTGGATTTCTCGCCTTTCGTGAGGTTTCCGTCTTCTTCTTCGTGTCATCAAGCGATGCTCTGCTATCTTCCAATGCTTCATTAAGTATCTCAGTTCCCAAAATTGGAAATTTTTTTTTTTCATGTTACAGGCTGCGGTTCTCTTGCAGATTCTGCAAAAAATGAGGGATGATCACCATCCTTTCTACCCTCAGGTTTTGACTTTGTCTATAAATTGCTGAACATTGCAATTGGCTTACTCTTAAAGCATGCTATTGCGTTGTCTTTAGATTTTGCTTTTTTTCTCAAAGTCGCTTGCTTTGCTCTTTGGTGAAATACAAAGGTACTGATGGTGGATGGAAATGGAATACTTCATCCACGAGGTGACACAGACTTTCTTCGTTTACCTTAGTTTTTTTGTTGCATCTCAAGCTCTGTAATTTATGGGGTCGAATCTAAAATTTGTGTTCTAGGATTTGGCCTGGCGTGTCACTTAGGTGTTCTTGCTGACATTCCTACCATTGGGGTCGGGAAAAACGTACGATATTCTTAGAATCTCTCTTTAAAACGGTTTGATTTGCGCCAATCAGTTTTTGTTTTGCCTAAATTTGCATTTGATCATTAATGTTGAATGCATGGTTTGTAATTTCAGCTGCATCATGTGGATGGTCTGAACCAATCTGAGGTTAGACAGTCGCTACAGCTCAAAGAAAACCAGGATAAGCAAGTTATCACTTTGGTAGGGAACTCTGGATTTACGTGGGGAGTAGTAAGTGACTTTTCTTGAACATTTGTCAATATGCTGTCGTGTCTCGTTGGTAATACCTCTTTCTACTAGTATCAGACTTTCCAACGAAACTTTTCCCTAGTTGTGGTTTGAATAATCTTATTTGAGAAAGTGAATTGTGAATTTATGGTCGAAGTTCCGCAAATTCTTTCCAACAGGCATTTAGGCCAATTCTGAGTTCTCTGAGGCCCATATACGTTTCGGTTGGCCATCGCACATCGCTTGACTCTGCGGTTAAGATTGTCAAGATGACCTGCAAGTACCGTGTTCCGGAACCTATTAGACAGGTAACGTATATGCTGCATTGTGATATATGCCAAAAACCCGAAAGGTATCCTTTAGATTACTGTTGAAAGTGAAAAGCATACCATCTACTATGTGTAGGCAGATATAAGATCAAGAGCATATCTCCAAAAGCATCAACTTTGTCTTTTAAAAGAACTGGGACCACGCGATAAGGGTAACTTTTGATGTTTCCTTCACTATTATAAATCTTGTATTGTTTTGAAGCACTGTACGGTAGTTCACATGTCCATTTGCTTTTTTTTTTTTGTGTGTCTCGCAGACTGAACACTAGTCAGTAAAACAACCAAAGAATGCTGGGAAAACTATTCCATATTAAACAGGATTCTGCAATGTCTTTACCCAATATTATTCACTGGTGGACAGTTTCACGGCCCTGGAGACCGGGCAGTAAGTTTCTCCTTTGTTTATCTCATTGACTCTAACCGAGAACGGAGGAGTTTTGTTGTATATTGGTTGTATAGCGTCTTGGTATTTTGGTTGTTTCTCTTAAAAGAGTTTGGGGTTCTCCACGTCAAATCCGCTGGTTATTTGGTTCGGTATTTCTCTTGGTTCATCATCTGTAACTTGTATCTCATTCAGTAATAACTAATAAAGCAGACTCATTTCTAATGTTTTATGGTGGACAGATTCATAGCATTGAAGTCTCGTGTACTGCTCTTTTGCAGCAAACATGCTTAACTAGTAAGGTTGTAATATTGAAGATGAATGAAAATTCCTGTTTGTCTTTAACGGCTCATTTGCATAATGACAGACGAGATTTGGGTCATTATGAGCTTCCTTTAGTACAAACAAGAAAAGCAAAGTATAAACGGTGAACACCAAACAGCTCCCGAGAAACAAGAGATCAAACAGGTAAGAAATACATAAATCTGAGTGTATCTTTATAGTTTCACCAATAAACACCAAAGTTTTGCCACAAAAAAAAAAAGAAATAATCAAACCCATCGAAATTTCTTCAGTATTCACAGAACAATATACAGACACATCGAGATGAGTAGCAACACTGCCATTGATCGTGTTAAAGGCATCCTGGCACTTGCTTCACAATCTGAAGAATCTGACTTGATCATTATCTTGAATTTGCAACTCCCAACAGAAGGATCCCTGGCACTGATCACAGATAGACCCGGGAACTTGCACGCACTGTCAAGCTGATCACTTACCTGGTAATAGCTATTGAACGCATACGAAACATTCTGTGCTAGGTTCAGGTTACCACAAGAGGAGCCATACCCAAGACTGGTGCAATCAGCATGGTCACAAGCATAGCTCACGCTCGGTCCTAGTTGAGGATCCTGAAGATTAGCTGATGGAGCAAGAATACACCATTTCTTTGCCATATGCTGCACATCCTTAGCCGGGATCAGCCCATTACCGTTTCCAAGACTGAGCTGATACTTAGGCTGTCCATCAATGTAAAAAATCCCCCAATGTCTCTCAAAGTTTCCTGGCTGAATGCTTTTAGCATCTTCATCGATAAGACTGAACAAGTAAGCATCCATTGGGCCAGGTCTCATAGGTGTTCCTTTACCAGCTTTTTGACGGTTCATAAACCCTTGATTGTACCGCCTCGCGTACTGCATGTTTGCGTTTTTATCTCCATCCGTTGGCCACCCAACTTCCCCAACAATAATAGACAAGTTCCCAAATCCATTCTTCTGCAACGACCACGCGAGTGTATCGTAGTTTGCATCAAGAACATTGTCGTAGATTCTTCCATTGTCGTTTATAGGAGTACCTGTTCCATCAAAGAAAGCAAACTCCACTGGGAAATTCGGGTCCTCGTAGAGACTGATGAAAGGGTAGATGTTGATAGTGAATGGAGCTTGGTTATCACTCAGAAACTTAACGATCTCGATCATGAGATCCCTGATATCAGGCCTGAAATCTCCATCCGAAGGCAGATTAGACGCACTTTGATACACATCCGCGTTAAGCGGCACTGTGACTTTCACCTGAGTAGCTAGACCGGCTTTGATGAGTGCAGATTGTATATTCTGAAGAGCAGGAAGAGTTATGCTCTCAAATGTTTTGTTGAATGCCTTTAGGAAAGGCTCATTCCCAACTGCCACATACCTAATTTAAAACACACATGAAACACATTTTGTAACTTTTTGAATCTCTTTGCTTAGGATCAAAAATTACCTTTGAAAGTTTCAGTTTTTTTGCTCATCAACTGTAATCAAAATCTTAAGATTGAAACTTTCAAGTTCTATTAGAATCTAAATCATCCCTTTTAACTTCAACTCGAGCTCTTGACAGAAACTAACAGAGAGAATATGCTGCTTATATGAGATACAAGCACGAACCTGATATCGACGCCATTGGAGGAGACATGAGCAGACACATTCTGAGAAACCCATCTCTCTGCGGCTGCAACGCTTCCAGCTAAAGGAGCAAGTAAGTCGTTAGGGATTCCGACCATAACCTGAATCCCCGACCGACTTAAAGCTCTGAGAATCTTCGTGTCGGCCTCGAAAAGTTTAACCTTTTGGATTCCGTTTTCACGGAGAAGCCTCACCACCGTCGCCGGAGGTAGCGGATGACTCGCCTGTGAGCCCCAGTTCACACCAATCCCTTCGACTTCGAAAGACAAGCTTCCGTACAACAAAATGATTACAAAAGAGACAGTAAAAACACTTTTGGACAACATCGGAATCGAAAGATAAATCGTAAACACCCTATACCCAAAAACTCAACAACAACAACAACAACAACAACAACAACAACAAAAATCTGAACTTTTTGGATAAAAACGAGCTCAGATGTTAAGACTCAGTGAAGTTGGAAACTTCGGTTTGAAGAAGAACAGAGCTGGGTTTTGGCTATTTCAATCAGCTAAGAACATCTATATATTACTTTTTTAATTCACTAGGGTGTGTTTGGAGAAGAAGAAGGAAGAGGTTTCGAGAATTAATAAGAATGAAAATAGGTGAAATACGCGAGACTTGAGAATGTTTACTTGTTTTCTTTTCTTTGTAGAAATCGAACATAAACGAAAATGGCTTTTTATTGTCTGTCCCAAAGCCTGAAAGGTGATGTGTATGCTTTGATTGGTACCCCAGTCTTAAATTAGCAGAATATTATGAAAAATTAAAACAAGAATAAAGAAACTAAAAGAGAAACTTTTAATGTTTAAGTTTCCACTAGGTGTTGGTCTACTTCGTAGCTGTTGCTAATCACAATACCACTCAATGGTATAAAGTTATTATTGTATACGGCTAATATGATCACTTTAATTGATCAAAATTTTGATAATTTTAGTATAAAATCGTTATCTTAAGTAATTTGTAAACCTAATCAATGAATTTTGTCAGTGTTAGATAATTATTAACCACTGCTAAATAAGATTTTGCTTGAAGTGAGGCAGGGCATGTGGGTGAGGTCAAGCAGAGGTGTAAGGCGAAAAAAGAAAAAAGAATCTTTAAAAGATTGAGGAGCAGTGTTCTGTGATGCTCTTGGAATTAAATTTAAATGAAATATGAAATTAATTTAAAAATATTATTATTATTATTATTATTATTATGTTTGTAGTGAAAAGAATAGTGAAACAGAGAATGAAAGAGGTCGGCACTCGACAGGTACACGGTTGGTGAAGAAACATTTATTCTCCTCTCACTCAAGCGGCTCTCGTTTTCCCTCCTTATCGTATTATTCAGCCCATTTTTGGCCCATTTATAATACTCAAGAGCTAAATTGCAAACGTTTTCTTAGACCATGTCCATCAGGATTTAAGATGAAGTTTTTGGCACAGGTTTTTATGTAAAAATGAATTAAAGAAAAGAAAAAAAAGTATAATTTCTATGAACCGATTCTTCCCGACGAGGTTGATGATACCGTCTCTTCGCCACGTGTTAGTGTTATATTGGCCATAATTTTTTTTTTACGCTCTTTTCCTGTGATATTTCCTCCTCGACATTTCTTTGCTTCTTGGTTTTGGTCGACGATTTTCTCCTCTTAAGCCGACGATTTCTTTACCAAATCGGAGAGTTTGAAGATAAAATCGAAAGCTTCAGGTTTTTATCCTACCCCTTTTTTCATGTGACCCCAAATTTCTCGCACGAACCCTAGAAATTCCCCCAAAAATGTATATGTGTCCATGTTCATAAACTATCTCCATATGTTTCCGAAATCAATCATCTCTATCTTTGATTTCGTTGTAGTACGTCTTGAGAATGTTATACTCTTCGATCGTTAGAAAGATGCAAATCTTGATATTTACGTCGTTTGTGAGACATGGTGGCACTGAATTCTTATCATTATTGCTGTCATCTAAACCATTGTGGCTGTTCAATCTCATAATGATGTTAAGAGTTTTGGTTATAGCTTGTGCTGAATTATCGAATTTCAATTGAGATTAAGTTGATATATATACTACCTCTGATTGAAAAATCAGTTATACAGAATTTTGCAGAACAAAATGATAAGTCCCGCATTTCCGTCATTGTGATATCTGTATCAGCTCCTTTGGAGTCGTTCATGGGTTTAGTCAAAATTGATTCTTAATGCAACTTGAGTTATTTCAGTGACATAAAACCTGTCTTGTGCCCTTGTGAAAATTTGCAGCTCCTTTTTATAAGTGGTTTCTTATGTTTTTGTCTTTAGTCGGTTATATACTCTGTATGCATGTCGATTACATATAACACAGATTCACATGAGTAATTGTTGGATGCTTATAAAAATCTCATGGATTATTGCAGGCTCATCTATGCCGGAAAATAGCTAGCTGATGACAAAACGACAAAGGACTACAACATAGAGGGAGGCTCTGTTTTTCATCTGGTTCTTGCTCTTAGGGGTGGTTTTAGTCTTCTCTGAGATGTAATTCTCTCTTTTATCTAAGTTTATTTGCTCCAAGAGTTTCCTTTCTATGGCTGGTTGAGTTCATGAGAAAAAAGTGAATGCAATTTGGATATATGGTGGTGCTTTAAATACTATTGCTGGTTTTTCAGTTGGGTTTGAATCATTTTACCAATAATAGGTAACAGGACTATGCACTGACCTCTTGATGATGTTGTTGTTGAGTGTTGAAAACATTACGAGAGACATTACTTTTGCTAAAATCTTATTTAAGTCAGAGTCTTTGAATATGTTCATGGTTCTTGTTCTGGATTCAATGATTACTTATCAGGCTCGTTTTGTTAGACTTTGTGTGACTGTATGTATACCTTTAGTGATATTATGTGAATGGCTCAGACTTTGTGTGACTGTATGTATACCGATGATGTCTTGTTCGTGAACTTCTTCTCACATAATGACAAACTCTTGGCTTCTTTTTCTTTCTGAAATATTAAACTTGGTATGTGCTACACATCCATCTTTTAAGTCCCAGCAAAAAATTTTATTTTAAAGAACTCTTAAATGGAGTTCACTAATGGAGGATCAAAATAATAACAGGTTCATTACTGTTCATAATTGCAAAAAAAAATATATATATAAAATTCTAGTGAACCCCATAGAGGGGTTCACTAATGTACATGTTGTTACTTCTTTACAGAAAGGGAATGGAAAAGATTACAAATTAAACTTTCTCTATGTTTAGAATTTCCACATGGGAAAATGAAATAAAACCCTAGAACAATATTCAAAGAAATCTTACTAATTGTTGGTTGATTTTGAACTGAATCTTGACATAGCATTATCGCTTGAACACACACACCAATTTATTAACTCGAACCAAAATCAACTAAATCTGAATTTTTAACCAACGCCGGATAAATAGTATATTGGAATTGTATGTTAGGAATTCAACATCAGAAACTAACATGAAATCTTGGACATGCATACGCCCCCAATCCAAGCCCATGAAACTTTTTAATTACAAGGTGCACAAGTTTCTTTTTTTTTCATATTGAAGCACTGAACAGCATATTTAAAATGACTTAGACATCCAATTTGTGAAATTTACCATTATGACAACTTAAAATGGCAATGATATCTTGTTTTGAAATCAACTATACAATGTCTTTACTCATGATATTGTTCAATAGTGGACATATATATTCACCGCGCGACATTGCAATGGCTTTCTTCATTCTCAACAACGATATCAGTCATCAGACATTGATTTCTCTGTTCAAGTAATGCTTTCAGTTCTTACACGTGTGAGCTAGCAAACCTTACCAACTTGCATGCAATGCAAAGATAGAAGAAAGGAACTATATACAAATAGATTAACTCAATAAATTAATCAAACGACAACTCATGTCTAAAGATAAAAACAGAGTCAAAAACAGAATCAAAGAAATAAAAGAGGACTAGTTTCTTTCTTTCCTTTTTCGACTCACTTGCTGGATTTGAACCAAACTTGGAACATAACTGAAAATCTTTGGGCACCATGAAACCTGTGTAGTTTCTACATGAAAAGGGAATTCTGTGTGATAATTATCAATAACATATACCATCCGCTTGCTAATTCGATCACGTCTTTCAACACAGCACACAACCACTTTCTTCTCTTCGTCGATCACAAAACTTGTGGGAATATAATACAAATTTCTCATGTGATGAACAGGTATATCAAATGTAAAGGATTTGCTCCACACAGCTTCAGTACCAATATTGTTAGTCACCCACAAGTCCATCTTTGATGAGATCCGATGTAACACTAAAAGTTGTTCTTCTCGAGCAACTGATAGAGCCATCAGACCCATCTGACCACGATACTGATGAATCATTGGAAGACTCACACGTCCTATAAATCTCTCTCTTGTAAAATCAAAACTTGCTAAGAATCTAGAGCTGTCCGTTTCATCAAAAGCAAGCCAGTAAGTATTTCCCTTCAAAGACACAGCCGTTTTTGTACTTATGAAGCAGTTGAAAGCCACGACATCAACAAGCACCCTCCATGAATCAGAGCTAAAGTCATAAATCTCATACCCAACACAGTTTTTTCTTTGTTGGTAATACCTCAAAATTTTGAAGCTAAGGCAAAATTTGTTGTTTTCGTAACCTAGAGAATACTTAGACCATCCCTTGAAATCAATTTTGGGTTGGATCCATCTGGTTTCCCCCAAACACGGATTCCAAACAACGAGTTCACATGGGGTGATGGTGCATAACAACAAACCGCCGCAGTGAAAAACTTCTCTTACTTTTTCTGAATCAGATAAATGAGTAATATTCTTTAATCCAAGTGGAACCTTAAACTCTATAGAAGATAGATCAGCGACGTTGAGACTGTTGCTTACTGAGAAAGTTATTAATTCCGTCAACATCACTAATAGAATCAGGGACTGCTTTGGAGCTTTACCAGAGTTCTTTTCGGTGAATCTTCTGTCTTTGAATAAAGCCTTCCATCGTTTACAAATAGATCGAAATCGTTTCAGAATATGTGGCTGGAACCCTAGAGAGTATTTCTTCTACCAACTCGGACGGAAGATCAGACATTATCACTGTAATCTTGCAAAACAACTTTGGGTGTAGAAATTAGGGTTTTGGTTTTTTTTTTCACGTTTGCCTTCAACCATTCTTATCTTATTATACAAGAAACGATTTATCCTTATGTGGATTTTTTTTTGTTAATTTTGTTCTTCTTTTTGTAATCTACGTTGTAAAAGGAAAGAAGCATATGTGAGAAATTAATAATGGTATATTATCACCAAAAAAAAAAAATTGAGGCCAAGGGCACAGATCAGGGCGCATATATGAGCCGGTATTATGATCACCATATTTGTATCCAAGTTAGCTATGTTCTTGTTGTTGCTGCTAGAGCCTTCTAGGAATCTAGGGTTTGCACCAGTAGCTAAAATTCGTAGGGGTTGCTTGCCTCTCAATTAAAAACCTGGCCATATGTAAACGCTTCAGAAACACTATACGGAAATCTTATTAACTCACCTTCAAAGTTATTATTATTATTACTCTACGTTGTGTTCTAACCTTTGATTCCAGTCTGAAACTCAAAGACCATATACTGTAGTCCTTTCTTGATTAACCCATTGAGTTATCAGAGCTCCTTTTTTGTTCCCAAATTTGTTTCTTTGAAATACAAAGCTTTTCTAAAGACAAAGGAAAATAAAATTAGTAGTAATACACGTTTCATATGATTTTTCATGTTGTCTGAAGTGGGTTCGAATGAGGTAAACAATTGGTGAGAATCTAATCTAGTGTATGAAGAACCGGTTCGATTTTTGGGGAGCGATACTTAACATGCATTCAAGAAACCTCGGAACGATATGATGACATAAAATTTATTTCTGATGTTTTTGCTTTCAATTATTTTATAATATTTTTGTTTTGTTTCAATTCGATTCATTTAACCAAGCCGAAAAGAAAACAAATGAAGTCAAACCAAAATCATTTTATCCACTCGATGATTACAAAACTTATAGTCTAAGAAGAAAGTAGAAGACCTGTCGTTTTTCCCGAGAGACAACAAAGGCCACTTGACCAAAAACAAAACTAAGGGTGAGAAGAGAAAGTGACCGGTTGGTTCGATTTGATTTATTTGTGTTTTGGATTAAAACTTAGAAAAAACATCATTAAAAATGAAATAGACCAGGAGTACAAGAGAGAATAAAGAGAAGAGAGCATCTAATGGTGTGGCCAGTTTTGGTTGATAGACTAGTTACTTTTGTGTGATTCACGATCGTCCACCGACCGAATAACGCATCCAGCGATCCTGATTCTCTTTTCTTGATAAGCTTTTAATTCTCTTATTATTATAAACAAACCAAAAGACGGTCTTTTTGGATAGATGTCAATCCTTCTATAAGAGTTTGAAAATACGTAATTTATATTTTTAAAACAAAAATGGTTAGTTCTATGTGCTAAATATTTGAATGAAATATAAAGATGATTAAGAACTATATTTACATAACGAATTTCAAAGTTAGATATGGTTTTGCGAAATCATTTACATACCGATTTGTTTATTGTGTTTGTTTGGATTTGACACTACGAGTTTATGTGTGATGATAATGGGCATTTTCATTTAATGATAAAAACAGGACGAAGATGTCCGTTGAACCGAACAATAATCAGAATGTAAACTCAATGAATGATTTACTGAAACAAAAAAAAATTACAATAGTTAAGAAGTTTGTAAATATGAAAATGAAAACAGTAGGGGTAAGATATTTGCTGTTGATTCTTTCATATCGTCCCGAGATCTTTGCATAACGCGTTCTCTTCTACCGGAGCTCGATCCTTTGTAATCCCGTGAAATTCGCTCTTTTGATTGACTCTTGGGTCTCTTAGTGGGCCGAACTTCGACGATCTAAAGATTATAACTTTTCTAGACTGAACTTGGAATGAAGCCCAATATGAGCCTTTATGCAGTTTTTGGTCATATCAACAAAACATCATGGATCAGCATCTATCATAATGGTTAACAGAATCTTTAATGAGCCCAACAGAATCTTGTTGTTGAAATATCGAATCTTTTTTTTATAATCTATTCATATCTGCGGTAAAAAGTAAATAATTTAATTTTGAAAGGTTAACAGAGAATTTTTAAGATTTTTAAAGAGCCCAACACAACACTCGTGAATGCGGAGACTTATTAGGCTCAACCGAATTATCAGTGTAAGTGGACAAGTTATCTTTAAACCCAATCTAATAAAATCAAACAAACCATATCCTCCAATTTTCCCCTCTCTCTCTGAAGCCAGAAATCTTCAATCGCCAGATTCGTCGTCTCGGTGAGTATTTTTTCTTCTTTCAACTTTTTTCTGCTTTTGATGATGGCTTGATTTCTATTTCGAGGGAAAATTTTCCTGTCTTTTTTTTTTTTTCTGTTTTGAGGAAATCGAGTTTTAATAACTCTGTGATCGGGTATAGGGTTGACGGAGAAGAAGAGAAGATATGGCGGTTACTATGAAACATATGTCGTTAATCGTCTCTTTGTTTGGCGTCCTCTCGTTTGTTCTTGGAGTGATCGCGGAGAATAAGAAGGTAAAAAAAGTCAACTTCCTGTTTGTTCGTCTTCTCCTTTTGATTGTCAAATAAACTTCCTGAGAAAACTTTATATTTCGTGTACATAGTCACTTGATTTCCTGTTTTTTTATGGGATGATTTCGCTTGCTTCTTTTGCCTTATCCTTTGTTCATGTTACTGAATTGGGGAAGTTAGATTGGTTCTTGAATTTGTTTTGAGTTGTATGTATCAAACAGTAAGCCCCAGCACTATTGTTGTTACAGCTTTATAATTATAGATCCTGTTGATTTGGTGTTCATACCGAATGGAAGATGTTAGATTTGTTTTAATAACAGGGAAATCGCTCCGAAATTCTTAGAGCAGCATTTAACAGTGATTATATGCACTTTGTCTCAGCTTCATAACAATATATCTAATGATGGAGAAAGCAATTGTTTGATATTTATTTTGATGGTCTACTGAAACCATAACGAAATCTTGCGCCTTGAACAGTAGCTGCTTTTTCATATGACTATTTTACACTCAGAGTTTCTTCTTCGTAATTGTGATCTGATTGTGAGCTTTGTTTATCTTCTTTGGTTTATTTATCATTAGCCTGCGTCTGGGACTCCAATAAACGGAAAGGGAGTGATTATCTGCAAATATCCATCTGATCCAACTGTTGCCTTGGGATACCTTTCTGCTGCTTTTCTCCTTGCCTGCACTGTAGCAGGATACAAATCCTTGTTCATCTCTTACAAGGGAAAGTCTGTTCCTAACTCTGTCTTGTTTAAAAGCACCAGCTTCTCTGTGTTCTTCAACATTGCCTTGTAAGCATACTCTCTCCTTTTCAGTCTCATTTTTTTATTTCAGCAATACACATTTGAAAAACCCCAGTCTTTCGTGGTGTAGAATTTTGGTTCTATGAAAAGAGTTTTTTTTTTTTGTGGCTTATGGTTTTGTTTTGTAGGATAACATCTGGATTGGCATTGTCTCTATTGCTATGGCCAACCATTACAGAGCAGCTTCACTTGACCCGTAATGTCCATCGGAACTTAGAGACCAGTTGCCCCACGGCTAAGACCGGTCTGCTTGGTGGAGGTGCCTTTGTGTCATTGGACTCATGCCTTTTCTGGTTGGTCGCTCTGATGCTCGCTGATAACGCCCGTGAAGACCATTTCGATGAAGTTGAAAACAGAAACATCGATGGGAACTCTTCCTCCAGGGATGTTAATCTCAAGATTGATGCTTGAGATATTGATTTGCTTATTGCTATTGGGTTTAACCAGGGTTTTTAATATTTTCTGCTTGTTTGATTAGGAAAATAAGAAATCGTTTCTTCTGTTTTTCTTATATATATATTTTTTTTTTTTTAGTTTGATTTTAAAGATGCTATGAACCTTCTCTGAGCAGCATTGATCCACTTGTCATTCTTAAGTTGTATATATCTACTCAGATTCTTGATTAAATATTATTTTGGATTTGGGTTTTATCTGTTACTGTTTCACTATTTTTAAGGGGAAATGTCTCCGCTGAAATAAGTATTTTACGAAAAATCCTCCAAATCACACCAGTTAACATTTTACTAATATTAATTTAATTATATAAGAATAGCTTAAATTTTATATTTTTTTAGTAAAATATTGGTTTTAAATTGTATAGATTTTGGAAAAAAAAAATTGTATAGATTAAAAATCAAATTTTATAATTCTGATATCAAAATTTTGTAAACCCATCCTCTCACTTCACACTGATCTTATCAAATTAAACAACTTCAATAATTTGATCAAGATCTCTTAGGATTTTTTTTTACTCGGTGTGTTAACATTTTACTAATATTAATTTAATTATATAAGAATAGCTTAAATTTTATATTTTTTAGTAAAATATTGGTTTTAAATCATATATATTATAAGCAAAGTAAAAATTTCGTTTAAAACTCTCTCATTTAATCTCAGGGTGGTTAATTACTTTTTACCCCTCCTTAAATTATTTTGAATTAATTTTTATAAAAATATATATTAAAAAACGAAAATAATGGTTTAAATTAAGTTAACAAATCATTATCATACCGAATATTAAAAAAAAACCAAAAACAATGGTTTAAGGTTTAAAAAACAAATATCTGGTGGCTAATTACCCTTTACCCCTCCTTAAATTAGTTTAAATTAATTTTTATAAAAAATATATTAAAAAAAAGGAAATAATGGTTTAAATTAAGTTAACAAACCATTATCATACCGTATATTAAAAAAAATAAACCAAAAACAATGGTTACGAAAATAATGGTTTAAATTAAGTTAACAAACCATTATCATACCGTATATTAAAAAAAAAACAAAAACAATGGTTTAGGGTTTAAAAAACAAATACCTGGTGGCTAATTACCCTTTACCCCTCTTTAAATTAGTTTAAATTAATTTTTATAAAAATATATATTAAAAAAACGAAAATAATGGTTTAAATTAAGTTAACAAACCATTATCATACCGTATATTAAAAAAAATAAACCAAAAACAATGGTTTAGGGTTTAAAAAACAAATACATTTCTTTTAAAGAGACTGCAGAGTAAAGTATCTGTGATTCTTCTGAATACTAAACTTTCCTGAAGGGAAACAACGATTGTATCAGGATTTCTTCTGGTATTGTTCTCTTTTAAATAAAGCCATACAAGTGTTGCAAGTTGCAGCCGAAGTTATTAATTTTCAGACAATTTTTCTTTCGATTCGATGCCAAGATTCAGGTTTTTTTTTAAAGCTTGTCTTGGACCAGTTTGACTGCCGAGAAAACTGTGAAAGGAGAAAAAAAGAAGTGATTTGGGATTTCTTTAAAGCCAAGGCGAGAGACAAGACGCCAATAGGTTAAATTACGCAAATGATCTCTAAATCATTTTGCAAGCTTATAAGCTTCTAACAGAGGACAAGCTAGCGTATCTTCTGGGTTTCATATTTAGCCACATAGTTGATCTGACAGTTTTTTCAGGTTTTGTCGAGAAACCAAGCTTCTGTAATCATACGATCAAATCAAGAGGAATAAAAGGAAAAGCTTTGGTTGAATCAGAAATTAGCTTCGGTTTCCAAAGTTGATCAATAACCCATCAGAGAAAAAGAGTTAAAAAAAAATTCAAATAGAGATGTTAACAAAATTGGTTGAACAAAAAGAAAACTTTCAACTGTTCAACATTCAAATTAAGAGAATATATTTTTTTTCCCACTTGGTGGGCGTCTTTTGACAAACAAGAGAGAGCGAGAGTGATATATTAAATTGTGTGTCTTTTCTATTGATGACTGACAAAACCATTAGTTTTCATGGAGTATTTTCAGCTGGGAAAATGCAAAAAAAAAGTGGGAGACACTAGAGAGGGAGAGAGATAGATGGTCGAAAAATAAGTAAAAGTGGAAGTTTTATAGCCACAAAGTCGTGGCCTTAAGCTCCATGGGAGGGAAGAAGAATGAAGAACTTAGAGGTAATCAGTGAATCTTTTCTCTGGCCAATTAGAGGTGATCAGTGTATCATACTAAGGAGACTTGGTTCCCAAGGCAAATGGAAATAGCCAAAGCTTCCACTTTCCTTCCTGGTTGCTAGAGATATTTGTAGCCGATATTTAACAATGTGGAACGATTAAAAACATATGTCCAGTTCTAATTATTTGGCTAATCTATTATATGATTGATATATTGTATACGTCTTCTATAAAAAGTTTTTTAGTTTGCATGATGATATATGTAAAGGAAGGAAGAAGAGTGTTGTGGTGCACTTTTTCTATTAATATATAGGTTCATCTTTTTCTATTAAAATACCCAAATTAAAATGAAATCCAAGCTAAACTATAGGGAAGGTTTATCTTTTTTTTTATTAATATGTTTGGAATTACAAAAAATATCTCTAAAACATTAAAAAGAAAATAAAGTATAAGAAATCGAAGAAGAAAGAAAACCTAGCAAATTTTGCCACAAATAGCAACCTTAGACGTTGGCAGCCTGATTGGATTCGGTTGCGACATATTACTTTGGTCGAGTGAATTTCATGGACAACAAAGATGGTTTGGATGTGGTAACATGAATCTGTTTTTGGTATTTTAGGTTACATTTAGTAGAATTATATGTACACGTGATAGGAAAGGTTACCTAGCTTTACAGTGGGTCTTGTGTTTAACTACATAACTTTTGAGGAAATTGTTTTAAAAGTTTGTGTGAGAGGGAGGAAGAGAGAAAGACGTAAAGAGAGAATTAAAAGCCTTTAAAGACATATAGATCTGGATAGACAGAGTGAGTGATGGAGGGAATGAGTGAGAGAGAGAGGGATATAGGGAATGAGTGAGAGAGAGAGAGATGGAGGGAATGAGTGAGGGAGAGGGAAAGAGGGAGCAATGGAGAGAGGGAGAGAAAGATAGGTGAAGCGCAAAAAGGAAAATACATGAAAGACAATGAAGACAAAGTAGAAGAAGGTAAAAATGAGGAGAAATACAAGAAAAAAAGACAAAGACAACAAATAAGAAAAATCAAACGGTATAAAATGAGGAAAGAAAGAACACGAAGAAGTCACATTTATCTTAATTTAGTTGGTTATAGGTTTCATACACTTATTTACTATTATTTTTTGGATTTTTAGTTTTGGATGGTGTTTACTTTTTATGATTAGTTATGTTTTTGATTTCATATGTCTTAAATGAGTTGTTCTAATTTTTTTTGGTTTACAACTTTTAAAATATTTTTAACGTTTTTGAAACTTTTCGGCCTGCGCAACGCGCGGGCTAAACACCTAGTTATATAGATTTTGAACAAAAAAAATTGTATAGATTAAAAATCAAATTTTATAATTCTGATATCAAAATTTTGTAAACCCATCCTCTCACTTCACACTGATCTTATCAAATTAAACAACTTCAATAATTTGATCAAGATCTCTTAGGATTTTTTTTTACTCGGTGTGTTATTCTGAAAAATTATCGGTTTGCGCTGGGGCATTTGTAACAAAGCGTAAATGGGCCTTTACATACCATATCAGAAAGACCATTAGAAAAGCCCGATATAAACTGCACATCTGTAAAATTAAACCCTCCCAAAACCCTTTCTTCTTCGAGGAAAGATTCATTTCCAGCTTCAGTTCCTTCACTTCTTGTTTGCTCGATAGAGAGAAGAGAGTAGAGATGCCGCTCGGAGAGAGAGGAGGATGGGAGAGGAGCGAATCCAGGTACTGCGGCGTTGAGACTGATTTCTCCGACGATGTTCCTTCTCTGCTCTCCTTCCACATCTCTACCGGCGGATTTGACTATGTTCTTGCTCCTCTGGTTTGTTTATCTCTTACTATTTCTTCCTCCCGATCTCATAGCCATGTCTATTATTCTTGTGGAAATGGCGATTTCAACTTTCTTTCTCCCTGATAGAGTTTCCTTTTCGCTCTTTGTGAAATGTTGTTACGCAGATGAACCCTTCGTATAGGCCGAGCTTGGTGGAAGGAAACGGTTCGGATACTCAGGTTCTTCCAGTGTCTGGCTCTGACTTAGTCTTGGCACCTTCTCAGTGGAGCAGTCATGTCGTTGGTAGGATTCTCTTTGCTTCTCACTGTGCTCTTTTGTATTGGTTATGAATGATGTGTTTTGATTAGTCGTAATTCTCATTCTTTAGGAAAAATTAGTTCGTGGATTGACTTGGATTCTGAAGATGAGGTCTTGCGAATAGATTCAGAAACCACACTGAAGCAAGAAATAGCTTGGGCTACACATCTCTCCTTACAGGTGCTTGTAATTCCATGGATTTATGCCCTTTTGTCTTCTTTGCCGATCTTTGTTGTCATTGGCTCTGATTCTTCTCCTGCGTTAGATTGAATTGCGCCTTGCTAATGTTTGTAATTTGTTGCAGGCATGCCTTCTTCCTACTCCTAAAGGAACCTCGTGTGCGAATTATGCCCGATGTGTGAACCAGATCTTACAAGGGCTGACTAACTTGCAGGTGATTTACGAGTTTCTTGCTTTCTGTCAAGCTTTATTGAAGATGAGTCTTTTCTTTAAAAGAGCATCTTCGATCAAGCTCTAACTTTTTTCTCCCCTCTTCTTTCTTTTATTTATTTAAATGTCATTCTGCTATGAAGTTATGGCTGAGGGTTCCACTGGTGAAGTCTGATGGTGATTCAATGGATGCTACCTCAGAGGCTCTGGTAAGACGTAGTTTCAGTATTTATGAATACAAATGCATGTCCCTATCTATTCAGTTTTTTGTACTTAATTTTTTTCTGTTTGTATTGGCTTTAATATATACTCGCTTCTATGCAGAATGATTCCTGGGAACAATGGAATTCGTTTCGTCTTCTTTGTGAGCATGACAGTAAGCTGTCTGTTGCTCTCGATGTTATGTGAGTTGAGAGAAACTCTTGATTGGTTTTTGTTAAAGTTCTTTCCTTCCGCAAACATAACACCATCTCTATTATCCAGGAGTACGCTTCCCTCTGAAACTTCACTAGGACGCTGGATGGGAGAGTCTGTGAGAGCAGCTATTATAAGCACTGATGTAAGTTCCTCACCTTTTTACCAAATTGTTAAAAACTCGATTTATAACATGCTTCTCAAATGCTTCTCATTTGTGTCTGCAGTCTTTCTTGACAAATGCCCGGGGTTATCCTTGCTTGTCAAAACGCCACCAAAAGCTTATAGCAGGATTTTTTGATCATGCTGTCCAGGTAATAAATGACCTGGACTTTAATATATAGAACACTAAATTTCAATGCCGAGAACTTTACTCTTTATGTGATCAGCTTTTATTTCTGATTATTGTCATTCTGTGATAAGAATCCTCTTTTAATTCAGAAAATAGATATCTATTTCTCTTTGCCTTCGGCTCATTATCATCACTCTTGTTGCAGGTTGTAGTTTCTGGAAAGCATGTTCATAATCTTCCAAAGGCTTTGGATTCGAACCCTGAGGGTAATATTTTCTTTTGTCTGCTGACAATACTGTTATACTCTATTAGATTTTTCGTAGTTAATTGTATAATGGGCATCATTTATAAGCATAGCCGTTCCATGTTTTGAGCTAAATAGTTTGTATATAACGTTGCCTTTTGATAAGTCCCCAATTGTTTGGCTCTCAGGCACGCAGAGGCATCCCCTGCGCTCATATTTGGACTATGTTGCTTATCTGTTCCAAAAAATGGAATCACTTCCTGAACAAGAACGTATAGAGGTTGTTTGTTGGATCCTTTGTCTCAGTTCTCTCTATCTTTATTTTATTTTTACCACCAGAGATGCAATCAGGCAGAACCGACCTCAATTATAACAGTTATCTTATTCTTTATACAGCTTGGCTACAGGGATTTTTTGCAGGCACCCCTGCAGGTTAGTCTCTCTCATAAGTTATACTGATTTCCGTCTGTTCATCATAATACCTTACCCTGTCATGTAATGAGCTTATACTGTTTTTTAAATACAGCCTCTGATGGATAACCTAGAAGCCCAAACCTATGAGACGTTTGAGAGAGACTCTGTCAAATACATCCAAGTATGTTCCGTATGCTATTATTGTTTCCTTCACATCTTATATTTTGATAGCTCTGTTTTATGAACTACATCTGATGGATGAATTTTGCTATACAATTCAATAATTTGCATGGTTGTTTTTTTTATGTCATGCCTAACTTTTGTCCATCTTTGTGTTGCTAGTATCAAAGGGCAGTTGCCAAAGCCTTGGTGGACAGGGTCCCTGATGAAAAAGCGTCGGAGTTAACTACTGTATGTCACATGTCAATGTTTGGCTTAAATAGCTTACAAAGTGGCATTTTCATTTATAATTTTTGCATTTGGGAACTTTATAAAATACTTCAATAGTACTAAAGTTATAGTTTGTAGGTCTTGATGGTTGTGGGGGCAGGAAGAGGACCCCTTGTGAGGGCGTCGTTGCAGGTAAAGTTCTGATGCAATTCCATGCTGTTCACAATGAGACTTTGAAATTCATATTTTTCTTAATCTATTGTCTCCATTGGTTTCCTTTCTTAGGCAGCTGAAGAAACTGATCGCAAGTTGAAGGTTTATGCTGTCGAAAAGAACCCTAATGCAGTTGTAACACTCCATGTGAGTTGTCAGCAACCCGAATCTAGCTAAACATGGCTAAATTTTATGTTGTTTCTTTCGGACGTTCGGAGCTGTTTTTATTCAACTCATAGAGCGTTTTTATCCTTTCTGACAGAATTTGGTTAAGATGGAGGGGTGGGAAGGCATTGTTACGATAATATCCTGCGACATGCGGTTTTGGGATGCTCCTGAGCAAGCTGATATATTGGTCAGTACATACAGATTTTGATAGCTATTACTCATAAATGACAAAGTAGACAGTTCGTTTTATTCTTGTTTGCCTCTGTTCTTCAGGTTAGCGAACTGCTGGGTTCTTTTGGAGACAATGAACTTTCTCCTGAGTGTCTTGATGGAGCCCAAAGGTTTCTGAAGCCAGATGGAATTTCAATACCATCCTCGTATGTGTACCCCTTCGCTTAGTCGAATTTCCATTAGAAATCTATGCTCTAATAACTGCAAGGGCAGTTTTTGCAGTTTTCATTAAATCTGTTTTTCAGTTACTCTAACTCAAGTATCATCATCGTTACTTCTTTAGGTATACAAGTTTCATACAACCTGTAACAGCTACGAAGCTTTACAATGACGTAAGTTCTTCTGATTTCTTCTGTGTACTCTATCTCACAAGAATTTCCGATTAAGCTTAGTCTTTTACTCTATTTGGCAGGTTAAGGCTCATAAAGATCTTGCGCACTTTGAAACTGCTTATGTCGTCAAACTGCATAGTGTAGCTAGACTTGCTCCTTCTCAATCTGTGAGTCTCTCTCTTTCAGAATTGCTTATTAGCTTGAAGCTTTCTTTTTGAATACATTTATGCAAGTCTTGTCTATCTCTTGATCTTAGGTGTTTTGTTTTGGTCTTAATTAGGTTTTCACATTTACTCATCCAAACTTCTCACCAAAGGCCAACAACCAACGGTACAAAAAGCTTCATTTTAATCTACCAAGCGACGCTGGCTCAGCCTTGGTGCATGGTAAACACTTTTTCTTGCCTTTTGTCATTTGAAATGGGAATGATAGATGATTTTTCTCCATTTTTCCTACTCGAAAACTGAATCTGTGATCATCTCAACAAAAACAGGATTCGCTGGCTATTTTGATTCCGTCCTTTATAAAGATGTCCATCTTGGGATCGAGCCGACAACTGCAACACCAAACATGTTCAGCTGGTAATGGCTTTAATGTTTGAATATGACGTTAAATAGTTGAACTACTCTCTCCTATTGAGCCTATTGCTTGAAAAGAACAGAAAAAGTACAATATGATATCTTGTTCATTTTTTGCAGGTTCCCGATCTTTTTCCCATTGAGGAAGCCTGTGGTGGTGCACCCTGATTCTCCGTTAGAAGTACACTTCTGGAGGTGTTGTGGTTCCTCAAAGGTAAAAAAAATGTTGAAATCACAAAACGCACCTAACTCTCTTAGTCTTGAGAACTAGTATTGATAATCCTTTGTTGTTCGGGTTCAGGTTTGGTATGAATGGTCAGTGTCTTCGCCTACTCCATCTCCTATGCACAACACCAATGGCCGTTCCTACTGGGTCGGCCTTTAGGATCAGAGGATACTGAGAAGAGAGACTTGAACTGATGATGTAATTTCTTTGTGCTGTATTTTTATGTCAAAAAAGACCATAGTTTACTAGTGAATCAAATCTTTTTGACCTTATTAATGTTTGTATTTCAGCAATTCTTTTTTTATTACAAAGCTGTCTCTAATATACATGTCATCTCAAACGGTCTTCCATTGACAAAACATCGCTAATAGATGTTGGAGTATTGTTGCTGTTTTGAATCCATTCGTCGTAATCTTTGAGTAATTGCTGAAGCAGAAGAGGTACTAGTGTATCTACCAGTGTCTGCATTACTCTGTCATCATCATACAATATAAACATTGCTTAACACTTCGATCCAAACAGCAGTAGAGAGGTAAAGTGAACAACAATGTCTTACTTACAGATTCCCAGGAGCTTCAACAGCTGATACTGGAAGCATTGTGAATGGCGGCGTTGAGATCTGTCATGAACAAGGGAGGTTTTTATGAACAGCTGAACTAAAGATTATTCATATACACAAGCCTAGTTTCAAACACAATTGTCGACAAAGAGTTGTCTAAAATCAGCATGCAAGACATAAGTCGATATGATCTATTTGCACAACGATGGTTTGCAGAAGACCCATCAGTGTGCACTGTAGAATACGGCGCTCTTAAGGCTACATATTAGCTGGAGAGAGGACTGCACCAGAATAAGACTATGAATAAACGAAAAAACTGAACTGCAATACACAACCTCTAGAATGACTTTCAATGTCACATCAACCTCCAAAAATGGCTCTGGATCTTCCATGTTCCAAGTCATGCAGTTTGTCATAATTGCTGCATCCAGGAATGGACAACTTTAGAAACCTCAGGTTTGCCGTGGTCTTTCAAATGCTTTGTTTATAAGAAGAAAGTTACCTGAAAAATTTTCACTTTGGTTCTCCAATAACTCTGACCCCTCCAGCTGCAAAGACAGCAGATCAAAACATTCGTGGGTAAAGAGATAACAAGAGAAATATTCGACAAAATCACAAATGTTGGTCTTATTCATTCAACCTTGCAGGAAAGTAGCTCAACAGTACAATCTTCCTGTGTGGGAGTGACCCTCAAAACCAGTACTGGAGAAACTTCAAAGCTCATTAACTGAACTTTTGGCAATGTACATCTGCACTGTAAGACAAAGATTTACTCTCCCTTTCCAGATAAAAAAAAGAAGTTGATTGAATATCGACCAAAACAATCTATGTTTACTATATATTATCCACTTACTATCTATGTTTAAATATACACTCTTTAGATACTTCTGCAGTTCTGCTTACAGATATAACATGTCCTATCTATCTAAAAGTTCAGAGACATCAAAATTTCCCACAGCCAACTGAGCAAACTAAAATGCCACACATAAATGAAGATCCAGAAACATGTGCAAAGACCTTTACGCCAGACAAGTTTGTAGAAACTGAAAAATAAGAACATTGAGAGTAAGGGGGGTGAAAGAAAGAACCTGTAAGTATTATCATTTTCATCAACTACATGATAACTCTGCAAAGCCTTGGCATTGATTACAGCCTCCATGCCAGATGGGTGTTTCAGGAAGTCACTGAAAGTGAGCTTCTTTCCTCCATTGTTCTGCAGCTTGATTCTCTGCTTCCTTGAAGCAGAGAGGTTGGCTTTCTTTGAACTAGAAATTAACATTGCTCGTTTACCACTATGAACATTACTACCCACCTGGATTCTATTCCTGAAATAGAGCTATTCCCCTATCAAATCAATAAACCAGAAAAAAAAAAGAAGAGAGATTTAGAAATCTATAGAGACCTGGGATTTATGTTACTGTTAGGGTAGGATCTGCGCAAACCCAGGAAGTTTCTCGGGCCCTGTGAAGTTACTGAAGTTCTCCATCCGTTGTGAATCCCAATATCCATTTCACTATGAACGTTACTTACTACTCTCTTGGAAAATTGAGGAACAAGAAAAAAAGTACGAAAATGAAGAAATCCTATATCTCACAAATTGATTCGTGCTACAACAAGAGCCTTATCGCTTCTTCGCTCTTGCACGATCATCGCCGTCGAGAAAAATAATTAGTGACCAGGTGAGTTCTGCAGAAGTACAGTGACCCAAGAATCTCTATCCGCCATTGATGGATGTGTGCTCCTAAAGAAGACATAATGTTGATGGTCCTCCACGTGTGTTTCTCCACTCGCTGTATCATTTTGTGGTGCGAACATAATAATTACTAAATAATCATACTGGTAAACAACACAAGCATATGTAATTAGAAACCAAAAACATGTGTACAAAGGAAACATTTTTATTGTTGAAATGAACTTCTGCTAATTTACGGTCGATTAGTCTTTTGCTTCTTTTTTTTTATTGCTACATCTCTTTCGGTTTCTTCATTAGATAAACTGTGGAAGCTTTTCTTTTGGTTTAACACTTCTTAAGTGGTGATCAACACTTTTCTTTTTGCACCAGTAAAATTTTGGTAATTACTTACGAAATTTAGTAAATAAACAGTATTCTTGAACATGCAGATACGTCGCATTCAGATCATCAACTAACAAAATATTACAATGAAAAACATCCAACACCGTCCTTAACTTTAAACTCAAGTTTGGAGAGAGTAAACTTAAACTGAGAAACTGCTCATAGTATTAGAATAAAAAATTATCCAAATTAACAAAAATACAGAGCGTTGTTCAAACCCAAAAATCAAAAAAAAAAATACAGAGACAATCTGTAAAAGTAAAGAGGATTAAAAAAATTTTAACCCCCAAAAACGTAAAACATTCATCGTTTACGACATTACAATCGTAATATTTACCCATCAAAACCCTATTTGTCTTGTTGTATAAAAACAGACCAGAATCAAAATTGTAAGCACTATGCAGCTTCAGATATTGGCAGTTCATAGCATAAAATTACCTGTACGAGTACCCACATCCACAAACACACGCACACACACACACACTCTCTCTTTCTTTGTAACACAAACACACGAAAGCCTTCTTCTTTAGCTAACTGGATCTTCCTCAGCTCGGTGTCCCGGTCTCAGTAGTCGCAGCTTCCTCCTTTATTTCAGGAGTGGGGCTATTCCCACGTTCACTAATCGAGCTGCTGCTATTAACCACTTCACTGGTTTCGATCAATGTCGGAGAGTCTGTGACCAGTGAAGCGGAAACAGGATGAAGAAGAGGGTTCTCCTCTGAATGCTTTGGTTTGTTCAGAGCGTTACAGTGAGGGCAGTAATATGTTATGTAAGCGAAATCCTCTTTCCTAGCAAGTCCTGCGCAATTATGAAACACATTGCAAAATCATCTTAGAAAGCAGCATATAGTGGAAAGTTCAGGTATAGCATGATGCTCAGAGATTCATTCACCGTTATGCATATGACAGTTTCCACAAATGAGTGCATATGATTGTGTGGGATCTTCGCCGACAAGAAGGGCCGCGATGCGTGAGATCCAACTGCCATCGTGAGCCGCATATCCCTGAGGACTGTAATGCTCAACCAACATCTGCTGGTTTTGCTCTGCGCTGCCTGGAAACCTCTCGCTTGTCCCAGAATGGTGAGACTCATCATCAGAATGATGTGCTGAAGTGTTCCCAGAACTGTGGGGTCTAGCATTTGGTTGTCTTCGATTCCTCAGCCCTCGTGATTGGTTAACCTCCATGTCATTGCTCTTTCCCGATGATGGATCGACCTGGGATTCATCTCCTAAGAATACTTTTAAGCCTGAATCAGCACCCAATTTGGATGCCAGGACAGTTGCAGCTGCTGCTTTTGCAGCTGGATCGGGGTCATATCTCTGCATAAAAAAGGCCCATGTCAGCACCAGTTCTAATTGCAGTAGTAAGCTATAAAAGACCTCAAGTCACAGTGACAAGCATTCATATGCCTTTCTTTCGATTATTTGAACATATTGGACCAATGTGCCAAACGTATAAGAAGTAATTTCAAAACAAATACTTTATGTCGTTCTCTTGTTATATTCAAGCATAGATGCTTGTAACCGTGGCAATAAATACAATGAATTCCAACTGTCACCCTATATCTAATCGTAATCGCCATTATCCCAAATAATGTACAAACAAGCACTGAACACAGGGTAACTATCCACTAACTATAACTGATACGCAAGGATCAGTACATGATCAAAGTAAAACGAGCAAGAAAAAAATGGCAGCAAATATCGGAATCCTAATATAATCCAAGATACTGTTGTGTGAACTAGCCGCACTAAAAAAATTCTCTTTGTTCAACATTACTTTCTTACCTGAATAAGTTGTTGCGTAGTGTAATAATTGGTCCTTTCTTTAAGCTCATTGATTTTAGCCAACCTTTCTGCTCGAAGCTTTTCCAAAGTCTTCTGATCTCTGCGATCAACTATGCAACCATTTTTACACAGGGAAACGATTAGAAACACTGAAGCTACGAGAAAACACCAACATCTTACATGAAATGAGCATCTAAAACCATGGAAAACACAAGACTCACACATCTTTGAGAAGGTTACAATTGAGGAATAAGCAAGTGCAGATATAGCAGGTAAGAGAAACATTGGCAAGATCCGAAAACTCCTCATTTTCCAATCCAAATCTCCCGTTCTGGTTGTCAAGATCGCATAACCCACTGCAATTATCTGAAAGGCATCAAATTTAGCACACCATCGCAAATTATTCACCAGCTAAGTTGGCTAAATTTTCACCACAAACTAAAACATCAAATTAAAATTCAAATTGCTGACCTCAAATATCACGGAGGAAACGATGAGATTTCTTGTGAGTTTCCTCCATGTGATCGATCTGCGCTTCATCCTGGATAGAACAGTCGCTTCTTCCCTTGAAATGTATTGAAGTCTCTTCTCAAAATCGTCTCCCCTAACCCTAAATATCGCATTCCATATACGCGAGAAGAATCCATTTCGCTTCTTCTTCACGCTATCGGAGGTTGCGTCTGCAGTTGCGGCCACGGCAGCGACGGCGGAATCATCCTGCTCACCGCTCTCAACCACCGCTCCTTCCTGCTCCTGCGCCATATCCTATTACCTTCCCACAACAACCGCCTCCAAAATTCACCGAAACTACTGCAAATTGAAACAATCGATCATCACAACCTGAGACTTTAAGAAGCCAAAACTATTTCACTCGGGATCCGAGAATCGCCCACTTGCCTGATTCTCTTGATCTGGAATTCTCTAGAGACGGAGGATTTGAATATCTCGAAGAGCAGAATAACTGGCGATGATTGGCTTCCTCTCTCTCTCTGCGACAATTTTCTTCGCCTTCGAGAAGCCAAAGGGAAAGGGGAGGAACTCGAGATCCACCGGTAAAGCCACCTCGACGTCAACACACGTGATTCCCACGTGATTCTGTGTCGGAAACTCGAGGATTGGGCCCATTACTAGCCCATCATCTTCCAACTTCATTGGGCTTCAAATCTAGTCTCTTTTAAATTAATTAGTTTGAAAATTTGCCGATAGGTTTGCAGCTCAAAACCGGATAGAAACCAATAAGTCAATAACCAAAAAGTTCGGTTCGATTCTGATGAATCAAACTCACTTTACAAAAAATTAGCAAGAATAATTCAATGTTAAATTCAATGTTAATTTCAAAAACATTCACACCCAGTGGGACTCGAACCCACAATCGCTTGATTAGAAGTCAAGCGCCTTATCCATTAGGCCATGGGTGCTCCTTGCCAAGTCATTTCAGCCTAAATTATTAATATCAATGCTACAATATAAACTTCGGGTAACTATACGATATTTATACAGTATTTATTTTGTATTGTATGACATGTTTTATAGTCGCCATATAATGGCAACATTGGCAAGATCTTTCTCTTCCCGCCTAAACTTAGAGCTCGGCAATAAGCTGAAGGGATTGGTTTCGGAACAACTTCACGATGAAGCATTGAGACTGTACAAGCAAAAGATTCATCCTTTAGGCACTAATGGCTTCACAGCGATTCTTCCTTCTGTCATCAAAGCTTGCTCTTTTCAACACGAGCCTTTTTTACTTGGCGAGCAGATTCATTGCCTTTGTCTCAAGTCAGGCGCTGATCGTGATACCGTTGTGTCCAACTCTCTCATCTCTATGTATGCGAAATTCTCTACCACATACTCCGCACGTAAGGTATTCGATGAAATGCTTCAAAGAGATACCGTTAGCTATTGCTCCATCGTCAACTGTTATTGTCAGGATGGATTGTTGTATGAAGCGCTAAATTTTTTCAAAGAGATGTATTTTTATGGTTTTTTTCCGAAGTCCGAGCTGGTTGCATCTCTATTGGCTCTCTGCACTCGCATGGGAAGCAGCAGTAAGGTAGCAAGAATGCTTCATGCTCTTTTTCTTGTTGATGAGAGGATGCAGGGATCAGTTCTCTTAGCAACGGCATTGGTCGATATGTACTTAAAGTTTAATGATCCTGGAGCAGCCTTCCATGTGTTTGATCAAATGGAGGTGAAGAATGAGGTCTCATGGACCGCCATGATCTCGGGCTGTGTCATGAATCATAACTATGAGATGAGTATTGGCTTGTTTCTAGCAATGCAGAGAGAAAACGTTAGGCCCAACCGTGTTACACTGTTGTCTATTCTACCTGCATGTGTAGAATTGGGTTCTGGCTTAAGGATGGTGAAGGAGATTCATGGATTTTCTTTTCGTCATGGATTCCATTCTGATGGTCGATTAACAGCTGCTCTTATGACCATGTACTGCAGATGTGGTTATGTAAGTCTCTCTAGGTTACTATTCAAGGAATCAAAAGTCAGAGATGTTGTAATGTGGAGTTCAATGATTGGTGGCTATGCTGATACTGGAGATTGCTCTGAAGCTATGAATCTGTTAAGTCAAATGAGAAAAGAAGGAACTGAACCCAACTCGGTTACTTTGTTGTCTATTGTCTCAGCTTGCACCCATTCTGCATCATTTAGGTTTGCATCTAGAATCCATTCTCACATCCTGAAATGTGGCTTCATGTCAAATATCTTATTGGGCAACGCCCTCATAGATATGTATGCAAAGTGTGGCAGTCTTCTTGCAGCGCGCAAAGTATTTTATGAACTTAATGAGAAAGATCTTGTGTCATGGAGCACAATGATAAATGCATACGGTCTTCATGGCCATGGTTCAGAAGCGTTAGAAACTTTTCAAGGGATGATAAAAAGTGGAGAGAAAGTAGATGCAATGGCATTTCTTGCAGTTTTATCGGCTTGCAACCATGCTGGCCTGGTAGAAGAAGCTCAAACCATATTCACACAAGCTGACAAAAGTTACCAAATGTCACTCACATTGGAGCACTATGCTTGCTATATCAATCTTCTTGGCAGGTCTGGGAAGATCGACGATGCCTTTGACGCTGTAAGAAATATGCCCATGCATCCAAGTGCAAGAATATGGAGTTCTCTGCTATCCTCTTGCGAGATTCATGACAGGCTTGATGTGGCAGGAGAAATTATTGCAAACGAGCTAATGAAATCTGAACCTGACAATCCAGCCAATTATGTATTGCTGAGCAAGATTCACACAGAATCTGGTCATTGCTATGGTGCAGAAGAAGTGAGGAGGGTTATGCAGAGACGGGGACTGAACAAATGCTACGGATTCAGTAAAATTGAATCCTGAATTACACATTGCGGATTACCAAGGAAAATCTGGGCGTCCTATATGAAGATCTTATCTAAGCGCTGCTCTCTTTCTGCAGTTCAAAAGCAGCATCACTGATGCATTCTCAATTGAAGTCATATTTCATGTTTTTGTTATCGTTTGGCGACATGAACCGATATATGAGGGCTACCAACATGATCATCTAACGAATTTATTATCTCTGCTATGCTATGTCAACTTTGAGCTCATGAGTGCTGTTTATCTCTTTCATGCTGAGGGACTAGCACACAATACCGTGGAATATCTCTGTTGCTGATATTTATGACCATCATCAATATTGGTAATGATGAGATTTGTGTAACTCAGAAAGAAAACCAAAAGCAATGCGAAACTGGAATCCAAACAGCTTACAGAGGCTTGAATTGAAGCTTTAGCAAGGAGAACTGATATATGGAGTTCTTGATCCATAAACGTCATTAGGTTGAAGATGCATTTGAGCCCATAAGAAAACAACCTGTAGCATAGTACAGGTATATGCTGCCTTAGTGTTGCATCATATCCACAAATTGATTTCGAGTCATATTCTGATAATTTTTTTTGGTTTATGCAGAGGTTGGTTATTGGAGAAGTGTAGAAAAACGAGAGGCAGGTCATGTGGGTACGATATGGAAAACAATGCCTCAAACATGCAACAGAATATTTAGGTTGGACACCAACTCCTAATAATTTCATTCATGTACAACATCTCATGAAGTCCAAGTAGAGAAAAAAAAGGAGCACACACATGCAAAACAAGAACAACAAACTGCCTGGTACATAAAACAAGTTCAAAGACAAGGATGCAAGTATACCCTCACAATAGGCACCTAAAGGGACACAGGTAACTAGTAGTCAAACCATATTAAAGCTAAAAGTAACTGCAGGCGCTGTTACGCGTGATCAGACTAGATTGTTTATCCAGTCAATGTCCATCATGAGGAAATTGTCCAGCTCTAAGTCTTCTACTGAGAATATTGATTCTGCAGTTGCGTTCACTGGGAGATAATGTTCATTGGCCATCTCTATAATCTCAGTAGTAACAGATGCATCAGGGGAAGCAGGATCCTGAGAGGTAACTTGAGCTGTTACCGGGATTGTAGTGGTAGAAGAAGGCACAGACACAACTGATGAAGCATAGTTTGTTGCTATTGTCTGTATGTCATGCTTGGACAGAGGCCGGACAGAACCTTCAGGAAGCTGCGGCTTTTTATCAGAGGGAAAATTGAAAACTCCCCTCTCACCCCTAATGCAAAACAAAGCAGCGTCATAGGCTCGAGCTGCCTTCTCTGGAGCATCATATGAACCTAGCCATATTCGTCTTCCAGTCCTTGGGACTCTGATTTCAGACACCCACTTGCCCCATGCCCTTTTTCGAACACCCCTATAGCATTTGAATCTTCGATCTTCATGAGCTTCTTCAAGTGAGGAGCTAAGGAAAGGAGATTTAGGAGTAGAGGGTGGCATCATTTCCATAACAGAAGCAGTTTTTCCAGATTAGTATTTAACAGTTTTATGCACAACTATAGGGACTGTAGAAACTGAAAAGTAAGGGTATCGAAGGCATAGAGAACATTTGTGTTGAACTATGAAGCAGGTGGAGATGAAATGGAGAAGCACGCGATTTGTCAACAGCACGTGGCAATGAAGAAACTGCGGTTGTGCCAGCATAATATAGTCCTCGAGAGTTCCATTCGCGGGGATCGTCTGACAAGATAAAAGCCAATTTATCTGTCAAGCATACGTTTCTTAAAGGAGACACACCGCAAAAAGAAAGTAAAAAGGAGAGGAAGAACCTACAGGTTGTTACAAGTCAAATGTCCGTTTTTTTGTCCAAGTTCAGACACGCGTAAGAGCCACCGCAGTTTCCGGAGAAATTATCCGATCAATCCAAAGCTAGCTAAAGTTTCAGTTTTCTTCCATTTGTAAGCCAGAAAATCTGTGAAAGCATTTAATTTAGACCGACATCCTTTGATGGAAACATTTGATCCAAGTCCTGTCAGCATTAAGAAGAGTGCTAAGTGAAAGCTTTTCCTGGAACCTGAGCCACTTCTTGTATTCCTGTGATCCGAGGAACCAAGCGTAACAACATTGAAGTGGAAAGAACGATTTAAGTTGTAGAAATGGGAAAGAGCAGAAAAAAGGTAAGTGGCTTGCAAATATTCTAAGGTTAGAAACATTACCTAGGATCATATAATCTTTATTGTACAGTTTTGTGCTTAATTGCTCAAGGCACTAAAGCATAATCGTGTACTTCAGTTGGAGAATATTCTACTATCACCTAAATGGACCACAAAGGGACCGTTGATGATCGTCATACATAGCACATGGATTTCCATCAGCAAACTGCATAAGGCAGGTACTCAAAAGAAATATCAGCTAGTTATGGAAATATCTCTACTGAGCAAACTCATTTAGTTAGAAAAGATCGAGATCTGAATTCATCATTAATTGGACTACTCTAATTGCTACCTTTCTCTCTTTGACGTATATGCTTGGCCTCAATTACAGCAAATGCCTGAATACAACACGCAAGAATGCTTTTTGGAAAACTTCGGACACAAACCGATGTTTATGTGATTCTTAAAGGGCTCTAAGGATGGTATCAAGTGCGAGTAACTATTTGAGCAAAGAGACCCACAAGTGGGATGAATGTGTTCAGAAACTAGCAATGTCTTAAACCCTTATTCCATAATCTCTGGCTTCTGGATATTTTAGCTGGTTTTTTATTTTACCTTTTCAAACTTGGTTTTTGGTAATTAGGTCTTTTGAACTCTCTCTTTTGTAAACTCTTGCCATCTTCAATTTATCTGAGTTTCTATCAGTCATTTTATCACTTTTTTGTGAGCGGCTTCCTTGCCTTGTGTTTCATGCATCCACCATTTAAACACTCTTCTTTGAAAGCTTTTCTCACAAATCCTTAGTGTGCAAAAGAGAAGTGGAGAGGCCAATCTCACACAAACATCTATAAAAGCAGACAGTGTCACAAACAGCCAATAAACCTTTAATGTGGACAAGATCTTTATGTTCAAAGAGTTTACAAGAATATTATAGAGACTGCAAGGATTTTGTCACTCCAATCGTTTTAAAGGCTCAGCTTTCTGAATATTTAGGATCTGAAACTGTTTGCTTTTCGATTTGAAGCTGGAAAACTTCAGAGAATTCCTTAAGTAAAGACTCGTGAGTTATATCTATTAACCTCAAATCATCGACCTTTCCGTGTTCTCCATTCTCAAGCAAGCCCTTTATGCTTCCAACTTGTCGGTCTCTAATCCCACATGGAACTATCGAGTTGAATGGTGTTAGATCTGTTGTGACATTAAGAGCCAGACCATGATATGTTATCCATTTCGACACACGAATACCTATGGCCGCCACTTTTTGGTTGCCTATATAACATTTGTAAACGAAAAGAGATAAATCTCGACATCTATTATAATTCAGTAACAAGATACCAAAACACAACTAAGAATCTAAAAACAAATGTTTAGAATTGAGACATACCAACCCAAACTCCTGTTAAACCATCAAGGCGGGAAGCTTTGATGGAGAAACTAGAGGAAAGCACACGGATGACTATCTCTTCAAGCGTCCTGAGGTACCAATGAAGATCCATCTCGTGATTTCGAAGGTTGATTATAGGATACATAACTAGCTACATTGTCAAAGAACCACATTTACTGGCAACAATTCTTAGCTTGAAGAACTCATACAATTAGCAAAGGAATTTCCAATGTATTGTTGACATTAGTACCTGACCAGGGCCATGATAAGTGACTTCACCACCACGCTCAGTTCGACACACATCGAAAGGAGCATTCTTTAAGTCGAAATTGAGATAATCCTCTGAACTGCCAGTTCCCATTGTGTAAACAGGAGTGTGTTGTAATAAAATCACTGTATCTGAGCAGTCTTGGTTGCTATCAATCAATGCCTTTTTCTCCTGGACAATGCTTTTCTGCCATGACCAAGCTTTCTTGTATGGAACCAATTGGTCGTAGAGATCAAAACACAAGCACCTGCAAAAAGTTATGAATCGATGGTGATTGCACAGAAAGTGTTCGTGAAAATGCCTGAAACAAAATAAAGAGAACACAACACGGTGAGTGTGAGTTATAAAGAGCGAAACTTTACTTTCTTGGGTTTACATCATTCCCGAAGTTTAAGATCTTGACAGATCTGGATACTCTGTTCCTGCTGGCGTTAGTATGATGGTGATGATTGAGCCCCGAGATAAGAGTTTCTACTCGATGCAACGACTCCATTACTAACAGTGATGTGATATTTGGAAGAAGTGTGATATTTTCTTTAACTTTATTTTTGAAGTCGTACAGTAAATCAACTTTAGCCAATGAAAGACGACGAAAGCAGCAATCTTGACCAAAAACATTATTTTTATGTACATATTCGAAACCAAAAAGCAAGCTTATGGATAACAGATATTTACTTGCTTAATCTGAAGAAGATAACAAAAAAAGAGTGTGGCATTATCGGATCATCTGGTCCATCATCATCCACTTCCTCTCGCAATTGGGGTCTGCTCTTCTCTCTCGGTAACTTTCTGGGAAAAAAACCCTAATTCTTATCCGTTCGGAGCTTCATTGTAAAAGTTGTTGAATTTACAAAGAAATATGCTGGCTTGTCTGGGTATCGTTGAAGAATCTGTCTTGCTGCCATGAATTACATTCCGAACAATGTTGGGTTTGATTCATGTCCTTGATGAGCTCGTCAATGGTCTTATGCCACTGCTTATCATTCAATAGCAAAAACTCAGTTCCTGAATCATCTTCTTCATCAACATCCTCTCTCGGTTATAATCCCTGTCACTCGATTTCGTTGCGGGGTAAGAGAAGAAAAGAGCTTTGGAGATTTGTTCCCAGTGCGGAGAAGAAGAACAGTCACACGGGTAATAAGAGGAGAAGAAGTTGGTGGCAAAGGTTTTTCTTTGATGACGATGGGGATTGGCTTGGTTTGAGGGACGAAGAAATTATTGATGAGACATCTGAGCTTGAAAAGGATGATGAGATGTCTGATGAAGAGAAATTCGAGACTTGGAAGAGACGAGCAGAGGCCATTGTGGAGATACGGGAAGGTCGGGAGGAGATTGGGGATAAATATGATGATGATGATGTGAGCAAGAAATGGGAGGATTGGATTGTGGATTCTGATGATAGCTTAGTTGAATCTTGGACCCGAGACTCTGCTGGAAGCAAAGAGGGAAGTAAGAACGAATCAGAGCTCGATGAATTTGCGATTCCAGAGAGAGGGTTGGTTAAAATGGTGAGGGATATGGTTTTAGGAGCAGAAGAGGAAGATATTCTATATGAAGACCGTGTTTTTCGTTATGCATCTTCGAAATCGGTGAGCTATGAAATAGTTGTACCATGCTACATAGCTTTATCGCTTGAACTTTATTCATTGCCATTGATATGTGTGATTCTTAGTCCAGTTGTTATTGATCGTAATGTTCTCCATAAGACTTATCAATGCTCATTGACATTGTAACGCTTTACAGGCAAAATTTTTGGCGGTATTGATCCTCATACCATGGGCATTGGACTTTTTAGCCCATGACTATGTACTCATGCCCTTTCTAGACAGGTGATTTCTTCATTTGTTATTGTTAACTTCCCAGCTTATGTCTCTATTTACATTGTGTTAGTGCCAAGTTTGATTATTTAGTTTGTGCTTTTACTTACAGATATGTGAAGACCGTACCACTTGCTGCCCAGACGCTTGATGTGAGACGTAGTCAGAAGCTAGAAATGGTTAAAGAACTGAATAGAGAAAAAGCTAGGTACCGTCTTGAAGTCGAGATTGGCAAATCTCCTCCTCTTTCTGATGATGATTTATGGTGGGAGTTGCGGGGTAAAGCGTAAGACACAACACCACATAGTTTTACTTTCTTTTGATGCTTAAGTGTTGAAAGCTGATCTTGCTATGTATACCAGATAGTTAATTGCCACCCATGGGATTTTTATTTTTGTTTGTTCCTCCCTTTGGTCTTTTTAATAGCTTGGAGCTGCGAGAGGAGTGGAGATTAGAGAACCGGAAAGCATTTGCCAACATATGGTCTGATATGGTGTTTGGGATTTCGTTGTTCGTTCTTTTGTACGCCAATCAGGGTAAAGTAAGTTTCCAGCTGGAATTTCCCCAACCTACAATGACATTTTAAGTTTCATTTCAAGCTACTAGCTGTTAAACCCGTTTTGTTAACATGTGTCGTTCTTGGTAAAACTTTTTTCAGGTAGCCTTGTTGAAATTTACAGGATATAAAATCATAAACAACATTTCAGACACGGGGAAAGCATTTCTCATCATCCTTATCACCGACATTTTCTTGGGGTAAATGTCCTCATCTTTGCTTTGATTAAGAGCAGCACAGCAAACATGATAGCCTCCAGTTCTAATAACCTGATATTATCGATAAGATTGACTATAATGATTTGCCTGTTGTGAAAAGAAGGTATATAACTTAATGCTTATTTTTGTAGGTACCATTCTGAATCTGGATGGGAGACATTGTTAGAGATAATAATGGAGCATTACGGTCTTGAAGTTGAGCAAGCTACTGTAACCATTTTTATCTGCCTCGTTCCCGTTGTTATCGATGCTTGTGTTAAGCTCTGGGTATCTTCTCTTCTCCTATTATATCCTCTTTGTGCTTTCTGTGTGTCTCCTTTGTTTCTTCTTCTTTGCTCATTATCTCTTTCTGCATTTGAAACTCTCTTTTATCTTGTGCAGCTGTTTAAGTTCCTTCCAAGATTGTCTCCGAGAGTTTCCAACATTTTCCAGGAGATGAAACGTCATTAAGTAGTTTCCAACATTACAACCCTCGACTTGAGCTCTGTGTTTCTATCACACAAACTATTCTTCAGCTGTATTTACTTTCATATAGACACATAAGAGAAACATAGGCTATTTTTGTCATTCATCTTGATTTTTTATTTTGGTTGAATTTTTGGTGAAAGAATTGAGAGATCATAATCTGTTCTTTCACAACAGTACTTAGTCATGTACACAAAAAACAAACCTACAAAAGAAGCCCTTTGGGCTTTTTAGGTTTATGCATATACTTGTGAAGTTGTAATCTTCAACTTGTGTAATATTTATGCATAAATAATTGTGTAATTATTTCATAAATATTCAAAAAAATAACAAAAGTAGTGAAAGAATTACAAGTCTCGCCACTTCTTTTTTGGGTGGTTGATTTGATGATTAAGTTTTAAGAGCTCAAACTTCCACACAAAACGCTCATGCCTTTGTTGACTCAGGACACTTTTCTCTCTATTGGCCCAAGAACAATGTCTTAAAAGCTGACAAATGGTTATGATTAATAAAAAACTAAGACAGTATAGTTTCACTTATCAAAAGTTTATGATTTTTAATCACTAGATACTATAAATCGAATGTTGAAGGTCACAAGTGACTCACAACGTCTTTAAATCAAAATAGTTAGTTGAGGAACTTGGGTTGAAGGTCTTTTACACGTTTAAAGTAATTCTTTAAGTAAAAAAAAAATTGAAAAAAAAGAAAAACATAATACAGATCTCATCAAAATATAGTTCTCAACCAAACAACAGATTTACACGATAATGGACCAAATCATGTACATATATAGATACATGTATGATGTATATACTTCATAGATCATCTATGACATGCAAAAATACTGGTTAAATGTAGAAAGTTTAACTACAGTTACAGGATAGCATATTTACCAGTTAGATTCCGTTGCAGAAAAAGTTGTCTACTACGAACGGTCTGCAATAGATTATACATTGATATACCTGTAATTGCCCCATTTAATATGGCGGATTTCAAGGGCCATTGCCCATTTAGAAGCTAGAACCTCAAATAATCATCATATTGTATGTTTTAAATTGAATCATTAGTTTACACCATTTGCTAATAAATCTTGGTCAAAATCTGAAGCTGACAAAGTCCAAAGCACACAGATTAGTGTCAGAAATTAAAAGCATACTTGTCCAAACTGGAAATGTCTCCTTTGTTTTTTTTTATTGTAAAATGGGACAAGAAATGTAAAGCGAAAACGTGACCAAAATAAAAGAAAAAACATAAATTAGGAAGAAAGAGGCAAGACAAGAATAAGAAAAATATATACTGTAGATGGAGGAATGTCTGACTATCTGACAGTAAGTAACTCCATTAAAGGCCATCTCACTAGCAGCCTTTGACCAAATCCTAGCCCTTCATTCATTTGTGTAACTCTAATTTCAAGAAACAAGCATCAAGCATATGTAAATTTGTTCAAGTAAGAAAAAAAATCCATTATACAGAGGGTATAAATCTAATTTTCACAAATGAACAAACATTTAACTTGAACCTAAAGATTAACATAAGTTAAAAATCTTTCGTAATAATTTAGTTACATAAATAGAATTTCTTGTTGACTAAAAAAGTTATGTTATGCTATCAGAATTATTAAACCATGCACGAGGTTCAAAAATTGTGTCATAAAACTATTTCTATTTTGAATTACTCATAGCCTAATTTGTTAAATCCTAAGAATCTAATTTGTTGATAATTCATAGTTAATTATTATTCTATAAAAACCCCTTTTTAAAAAAAACGAAGAGGTATAGAAGAAGTTGGTTTCATATGAAACAGCTCATCTTCTTCTTTGCCCCGCCAAGATCGGATCCCATCTTCTCTCCTCCACCACCACCACCTTCTCTCCATTTTCTTCCCTCCAATTTACCTCTCAACAAGTTAACACAAACCCACCAAACTAAACAAAAACAAAAAAACAAAAAAGAAACAAATTCTTAATTCTTTTCTTAGACAGAGAGAGAGAGAGAGATAGAGAGATTTTGGGTTTGCATTTTTCTCCTTCTCTTCATTGAAAGTTCTCTTCTTTTTTTGGGGTCTTAAATTCCTTGTGGGATTTTGATTAGATGGGTAATGTGACATCAAATGTGGCGGCCAAGTTCGCATTCTTCCCGCCGGAGCCAGCAACATACGGCGTCACAAAAGATGAAGAGACCGGGAAGCTGGTCTTCGCCGGAGTCTCGCCGGACAAGAACGTAGAAGTCCACCAGCTCAGCACCAAGTCCGGTAACAAAGTCGTGGCCACGTTCTGGAGACACCCTTTTGCGAGATTCACGCTTCTCTATTCCCATGGCAACGCAGCTGATCTTGGCCAAATGGTCGAGCTCTTCATCGAGCTCCGTGCTCATCTCCGCGTCAACATCATGAGGTACATTTAAATGAGAAAAGCTAAAAACTTTAAGGGTTTTTGATAGATTCTTGCATTGAAAATTGTAATCTTTTTTTGTGTGTGTCTCATGTCATTTGAATCAGCTATGATTATTCAGGCTATGGAGCTTCAACAGGAAAGGTAAACAAAGAGAAATCATTCAGATGTCAAACTTTTCAATTTGATTTTCTCAATGTTTTGTTTTTCTGATATAAAGTCTGGTTCTTTGGTGGTATAGCCGTCTGAGTTCAACACATATTATGACATTGAGGCAGTGTACAATTGCTTGAGGAGCGATTATGGGATCAAGCAAGAGGAGCTGATTCTGTACGGACAGTCTGTAGGAAGCGGGCCAACATTGCACATGGCTTCTCGGTTGAAGAGGCTGAGAGGAGTTGTTCTTCACAGCGCCATTCTCTCTGGCATTAGAGTGCTGTATCCTGTCAAAATGACACTCTGGTTCGATATCTACAAAGTAAGTAAACATACAAATTATTTTTCTTGGGTCTGTTAGTACATATTCTGGTCTTGTCTCATCTCTTTGTTTTGAATGTATCACTGCAGAACATAGACAAGATTCGCCATGTCAACTCCCAAGTACTTGTCATACATGTATGTAAGCTTGATCAACTGTATGATCTCATCTGCTGTCTTGATTCTGTTGATTGATCTCTGATTGACCTGCAGGGTACAAATGATGAGATTGTGGATTTGTCTCATGGGAAGCGGTTGTGGGAGCTGGCGAAGGAGAAGTATGATCCTTTATGGGTGAAAGGAGGAGGGCATTGCAACCTCGAGACCTACCCAGAGTACATTAAGCACCTGCGCAAGTTCATAAACGCAATGGAGAAACTCTCCTTAACCAATCCACCACCTAAACAACTAACCAATGAGCCTAGTATCACTGAAACTAAGCATAATCGTTGCTTGAGATTTGGGAAAAGGTAGGTTGGGTTTCTGGAGGTAGTAGCAGAGAATCACAAGACAATTGGTAGATTCCTTCCTTCTGCATCGCATTCGCATGTGCTTTTAAGTCAGGAAATGCTCATTTCGATCTCTTAGAACTCCAAAAGCTTGTGCAGAGTCATTTCCTCAGTGTGATTCAAACCAATGCTAAACACAGGGTCACAGACAATGGGCTGAAGAAGAAAGATCATCCAAAGAGGCACTTGCTGTAGATTGTAGCACTGTTCTTAGATTTGCTCCATGTTCAATCTCATGTAACAAGAAACTGTAATGTAGCACCAAGTTTGGAGTTTTTTCGTAAAAACACCATTACTTGTAGGAGAAGCAGAGAAGCTAACATGAGAAAAGATGTAATCAGCATTTTCCTCGAGCTTTCCAGTGTTTCCTAGCGAGATAAATAAGCACAGTACATACGTTACTTAAATGCGAAAACAAAAATTAACAAAATACGAAAAGGCAAACAAATAAAAGCAATACAACGCAAAGTCCTCTTCTTTTTGAGCCCTAGCATTACAAATGCACATCCAGTAGATGAACTCTTGAGTGCTCCCAGAATATTTACAGTGCCTTAATCGATCTCCACAATTTGAGGCTTTCTATCAGCAGCTTTCTTGCGTATAAATATACCCCATCTCAATGCAGCTTTAAGCTTAAGCCATCCCACCACAGCTTTCCCTGAGCCTCTGCCTCGTTCTCTCCCATAATCCTTATCGATCTGAGCTTCATACCGATCACTGAAACCGTAACAGGACTCATCGATATGACCAATCCCGCCTGATATCCCAAATGTCTTGAGCAATCTCTGCATATCATCGGTCTCAAGCATCTCTGAACTCCTCACCCGAATTTCCTCTGTGAAAATATCTTCAAGGCCTCCATTGTATGAGCCTGAAACAGAAGAACTCTCCATCGATGTGTAGTCTCGTAATTGATTGCATGGTTGTTGCACAAACGTGTTTTGTATCGGTTGCTGAGGTATTGATGAGTAGCTATTCACATTTTGATGACATTGCAGAGTCTTCTGCTTCTGAGCCATTTTTGGCTCCGGTAAGTTTTTTATTACCTTCTTAGCGACTGGTAAGCAATTCAACAGCTTACCGTCATACTCAACCGCTTTATGCCAGTTTTCATAAGCCGTCTTCACCATAATGTCTGCAGAAATCTGTTGAATTACAACAAAAAAAAACTCAGATCTTAAAGGCTTGAGACTGGAGATTCTGCAGGGATGAAGAAGAAGAAGAAGAAAGAAACTAAGTTTACAGAGAAATGTCTTACCTTTTGGTCATGGTTGAGAGATTCCAGAGATAAGAAGTGGCCATTAACAGTTAAGCCTCGGAATTCATATATATGATTGAAGACAACGCCTGTATTATGTGTCTGCTCTGTGTAATAGACGTAAAGTTTCCCACCCAATACACAAGTCTTTGCATGCTCCAACGTGTTTTCCCACATTCTATTTGACATTCCACTCCCAAGTAACTGTAAACCAACACCAAGAATTTAACCAACAGCAAGAGAAATTAACTTCTTGTGCCAGATGTTCACATATAAGAGATGCACTTACGCTTCTTAGATTCTGCGGATCCTTCACGAGTATCCGAAGGAAGTCTTCAACAGTCAAGATGTTAGATCTCAGTAGCTTCTTGTGTAGTGCTCCATCTTTCGCTATTCTATCCAATCTCCAGACTTCATCATGTAAAGCCGGTGGATAATGTTTCTTGTAAACTGCAAAAAAGAACATCGCCAAAAGAAAAACCAAGACTCAGATAAACAATCCAAGAAACTCTCTCATTCTTGCTTCTCCATTCAATCCAAAGTATTAAGAAACTCACGTTCTCCTCTGTGATCTTTAACAGCAAATGGCTCTGTTTTAGCTTCACGTATGCGAAACACTGATGCAGCCTTAACACCAAGCCTGAACTTTCTGCTCCTAATCCAGCTCGAATTGTCGGTGAAAGTAAGATCTCCAAGAGTTCCTATACCTTCCTTAAGTATCACATGTGTTTGACCAATCAAGATGGGACGTTTTCCTTGGCGCTCTTTTACTTCAAAGCTCTCAAAATGTTCCCTCGTCCAATCTTCATCGTCTTCACCATTGAAGTCTCCATCTAACACGACGATATTCAGCTTTGCCACTGAATCTTCTCCCGTATGGACTACATTTCCGGTGTTTGCATTTACAAGAACCACATGAATGGCTGAGCCTTGCTCTCCCTCTACTTTCCCACCTGTGAATATATGAGGAGGCATTCGTGTTCTAAAGCGAAGTTGCAGGTTTCTTCCATCGAGGACTTGAATCTTTTTCGGTTCTGGAGATCTGAAAACACTCAAATTGCTGTGAAGATCATGGAACCATTCCGGCGAAGGAGATAGTATATACAAACAAGAGAAAATACCTTGGATTTGATTTTGAGTTCTCCAACCTCGATAAGGCACGTTCCACCTCTTCACTGACCTGTCCATTGGCCCACGCCATAATCAAGTCTAAAACTCCCACACGCTACTCAAGACTTGGTCTTTGGGAAAATTAAACTTTGAAATAGAATTGTAACTCACAATTCTACGGAATAATGGTTCCAAAGACGAGCATAGCTTCTGAAGACTATCTACCTTGACAGCTTCCACGATGACACTGTAAAAACAGTTTTGGTTTCCATAAATGTCGGCGCATTTTTAAGTTAGTTATTTAAGCAAGACTATCAAGAATTCGAAAAGCAAGATATTTCACAGTATTATCCTTAACGAGCATCTCTCAGAAAGGTTCTCCAATCCGAAAAGAGTTCAGAATCACAGCCAAAACAATCTAACTTACGACGTAAGAAAAGATGTAAAGTATGAATTACCTTGCCAAAGCAGGAAGCTTCTGTCTCTTTGATTCTGGCAAGTTATCTGTATACTCTTGATTCCGTCCATGTCCTCTTTTGTTCATCGAACTTTCCATTTAAAGTAAAGTAAGTTATATCAATCTATGTGCCTAAAGATTTACGAATTTAATGCAATGCCCTAAGTTGGAGATAGAAAAGAACACAAGTCCTACGCTATGGAAGCTTCAGAGAAGAACACATAAAAACAGAAACAGAGATTAGTTGAATCTAAAACCAAAGTCATAAAGCTATCTTTTCTTTATGGATCCTTTTGTTTTACAACCCACATGGAGTGTACGAACCAAGATCTGTTACTTTTAATATTAGATCTATAGCTTTTATGGATTATGTCCCTCTGAATATTAGAATAATGCAAACAGAGTACTTTAATGGCTGACGCTAAAAAAAAAAAAAATGAATACAGCTGTTTTTTGGGGAATGAATAGAAAACCGAAACCGCGTGATACCAGGTGCGATCATAATTTTGTCAACCTAAGTGCGTTTGACTTCTTTACTTTTGTCTCTTCTCAGCTCTCCTGTTTGTTCATCACAAACTTTCATGTTTCTTGACGTCTGAAAAGTCTCTGTTAGTTTCTTAAGCAAAGAAGAAAAGAGTCGTATTCCGCTTGTTCTTTAGCTTTACTGCTTAAGCCATGATATATCACAGACAATTCTATGATATAGCTGTAATGCAATCGAATCAATTCACAGACTTTTTTTTTGTCTTAGTGAGATGTAACATTCAGCAAACCCAACATAACTCGATTTTGGCCTTGATCTGAGGTACCACGCTCACTCTTTGCTTTGGCTTCTCGAGTGGTCTCGATTTGGCAATTAACATGAAACATAAAATACAGAACCAACGTCCTAACTAAATGAGAGGAGTAAGTGAAACTTGGTGGTAGTGAAATGGACAATTATATATAAAGAAAAGTCAATACAAGGCCAAGCCTTTCTTTAGCTACATTCCGATCCAAAGGCAAAACAAAAATACTACATGTATGGAGAAACGTGGAAGATAGGACTTTTCCTTGAAAATTTAAACAATTCCCTTTTCTTGAGCTAAGTTGTGAAAATTCGGTTTCGGAGAGAGAGACACTTCAGGGTAGACTGAGAAGTGAAATCAGTTTACTCACCTTCCCAACCTGATTGCCGAGCTCTCTTCTCCCACAAAGAAGTGATCTTCCTCTCCTTGGTCAACAAAGCTTCAGCTCTCTCCCTAGCTGATTCACAAATCTCAGTGGCGGCGTTGCATTTTTCAGCTTCCTTTTGATACTGAGATGCAACTCTTTTAGCTTCTGCGAGGGTAACATTCATATGACGGCTATGCTCATCTGCCACTGCTTCTTGCAGCTTCAGTTCCTCGGTCAGAAGGTCCACAAACTGCTTCCCCATTTCCTGTTTGAGCTCTGGGTCATCACCTCCACAATCTGTTCACAACAAAAGTCAGAGAAGAAACGTCTTGACAGGAGAATACAAGAGCAAGTGCATATCAGAAAAAAGGGCTTGAAACGTGTACGACTCTGGTCACAGATAAGTATCAGAGTAACCATGGAAAAAGTGACAAGCCTGTTCTGCAATCAAGCCTCAATTTGGATATTAATGGCTACTGATTCATCAAACTTTCAGTTCTCCTAATAACTCGTAAAAGCCTAGGCTCAGAATACATCAGAAAGATAAAGAATTTGGAAGAGAACCGTGTTAAGGCACCAAAAAACCAATCTTATTACTTCCCTAGACAGACATCAAGGCCCCTCAATCACTATCAAACCATTTATGTAATTTGACAGAAAGAAAAACAGTAAAAGAAACAATACCGGGCAAAACAGCTAAACAAAAGCAAGCTCAGAACCGAGATCTAACCTGAAATAGAGAGATTTGCAAGCCCTGCAAAAGAAAAGTAAAAAAAGCAACTTGTTAAAAAAATATAGAAGTCGCGATTCTTCCTTACTAATTAGACAACACAAGATTAAAGCTCAAAGATTCAGGTTGATCGAAAGATCCAATAGTGAAACCAGGCAAAACCAGATGCTTCAGAGCAAGATCCACATGGAAATCGAAATTCGGGAAACAAGCGACCTCAAAAAAAAAAATCTGATCATTACTCTAGAGGAGCTAAATTTCACAAGAAAAAAAACACAAACTCGTGAATCCAACGGAGCATCTAGATCCAAACAAAAAACGAGAAAAATGGTAGTTATACCAGGAGCAATCTCGAGGAGAGACACAGGGGGTGGGCAATCACAGGCGCAAGGAGGACAAACAGAGTTCCTACGAGTGGATCCAACGAAACCCTTGATGAATTTCCAATAAAGCGCAGGTCCACACACGACTAAAGCAGATACAACCGCGAAAATCACCAGACATCTCATGCAATCTCCAGAACGACGCGCCATCGCTGCGGAGAAGAAAAATGCTCAATCGAACGAATCAGAGTGGAACTGCAGCGACAATGGCGATCAGTGTGGGAAGAAAGACTGTCAGCGAGAAAAGGGAAGAATTTAGCAACAATGGCGCGGTAAGTGTGATTGGGCCAAACACGGAGTAACTAGAGGGAGGTAGAGAACACACTGTGAAACGACAGCGTTTTAATGGGTCCGGTCCAGATGTCGGTGGTGCATTTCTCACGGTATCGCTGTAACAGATCTTTTTCACTAATTTACGGTTTTAGCTTTTCAATTCCATAATGTTTACGAAAAGGCACCATACTTTTATAATTTCAACCAATTGTTTTGACTAATTTACGATTTTACTCTTTAGATTCCATAATCTTCTCAAATGACACTATACTTTCATTTGATTCAGAAAATTACCCTTTCTTGTAGCTTCGGTTGGTAACGACAGGGCCGTGTCCATGTAGTAAATTTTGAAACATTGGCTTAGGGCCAAATTTTTTTAACATTTTTAAAAAGTTTTTATTTTTACCAAAAGATATAATAAGTTATAATTTGAATAATATATATATATATACTTTTAAAGCTTAAAAATATATATTTTCATATTCCAGCATAGTTTCTACAATTTAATCATATAAAAATATTTAAAAACAAAATTAAAATATCAAAATAATTTAAAATATTAAAACAAAATTAGTATAAAATGTTAAATTTTTACTGACTGATGTTTGTAAATTTTTCCCTCTTAATTTTTTTGTTTTTTTTGAAAAATTGTTTAGAACCTCAAATAATCTGGGCACGGCTTTGGGTAACGATACTAACGAAATCATTCGAAAGTAAAAGCCTTTTCGATTAATAGTTTTTACTCGTGGACCTCGTTACAGAATCAGACGATGTTAAATAGTGTTCTGGTCTCTTTACTCTTCTTGTCTCAAATCACTGTAAGTGATCCATTTCTCTATAATAGCAACTTCTTGCCACCTCTGTTCTTTCAGCCACGCAGGGTCGTCTTTCGTAGCAGCCCTAAGATCCGTTTGGTAAGCTACTAAAATAAGAAACGGAGAATATAGATTCATGAATACTCTAGTCCATGAGGATCAGTATGGTTTTCTATATCGAAGCATTTCTCTGAACCTGAATACTTGTAGTAAAAAGGATAGATATATAAGGAAAATGTTTGTTTTTTCTCAATACATCCACATTTCATAGTTTGTATACACACAGGATGACCATTGGACCACTAGATTTTCCAGGAAGTACTTTAAGGAATCACATGGCTCTAAGCTAGTTCATTACCATATTAGAAACCAACTGGAAGAGTGAACGTTATCTTTTTACTAAATTAGTCTGAAACTAGAGTAGTAAGGGACAAGTTATCACCAAAAATAATTGTAAAACAGGTTATACAATTGGAAACTTAACCTAAACTGGCAAGTTTGAATAATGAATAAATCGTCCAAAAAATAAGATTCTTGATCAAAACAGATTTCCACTTACATCAGTGAGTTGAGGAGCTGTCACTTGTAATTGCAAACTTTTTCGCAAAGATCAAGCTTATCCATTTCTTGTTTCATTCATTCTTACTTTCTCAATTGAAATCAATGGTTTAGGCCCACAGTTAACGTTATCAGCAACTAGTAGTGCTGTAAGAGCTTTCACAGTTGTTAATTAGGTAGAAGCAATGATAAAGTTCCTTTTTTTCAGTCTACGAGTTTTTAATTGTATATTGGTTTGGGTTTAGAATCTGAAATCCGTTCTCGGCAAACTCATCTTCAAACTATCTTACATTCATTCATGTGATTCTTTATGATAGTTGAGAACACTATTGAGAACAATAATAGTTGAATTAGATCTCTTGAAGACAAAAACCCAAATTTAACTAAATAAGCTATGTCCATTGTATTTGTCCTGTAACCATGATGATGAGATGATGAAATGGGAAGTTTTCAGTACTCAAAACAACGATTCTAGAAAACGACGCATCAAGGCTTTAACAGTAGCTAACTAGCTACAAAACACTTAAATACGTTTTTGATAAAATCTTTGCATGTCATAAGGGAGGACTCAGATTCGCCTTTTTTCAGTCAGATTAAAGGATAAAACTCTACCGCCATGGCTGCTACAGAAGAAGAAAAAAAAAGAGCCTTTTTTTTTTCTTCTGTAGCCCCGCCATCTAAGAGAGTGTTAACACAACGTCTGGTCTATTGACTTCTTAAGAATCATCATAGTCCCCGAGAGGAAGAAGAAGAAGAGAGATTAACCATAAAAAAAAAGAAGAAGAAAAAGACAGAACTCAAAGGAAGCAGTAAGCAGAGAGCGAGGAGGATGGTGATGGTGGAGACGGAGAAGAAGAGTTAAATGATTCATCACCACTTGAAAAAGTGGTTCCTCAAGAAAGATTTGAAATCATCGGCATCCGCTTCCACCGGAAGAAAACGACGGCTAGACCGCAAACGGCCGCCGGATTGAAAATCCTCCGGGAGCAGAACCTCATACTTAAACTAATGAGTAAAACCCTAAAGGTCACTCCTTTTTGGGGAAATTTATACAATAGTACCCATTTTCTCAACATTGCAACTTCCAGTTTCACCCTCCAACGATTGACCTGAGACTAGGACAGATTAAAGGGGGGTATTTCGGTCATTAAAGAAAGAATAAACAAATGATTGTTCTTTTTATCAGTTACAAGTTACAACAATGGAATGAAACCAACAAGAAACAAAAAAAAAATGAAATCTTAGATGGTCTCTTTGCCCTTTTGCTTAACCAATCTTGTATCCATCACTTGTCCCGATAAGTTGATAGTATAAGTAACCTGTTTATGATAAACAAAGAACACATGATTTCCCTTTCACTTATGTTGTTATTTTGTCAAGAAAACATATCTTAACAAAAGAAAGAATTTTGTAGAAGAAAAGTACTTACAAACTCTGAGAAGCTAACTCTGTGAAGAAGAAACCCATCTCCCATTTCACTGACATTAAAAGGATGCATTTTTCTCAGACATTGAGATTGATCTTTCATAATCTATGATTGTAATAAGAGATGTTGTTACCTCTTACTATCATTCGTTGAACCTTGGTTTTCTGATGTATTAGGAACCGTAATGCAAGAGAAGCTGTTGTCGCTGGCTCCACTGGTGCAACCCTTTTCGCTTATATATAAGTTCTTGTATCATCAAAGTTTTATCCTCTTAGATCAATCATATACTTGATGTTTTGCCATCTCAGCAATAAGATTTCACGAGAATTCGATGGGATATTCAATGGCTTACCACTCCATACTTGGTCATGATTTGATGAAATGTCCTTGCAACTCCCTTGGCTTCCTCTGGTTCCTTAGTAAGTGTAGAGGCGAGTAACGGGTCTGATCCAACCACAATACGCCTGTATCAAGAACGACTATAAACTGTTTAATCCATGGGACCGATTATATGGCCTAGTCTTTTAGAAAGTAGAGCAAATTGGGTCACCAAATAATGATAGAGAACTTATTGACATTTTATACAAGTTATTGAGAGATCAAGAGAGCCTATGAGCTGAATAGCTAACTTACCAGTCTCCATCTGCTGCTTTCAGAATCCTTGTTATCTCTTTCAATTGACTGATCACCGAACCATTCAATGCTCCACCGAGCACTTCCTTGAGTTGCAGTATGAGGGTGGACAAAATAAACAACGAATTTAGTAGACAACTCTAACATCATTGCCTTCAAATTCACAGAAACAAAAACTGATTCTACCTGCTGTAACGAGCCAGTTTCTACGAAAATAACGTCCAATGATCCACCAAAAGGCGATTTGATTTGCTCTCTGAAATTTCCAGAACCTTTCTTCGTAGTGTACCTAAAATGCATCACATTGATCAGTCTTCTTGTTGAGGCAAGTAAAGCTAAAAGCGTCTAATCCACAAGAGCAAATTACCAAGGAAGTTTCAGTTTAGAGGAGACTCGAGTAGCCTGCGAAAAGATCAATACACTCATCACTCATACCAACTGTCTGTACAAAAGAGATCAGAACTGACGATCCACTACAATTTAAGGAAGCAAATCGAAGATTAAGCTTGAGAGCTGACATTTTGCAGGAGTGGATCTTCTTCTCCATGCTCACTTGTGCTCACCACAAATCTTGCCTTGTACGTTTCTGCAACTCTCTCCATCTTCACCGATCAAACAATAACAAAATAACTACAATAATCGCTTATCTACCAAAGAAAAATATAATCTTTTGTCTTTAAATCCAACTACTGAACCCGTCGTAGTACTAAGAAGAAGAAGAAAAATCAACGTTTTTTTTTCCTTTCTCGTGGAACCAAGAGTTGATCTAATAAAAACTCAAACTTTTTAACTTTTATCCTGAAACCAATGGATTCGAGAACTAACAAAATTGCTGAGACGGAAAAAAAATTATGTTCCAAACCAAAAACGGAATTATAAAGAGATTCATCACTGAACGTAAATGGGAGACAGACCAATCGGAGAAGGCGAGTTTGACGCTGAGGAGGCCTGAAACCTCCAGAAACTGAGATGAAATGGAGATCAAGAGCTCCGGCACTGTCACCATCGTTACTAGAGAAGAAGAATGGATGGCCCAAATGCAGAGACACATAGACGACGAGACAGAGAGATAATTGGATAAAGATTGTGCAACCCCATGACGATTTGTTCATGTCTTTTTTTTCGAAATTCTGAAACGAGATTTCTTTCTGAAAAAATGGCGAGAATGAAATTCAAGAGAGAATGAACAGTTTAAGGTTTTTTATTTTATTTTGTGTGGTTGTCAGAGACTGCAAAATGAACATGATGATGAACATGTCATGTCACTCACTCATTGAACCCAACGATTATTTCTAATTGAATTGGGACAAATAAAAAAAGATGAGATCACATCAGACACGATAAGTATCCCAATATTGTCTCGATAAGTCTGCAGTTGCTTTCGCTTATTAAATGTCTTTTTTCTTTTGTCAGAAACAGTTTTAACACTTCAAACACAAGTCGTAAACTAAGTCTTGGACTATAAAAGTATAGATTCTTGGTTTCTCACACGATGATGAAAAGTGAAAAATTCTTTTGAACAGAAGTCTTCGACATAGAATGGGTCATAAATGCTTGAGATATATCACTAGACTATTCTAATTGAAACACAAGACTCAAAAAGTGATTTCACTATGGTTTCTATAAGCGTGACAAAAATGGCTGGATTACATAAACTAAAGGTTTCAAGAGCATGCCCATCTCGACAATTTCATGCTCGTCATTCTCCTTTTCTTGTTTGCTTTATTCTTCGAAGCTAACCTCAATTTCCTCTTGGCATTTCTCTCCGGATTTACCACTGCCATTACCTTCACTTCTTTCTTTCTCTTCTCCCTTTTCGTTTTCAAACTTATCCTTATTTCATTGTAAACTTCCACAAAGATTTGGTTGCCTAAAGTCTTGTCTCTTATACTGTCTCGTACCTCTTCTGCTAGTTGTTTCAACTCAGCTGATAAAACCATGAAAAAACAATTATGAACTCTTGGTTAGATTTGTGACAGGGAAACCGAGTATGAAGAGGGAAGACACAAACACTTAAAATACCTGAGATAATTGTTCCGGCAAAACCTTCGCAAACTTTGTACAAAGGAAGCAGAATTTTGAAGGCATATAAACGACACTCTTCTTGATTCAATCGTGAGGTAAATGCCTTGTAGACATTGAACACAACTCTCGTCTGCATATCCAAAGCGAACATAATATAGTTAAGTTAATTTAAACCCTGCAAAAGCTAAGGTTTGATCAGAAGAGCGAACAAGCGTTACCTCAACAGACTCTCTAACAAGAGCAAGCTTCCCCATTCTTTTGAGCAAACTTCCGATCAATACATTTCTTACATCATTGGCATCATCTTCACCATTCTCAGGACGTTTGCCTGAGGTAAGAGCAAGAAAAGTAGACTTTCCTTTCCCTGAATCAAGCACTTCGAAGGCTTTGAAGAACACCACTTGCTCATCCTTGCCAAGACTGGACCAGAATCCATTGTGGGTTGTTTGACAAATTTTTCCAATTAGAGAATGAAGACTAGAGATTGCAAAAACAATATTTGCTGTGAGGAGATCGACATCAACGTTGTCTTTGATGGATTGCTCCTTTGACTTGGAGCAAAGAGATAACTGGAAGCAAAGAGAAACAGAAACCCAGAACAGGCTACTTGGGTTCTCAAGAAGAGAATTAGCTACTAATGTCTGAGATTCTGCTCTTTTCCTCATAGCCAAGGCCTCAAAATAATAATTTAGGAGCCGGCAGGATATACTTCGCAACCATGAGTGTGGGTGCAGCAAGAACTTAAATACCATATTCCAAATATCCTGAAAAACAATATATCAGAAAAAATTGAGATCCAACAAGAATACAGGTATATTAATTCTTACATAAGAGAAAACCAAAAAAAAAAAAAAATCAATATCTAATCATCAAAAAAGGAAAAACGCATTCGTCACTCTAAACTAAGAAACTTCTAGGCTCAGAAAGAAAAAATCCCACCTAAGTCTAAAGCAGTGATTACTGCTGATAAAGCTAAATCAGCAATTTTTCTTGCAAGACAATCTATTTCAAGATACGACAAAAAAACCCAGACCAATGATCCTATATTCTTGACAACCGGACCAAAATATGACTCAAAATCTTATATATATACATATATATATATATATGCTTCTAGATACAATGGTTAAAGATGAAACTACGTCTCAAAAGTCTACTGCAGTTAGCATCATACAACTGAGTGCATACCTCTAAATCTTTTCCGAATTTTAAATCAGGAAATTGTTTGAGCAGCTTCTCTATCATAACCAGTGAGTAGTATGGTTCCTTCCAGAAAGGAATACTGGCTTCTTCAACAGTATCTTGCAACTGCATGCAGGACGCACTGACAGCAGACTCCAAAATCGTTTTGGCACCCTGCAATGTAATGTCGATATGCTTCCGAAATGTTTTCTTCATGGCGTCAATAATAAATCCCAACACCTGCATGGCATCCGACGAGTGAGTTAAAAAAATTCCAGAAGCGATAAACTTGCTATAAAAAGGTGCCTACATGCAATATGAACGAAATCAAGATTAGAGAAGATGTTACAAGCCATGCACTCATAAGAAGCAAGTGAAGTGAAGTTAAGAAAAGAAAGAAAAAAAAGCAAGTGAAGTTATCAAATCCTGCCATTTGAAGAAAACACCTTCAGGTAACACCACTTGTTACTCCTGTTTCTTCCATATTTAGAAATATAAGTTCCTACTTCCAATTGTCTGACATCGAAGTATCGTCAGGATTTCAAATAGAACATGCACCCTCAGAGCATTTACCTGTGCTGCGGCAGCCCCTAAGTTCTGCTGCTGATACCAACATAGACAATACGAGAGAAAGGAATCAACTTGATCTTTACCGATGCGCCCTATCAGAAGTTTTAACACATCACCACACCGGGACCGCACTTCTTTATTTAAATCATTGGCCAAACAAACAGAAAGCTGAACAAACAGGTTTCCCGACTGCTGGTCAAGAACTGACTGCTTGCCGAGATTTGGTTCTGAAAATTTCAAAATAAGCGCATGAAGCATGTCAAGCACTGCTTCTCTTCCTGTTGGATGTTCATACCTGGAAGACAAAATCAATTACTATTGGAAAAATAAGAGCCAAATTCAATTCATAGCTAGTGCATATACATACCTCAGATTCTCCAGCAGAGATTTCACATGTTGCTCTAAACGTTTCTCAGAAAGTGGATAGTGGAGCAAAAACTGCAACAGTATCTGTTTACACTTATTGCGGATTGATTCCAGCTGACTTTTTACCAACAACTCTGAAACCTGATTTGCGATGTCATAAATTTCTGGAACCACAAGCTTCCGTTTCACGATGGCCTCGAGGAGTGAAAAAGCAACAAAGGATGGATCGGACTCCAGATCAACAAACATGGGAAACTGAATCACCAATTTCAACTGCTCCGATGATAAAGTTATACTTTGATTGCCGAGAAGTGATGTCAACAGCTTAAGGCATGACTGCACAAGAGGACTGCTGGAATTCACTGCAGACTGAGAAATGGTTAACAATGCTGTTTTCACTTCATCTGCTTCAGACATGAGGGAAGGCAGTGGAAACCTTATGAAAGAAGTGAAACACCTAAGAGCTGAAGATACAATATCTTCATACTTAGAACTCAAGCATCCAGTAAGTAGTTTGACAAATGGATCTAACTTCGACAACTCTTTATAAGCGTTGTCGCGTTTAATTTTCTTCATTCTGTTATGCAATAAGTCCAGAGCAAAGACGGTTATAAGATGTGGACATGACTTAGTACCAGAAACAAACCCAGCCGTCTCTTGTAGATCTCTTGATTTCCTTTTCGTTTTAGATGGTGGAGAAGACCCTTGATCTAAAAGACCACTCCTGTTGTTAATACCATCATCAACACGGCCATATATAAAAACAAAAAGGTCTCCTTGGTCAACAGATGGATTGCTTTCAATACCAGCTGCAATATGTTTTAGCATGTTCTCCAGATTTGATTTTATCTTTGGAGTTAGATGCCGCTTCCACTGAGCAGTGACTGGAGAAAGTAGTTTCAACGCCTGGCTTTTGAACGTTACATTTTCAGCAATCAATTTCAGAGTCTCAAATGACTTGCGTGATCTTGTTTCTTTCATTTTGAAAGCGAATTTTTCCACATCTTTCTGTTCAGCAACCTCTCCAAAGATATCAGCTTCCACCACAGCTAGGAGATCATCCAAACAATGATCTAACTTCCCACACGTAGGATTGGACAGGCACTTCGATAAGATAAAATTGACAGTGTACCCCAGCACATGCAATTCAGATCCTCGTTTTAAGATATCACGTAAGCTTCTGATTACAACTTGCATGTACTCCAGCCCCAGTTCCTTCAAACAAGCAACAAGAGCCAATCTCGCTTCATCACGTGTACTCTCCAACCGGTTTTTCAAAAAGGTGGCAATTTTCTTAATTATAGAGGGCAGATTTGAGTGCATCACATCTCCAGGGAGCAGCTTTAGAACCTTCAGCGCAGCCACCCTGCTTTTAACATTAACATTATCCGAATCAGAATTCATCAGCTTCTGCATCTTCTCCCTAGTTTTCTGAAGGTACTCCTCAACCTCCTGCGTGTAACCATCTTCTGTAAAATGAAATTTATCCAAAATTAAGCAAATAAGCCGCAGCAGAAGTTTTCCCTTTTTGGTATGCTTGTTCATCTCACGGAAACACCGATTCAATAGAGCAGAGTACGACTTCCAACTCATATGTGCAGATACAGAAGCAAGGGCCTCTGTGCATGCATTCCGGACATTATTATCTTTTCCATCTTGCCCATCGAGCAAAATGTTGAAAAAGAGCGAGACCAAAAGTTTTCTCACTACTCCCTGCAACACCAACATTTTGGTCGTAAGTATCAAGACAGTACAGCAGTTGCATTTAAAAATGTAAGAAACTCAAACGAGATAACCTCAGGCAGACTGCAATCTTTGACCACATTTGCGAAACGTGAAATTGCCCTTGCTCTACGGTGTGCCTGCAAGAAATTGAAAGGAAACCAATTATCGAAAGATTTCTACCATCTTCATAAGCTATACGCTGCTTCGTCTTCTATTGGTATAATATGGTCTCAACAAACCTATCAAATTGAATTCAAAGAGGGAAACGGAAGAACAAACAAAATCAGAAGCGGGACAGGATCATGTGTGGTTATCATATCGACTTTGATTCTCACCACCGCACGGATACAAATTGTGGACTCAAGAAATCATATGATAAAGTGACTTGCCTGAATGTGAACGATGGCTTTAAAAAAATCTACATTCTCATCTTCAGAGCATAAAGGTCTGAATGCAGCAAGATTTCCGGCATCTGGGAGTTTTGTAACCATTTCACGTATCAAAAGAATCCACTCCTGTGACAGAACAAGTCGTTTCAGAGAATCGTCAGAGCAAACTACGGGTATCCATCTTACAACTAGAATGACAATACAATATCCCTGGTCAAGAGACTTATCTCTAAAGCAGAAGCCTAACCATAAGCAATACCATAAATTTGTTAAGTTACTAAACCACCCCACAGCTAGTGTCCAATGAAATTTTCATTTTCTTCCTTCTGAGCATTTTTTCTACATAATTTCGAAGGGTTACTGTACCTTTATTATAATGCCTCCTCTGCTTATTGCATCACCAATGTGTTTCAAAATAAAGTCTCTCAAAATTCGCAGTATACGATCTCTTGTCCAGCTTGCATCAGCTATTTTGACCCCTTTGCCGAAGCCAGAGTGAGCTGAAGCCTCTTGGCAAAGTATTGAGGCTGAAAAATCAATGAAGGAAGACAAGAGCTTCTGTGCGCTTCCCCTTAACATAATTGATTCTGATGATATGTTGTATATACTTTGTGAGAGTATGATTATGGTGTGCTGCTCCGAGGATTTCTTAAAGAAATCCGCATTGATATCCAGATAAGCATTAACTATCTTTTCATAGTCAAGGTCATCAACTTCCATGGCTGAGATGGCGTTCATATCGCGGACACGCTTTGCCTGTAGGTTGAAAACCAATGTTTGTTACAATGGCAAAAGCAAGAGAAGGAAATGACTCACGATCAAATAGAGACATTACACTTACCACATCATCGATAGAAAAGTCGACTTTTGCAAGAGATTCAAGAATATCACAAATGCATAATCTAACGTCAAGTTCAGCGTCAACTAGTAGAGGAGAGACTTTATTTATAACTTTGGTGGCACTCTCAGTCCCAAGCAATGATATTATGTCCTGAATGGCTAGCAAAGCCTCACGACGGATATCTGTAAAAGCAATAAGACAGTCAACCACAAGAGACATGATAGTGTTAGGTTGCACAAAAGAAACAAAAATGAGAGTAACCATACCAGAATCTTTCACACTTTTATCCAAGAAAGAAAGCAAAACATCCAAATACTTCATAACATGAGAGCGATCTCGCATGTGCTTCGACAATAATTTAAGAATCTTAATCTCTCGTTCCCCATGATACTTGACTGATTTCCTGGACATAAATAACATGTTAAGAAAATATAGAAACAAGAGGAAATAATCTGATTCCGTCAATTAACAAAAGTCCTGACCTTTTCAAATTATCCCCAATGAAAAGAGAATGCAAGCTGTTAATCAGTGCTTCTATGTACGGATCTAAGAATCCTTTGATCATACTGTCATCCTCATCCAACTCATTGTCAAGACAAAGCAGATTCTCTATGAACTTCAACGCAGAAGATTTTATAGCTTCTGAAGCTGTGGTGACAGTAAGAATTGAGAAAATGTCTGAAACAAGAGACTCTTCCCGACATAAGAGGGTCACGAGATTGCGACTTCTACTCATTGACAAGAAGCATGAGAACAAGGAACTTGGTTTCTCACTACTAGAACCCTCCTGCTTGAAACTCTTAATTAACGGACTCATTGCCGAAAAGAGGAGGTCCCAGAACTCGGAGCCAAGATCACAATCCTCGTATTTATCAAGAACATAAGCAATAATTTTCAGACATAAGGATCTCAACTCTTTAAACTGTTTCAAAGCCTACACAAAAACCGGAAAAAAATGTCAGTCAAGACAAAAAATTTAAAAAGAAAGGAAATGGGAGAAAATAAAGGGCTTTTTGCATGGATACCTACATAAAACTTTAGGGAAAGATAAAAACAACACCAATAACCATTTTACCTGGTCATGATTTATGGAAGCATTCTCTTTATCATCTGGAGTTGATGGTGCGGTGGAGGCATTTCTTAGTGCCACTGATTCAATGTTCCTTTCTTCATCAATATTTGGAGAATAGTTTACCAATAGCCGGACAACACATCCCATCAAAAAGTCTAGAAAAGGTCGAACACGGAGTTCATCAAAGACTTCAAGGATATGCTGGATGACATGAAGAAACCCAGATTTCTGATTCCTGGATAGTATTGAAATAGTATCAATAGTGAAATGTTTAAGGAAATTCGACTTTTGGAAATAATCCAGAGAACTTTTGCCTGAACTCCAGAACAAGTCCATTGTTTCCTCTGATATGATGTTCAAAGGCTTTATCAACAGTGCAAAGAACAGGGCAAGTTCATTAACATCCAGCTGAGATATAAAGCAAAGAACTGCCTTCCGGTGACGAATACTTGTATGCTGACAAGATAAACAAAGGGAGCTTGTTAGGACCTAAATGAAAATCGCATTTGCATAGTAAAGTAAACTAAAAGAAGTAAGTAATCTGTACCTTCCGTGAAGCCAAATTCTTTAATGTCCTAACTTTTGGCATAAGTATGCGAATTACAAGAGAAAAAAGATGAGATCGGTGAGCTTCTTCAATGTCTTCGGACAAGTTCCAGGTTGTGAGTTCTTCTCTCAATTCCTCTGGTTTGATCAATTTCAACAAATGCTCGCGGTGTGGGAGTAAGAAGTCGTTCGACAACAAAAGGCACTCTAGGACAATGGTTTGTATTTCACTATCATTATCGTCCAGGAACCTGAAAAAATATCCAAAAACAAACAAACACATGCAAAAGTCAATGAAATAATTCAATTCTGTACCAGGAAGGAAAGTTCTTATTCCAGGAGGTTCAGAAGAACAGTGTATTATCATATTGAGTTAGTCTCGCCAACCTATTCTGTAGAACGACGTTTAGGAATTGGCTAAAACGAAACGATCTAGGATTCTTCATCAATTTCAGCAGAGTCAACCACTGTATAAGAACTTTCTTCCAATCCTCTCCTTTGCAAACTTGGGCATTAAATAATCCGACACTGCAAGATAAAAGAAAAAAAGATGAACGACGGTTGTATACAATTACTCTTACGAAGAACAAATACAGAGACATGGTTACCTCATTGGGTTCTCACTATTATATCCCAGAAATTTCAATAACAAAGGGAGAATTTCAGAAGCATGGGACTGAGCAACAGTGGGAACTTTTTGTAAGGTCTGGAGCAATCGAGATACTACCCCAGCAGTAGATACTTCCGCAGCGGTAGGTGTGCTATCAGCCGCCGGAAAGAGAAATGAACTAAAACGGCCAATGAGATCTGTAGATTGAAAACAATAACATATATGCATTAGGCTGTAAGGAACAGAAGATGCTTAGATTAAAAAAAAATAATAAGATAGAGATGTACTTACAAACATATATTGAGTCTAACATATTAAAACAGGAGCAAAAAATTTGGGAAATGGTATTTGAAACGGAAAGAACCAACTCACTCATTATATGAGCGGATGAAAACTTACCAGTATGCCTATCTGACATGATGTGGTTCGCATTCTCACTATGATTGTGGGGTATTTCAAATTTTAGTTGCCACTGGTCCAAATAACAAACAAAATCACTCCACACAGCTCCCGTGTGATTCCTCAGAAGAACCGCAAGACACTCAGATGCTGGAACCCACAACTCACCATATCCAATATGAAATAGTCCAATCATCCCATTCAATACTAGCTGCACATATGCCGCATGTATCCTGCCAGCAGTGAGATCTTTTTTTATTTTAGAAATCTCACTGACCAACCTCTGCTCCGTATCCAATGTGGGAGCAGTCTCTTCGACTGTGCGTAATGACTGAAGAACCTGGTAGTTTGAAGGAAAGTTTTAAGAAAGCAGTGGGAAAATGATAGAATGCAGAGGCAACAATTATAGTCACACCTGCTAGTAAAGAATCTGCCTGAGGCGAAAAAAGCTTTTAAAGTAGAGAACAAAGGATATATACTCACATTCCGTTTAGGAGGAGATTTATTAGTCTCATTAGTTTTCATATTCTTCTTAGGATGCTCTTCAAAAGAAGGGTCAGACGACAAAGTTTCAAAATGGCACAAAATCCTCAGAGTCATAAGACGGATGTTTTTGTTTGGGTGACGCAAATTTTCCGAAAATTTGTCGAACGCATCTTTAGCATTTTTTGCTTGAAGTTCTGGATATGCCTTAGACCTGTCATCATGACCTAATGCAGACCTACGATTTAATATAGATTAATGGATCAGCCTACAGTCACAGAGTCATCAAACATGGAGAAATAACTGAATAACAACCAAAACAGACAAACTCACCCGTGCATTAAATCCAAAAAATCGGCCACGGGAGACAACACTTGTACACATGACTTGTAATCTTTAGCAAAAGACAAAGCTTCCTCTAGATCACTTTTGTTGATTCTTCTCTGCAGTTTATAGCATGACCTCAAAGCAGCACCAAGTAAGCTCTGCCACATCAGTTCTGGGGCACTAAAAGTGTCGGCTGAAAAGAACGACGCATAAGACGTTACAATGAACTCAGGACATAAACTAACATTCAAGAACAGCTAAATCACCACTGAACAGCAGTTCAATGAAATAAAAATCACGGCAAAGACAATGAAAAAGTAGCATATGAGAATTATTTAGGTTTCTGCTTAGTGGGAGACTCAGACCATGAATCTTCATGTGTTTGATCATCAGATGACACTGATCAAGCATATAATTCGAGTGGCATCTTTGAGAAAAAAACAGCATAAAACAAAAAGAAAGTAACATGCATAAAAGAGTAAATCATGCAATGAAACTTACCATCCCACATGGCCAAATGCTGTCGGAGAGTTTTCTTGAAGCTAATCAATAATGATGAATCCACTTTAAAATAAGGATAACATATGACAACTCCCCAAACGGCAGCCAACTCGGCCTCATCAATCTGAGATGCTCCAGTATTCTCTATATTCTGTCGAACCTTCTTGAAATTTTCTTCCAAAAACTCATGAATTCTCTCAAATCCACACTCAAATGTTTGAACTACAATGTTCGCCCTATCGTGACTTGTTTGTTGTTTTTCACACAACGTTAGTAACAGAGGAAGAACTTCCTCAGAAGACTCCCAAATCATATTGTTGATTGCACTGCAAAATAGAATTTAGTTGCTAAGACACGGAGATAGGAAAAATTAAAGAGGTACGGAAAAACTATCTGAGTATTACCTTAATATATTATTTGTAAAAGCTTTCACTACTGCTTGATCCTTCTGTATCAGCTCGCGCAAAAAAGACAGCAAACTGAAAATAAACAAGATCAATGTCAGGAAAAAAAAAGATTAAAAAATATAAAACAGATAAACAGTAGACAATACCTTGAACTCTTCAAGGCAAAAATGGGAGCCCATTGCGAAGCAACAGTTTCCATTTCATTGACTCTGTTTATTGTGCATAATATCAGTTGTAGAACTTCATCAAGGACAGCAGATAAGTTATCCCCTTCCAGAGCGGTCTCAGAGGAAGGCACAAAAGTTGACACAATGAGGCTCACGAGCCGAATCAAAGATTGGTAATCTGTTACACAGTGACAGTAACTTAAATTGGCAATACAGTCACGAAATTATATGTTTCATGTGCAGTCAAAAGAGAGTACAATAAGAAGAGAGGGTGAGAGAGAAGCAAGTCAACAACTGAATCACTCAATCACTCACCATACGCCTTGAGACCTTTCTCAAACCTAATCGCTGCGGTAAGCACACTCAACAGTCGGCTTAAATGAACTGAGTTTTTGTTTAAGATTGATTCGTTTATTTCCTGATTCAAGCATTCCCACATAACACTTAATTTTTCTGCTTCCAAATCCTTGCATAATCTCTGCAAAGTCGAACTCACAACTTCCACGACTGAACCAAGGCCTGCATCGCGACAAGATTCAACCATGATAAGAAGGAAGGAAATAAGATTCAAAACCTTGTGAATCGGGTTCAGGTTATTTTATTCAATATTGTTTATCTAAATGGTTAATCGCCTCTAACTAAAAGAAGAAATTGTCACCTCCAGCAAGAAATTAAAAGCAGTTAACAATGATTCTCACCTCCCACCAACATATAAGTATCGTTTTTTATTTAGAAAAAAAAACGAAAGAAGCTAATAAGTACTGGCTCTAAATTATACACCAAACAGTATAAAACACGTCTTAAACCAGTAATTCCTAGATTCATCACAGGCGACCTGGATTCGCAAATATAAGAAAACTCTATGATACTACTTCCCATTAAATTTAACCCTCTCCACTAAGAACTAAAAACAAGAGGAAGGTTAATCAACCAAACTAGACTACTACATAACATACACTTCTCAACAAAATATTCTTAACATCTCTTAAGAAAGGGAACTTGCCTTCAGAAGAATTATCACAAAGAGATAATGTTGAATCTTTCAGCAAGAACCTCAAAACTCTCTCGGCTTTTGAATGGAGACTTCCACAGGTACCCCTCATCATAACATAATATAGTAAACCAACTCCCCCAGCTTTTTTGGGTGGATCTGCAACTTCGGATAGGACTCTTTTTATCCCTGTAATGTTTAGGAGAGAAGAGTCAACTGGATTGTCCCTAACATAGACATGGAAAAATACTTGACAAGCAATTTCTCACCTTTTTCAAGTTCCTCATCCCGCGCATTCCTCAACAAAAATGACATGGACTCTGACATAAATTCATTGATATAGTCTTTGGGGTAATACCTCAATTCCACCGTATCCCTTCACCATAGAGAAAATAAATACAAAACAAAAATGAAACCAATAAGATGAAGAAAACCCTTTAATAATTAAATTTTTAAACATTTAAAGTATGCGATAGCCATTTTTTGTCTTCCAAGGATATTAACAACAAATTACTTAATTTTTTGGCAGCCTCCCTTGATCCAGTAAGTTAAAAAAAGAGAGAGAGAGGGAGAGAGAGAGAGAGAGAGAGAGAGAGAGAGACCATGTGCAATTATCAGATCCATCACAGTAACCATACGTTCTAGATTACATTGAAAGTCTTAACTATACTTACCTGAGAATACCTTCGATGTCGCATATGAGATACTTCCGCAGGTTCAGCAGTATTTCAGACCATGATGAGAATATCTGCGAGAAAGAAAGACCAAAATTTAGCGTAAAGAAGATGTACAATTATTGTGAGTGTACACAGTACAACATGTTATAGAACACCAACAACCTGCTCAATAATATCCGGCTCTTTCTCGGCACCAGCTTTTAGGAGAGTCACAAAGGAGTTCACAATCCGTGGAAGGAAGCTAGCCAAGAAAACAATGACAAAAATTGTTTAGAACATTAGACAAGATTTGATCAAAGAACTTGCAAGCGAAGCTCGAGCACTTAACCCTTATGATAAATTCAAACAATCTGCCAAATATCGGTCAATAGCGAAAATTAATTTTTAGTGGTCTAACACGGTCATGTATACATATGAGACGACAGTAATAAAAAATCAGATAACAACTCTTTCTGGCCACTGTATGCAAAGAAAAGAAGTGCAAAAATTGTGTTGACATGTTGAAAGATAGTTCAGTGCGGCAAAACTAAATCAGTTCACAGATGACAAGGAAACGGATTTAAAAAATCTAGATTTTTCAGAGTTCCATGACATTAAGGAGTACTCCGTAGGCATCTTAAAGCAATTCATCAGCTTTTCTAAAGCATTAACTTTCACTAAGCTTCATAGGGAGTACTATGTTATCAGAGTACTACGCTTAATGTTTGGATTACTCTAACAATAGAGGGTGCAGCAGGCTTGACAGTGACAAAAAATATTCATCCACGTTTTAGAAACTATATAAGAGTATTTTGCAGCTGCAAAGAATAAAGAGTTAAAGAATACTCACGGAATAAAGTCTTCCAAGAGATCTCTTGATAAAGCAGCAATCAACCTGCAATAAAAAAAATTCTTTAATTTCGATACAGAAGAAGAATATATAAGTGCAGAAATTTAGCGACCATTATCTTCACTGATCTGACAACATTATTCTTTATCAAATATGTCCGAAGAAACAAACATTTTGCATAGAACAATGATTAGAAAGTGATTTCGAAGTGCTGTGGTTATTGGTTAACTACACCGTCTAAAAGTTAAGATTCAGAGGCATACAGAAAAATCTGACAAGTAAAACTGAAGTATAAGAGTGAAACATATGTCTCTGAGAAAAAAAATCGAACGATAGCACAAATCCACTGGCAGATGGTTCCAGACTAAAAGAATGAGCAGAAATTAACATACCTGAGAATGGGTTCGAGAGACAGTCTTCCTTTCATTTGTAATCGAGAGACAAGTTTTGTGAAGATTTTTTCTTTTTGCAAAATTACCAAAGGTAATGTCTGAACAAATGGCAACATTTCTTCATAAAACAAAATGAAATCTTCAGCTGTATTCAGCTCCTGCATTCAAACAGCCAAATAAACCGAATTTAATCTCACTAAAACGTATGTGTAAGTGTGATCGAGCACCAAGAAGACTTCGATATATATAAAGCAAAAGCAGCAACAGCCCCGCTAGTTCATCACATACACTGCAGCTTCTACGTCGGACATCAACAATATATTCAGAGAGACAGTGTTTCTCTGGTCACCCTAGAATGCCTATAGAACAAACTAACGAGAAAACGAAGTACCAACATTCCTTTTAAAGCAGAGGCGAGCTAGAGAGTTGGCAATCTCTTTACGATATCTTGTCAGCAAGAATATCCGTGGGTGTAAATTCCAAGTTCAAACTATCACTAAATTGCCATTAATTTTTATGTTTCAACCACTGCAACTTCTAGCCGGTAATAAAGCACCCCTTACTAAAGACTAGGACTGAATTACTTCAGATTCTTAACCTGAAACCACTACAGTAAGTAGCATACCGCAGTCCAAGACCACAACAAAAATATTGAAACTTAAGAAAGATTTCGAAGGCAACAAAATCAAACTTACCCTCCATTCTACGAGGCGATCTCTAAAAAATGAGGATCCCTCTGAAGGCTCAGCCTTCACCTTATCCAGGCTCCTAAACACGTTGATGTCAATGTCATTGATTCTCTGAGAGACAGTCTTGAACTGCATCCAGAAGTAATAAACCAGAAAGGGCCATATTAGAGAGCACCCGGGAAACAGATAATTGAGCTTACTAATGCGGTGAAACAGTGGACACTATGACAGGTAATAAAAAAAAAATATCAACATATTAGGAAAAGGAAAAGACATGTACTAACATATACACGCCCAAGTGTTACCATGAATTCCAATACCAAAACAAAGAACCCTATAGTTATAGCCTGAAAGAGACTATCTATGCTAGAATACATTTGAAATTTAACAAATCCTCTGTCTTTACCCCTCAAAGAAACACTAAGCTAACTGGTGTTCGATTTCATGGACCTACAACCAAAGATTATTTGAATATATCCATCACACGATTCTTTGAATTGTGACTCACAATTCCTTCCTCACATCCAAAAGGGCTCATAGTTGTGGGAAAAAAATTGATACACCCCAAAACTTCTTCTATGAAACTGAAGCAAGTAAATACAAGAAGCAGAAGGAGAACACGCACCACAAATCTCTTGCGTCCCTCGGAATTGTTGAGCGACTTGACTGCCCGAGCATCCGCCGGAGTCGCCATGATTCAGAGAGAGTGTGGAAAAACTGTTATTGTTTCTACCTCACCACGATCAAACTCGACGCAACGATTTCAAAGGTTCTGCCTTTCCTAAACATCAAATTCCAAAACAGTAAATTTCAATTCCAATACTTTACAATTCAGTTCAGAATAAACAAGGTAAAGCTTCTACGAGCTAACAACTCGGTTTATCCATCTGTTTCTATAAGTTCTGCTAACACAAGAAAAAAGCTGCACTTTGAGAATCGACACAAGATAAACAACAAAGGTAAACTTACGTTTCCAAACGAAGTCACACAGAAGCAAGCAAGATTGGTCTCTAACAGAAAAAAAAAATCGAGAAAGCCGGAATTTGAGATAGAGAGAGAGGGTAAGAACGCGGCGGAGGAAGAAGGGTTTAAGCTCCTTGTGTTCTCAATCAAAGAGGCGGTTGGGTTTAACGAGGCGGTTAGGTTTATTCTGGTTGATCTGTAACCGATACTTTTCTCTTAACCGAATTTTCGGGTTTTGTCGTATGTTTCTCGGTTTTCTATAACCGACATACAGTATATGTATTTCCCTTTAAATTGATTTTATATTTGGTCTAGAGCCAATTGAAGAAGGAAGAAACTAGAGGAGTTAAAAAAGACCAGCGACTGAGATCGAAACAAATATGTGAATTTGTCGTAGATAAGGAAAATAGTGGTAAAGGTGTATTTGGATGTACCCAGTAAAAAGAACTAAAAATACGTTTTATTTTTATTTTTGTAATTTATGAACATTGCAAGATGGATCATAACATCTATTATTCAAAAAAAATTATTTTAAAAATAATCTTCTTTTTCTGTTATATTTGATCTAATATATCATGGTTTATACATACTCTATTATTTAACATGTTAATTTCATGGTTTTACATGGTATGAGAACTTTGAAGTTTAGTCCCAAAAACTCGGTCTAACATGTAGCCATGTAGGTATGTTAGAAAAGAAAGCAATCACATGTAATTCTCAATGTTATTTGTACCATAGTTGTCTGAGTTATTTTTTAATTACAGTCCCTTGTCATTCAAGATTGTGATATCGAAAGTCAATAAAGCTATTTAGTTAGACCCCAAAAAAATAAAAATAAATTACACCTCCTCCCCCCCCCCCTGCCATATAACATTATTGATTAAGCACAAACAAAAATAATTATAGCATTGATTTTATGTACATGAGATGATAGATCTAACTCTCTGTTGTGTAGTACATCAATGCTTACCAACAATTGCAATTAATAAATAGGAAGTGTATTAAAACTCATTTCTACCTCTTGTGAGTTTGTGCAAAACTCAGAATGTCCCATGTGCTTAATCATGCATAGTTCTATTATATATTTACTTGTCTTTTACAATTAAATATTCATAAAATCCGGTTCGATATATTCCTTTAATTTAAGTCGTATGAAATTATAGAAAAACTAAAGATTTTATCTAAGCGAAATTAACAAATAACAAAAGAATGCCAAATCATATTTTTATCTAATATATAGTATTATTGTTGATTGATTGTAGCAATGATTAACATGTTAAATTATAAGTAGTAATAAGTATCCCAAGACATTAGAAGCACACTTAGTTGAAAATGGAAGGACATATAATAATTTCCTATGTAAAAAAAAAGGTATTACAACAAATAACAAGCCCAAATGTTTGAAGATTGCAGTCATGTAAATACGTCTAAAACCTGTTTTCAGTTCATTTGCTACTCTTACTGTATTTTTGGATATTAATCTAACAATTGTGATCCACTGCAATTTTTTCTCTTTTTTCCCTATCGTTTGCATATTTAACCCATATGTCATCGACTCATCGGTAAAATATGTCCATGTATTATGTTACATGTACACAGATATAATGGATAGCCAGAAAATGCGAACGCAATATAACAAGAAAGTTAGACTAATAGAAATGAATAAAATGGTAACATCTCTCATGTTATTAGTAATAGAAAATGCGCATATTTTAGGATTTTTTTTACTTCGCAGTTGATATCTAAAATGGTAATGAGCTCAGCTATGATTCAGTGATGATAATGATTACTAGATGATGGTACACTGGTGATGATGATTATGCTCAGGATGGTGATATTCCGTTTCATTCTTGTCAAAGAGGATCCCGATTCCCGAATTTCTCAAAAGTTAACGAGATCGACTGTTGAAAAACAGTTTCTTCGGATAAAGAATCATATAATTACAAGAATAAAAAATATAATCATCGATCTATTAAGAAGTCATCTTATGTGGACACTTATTTTTAAACACGAGTATCGTCTACGGGGATAGTTTGTTCGTGATCTTGGGGACAATTAGTAAACAGTAGAATATTGAGATGAACCAGAGAGCTAAGACCTCATTGATTAATCTAACCTTTAGCATCATTATACAATACGAGTATATGCTAAATGTCTAAATTAAAGATGTCATTGCGGAAAATGTTACTTATGCGTTATCTTTTAGACTATTGCATTAGGTTTTATACTGAACCCTGTTAAAGACAGATATTTTTCTTACTTAAGATGTCTATAGTGGTAATTAAAAATGTCACGATAGAGATTTGTAATATGCATAATTCGACCCCTAACACAAATCCACATGCAAAAAAATTCACTACTTAAACAACGTGCCACTATACCACTACATATTGGTCATCTAATTATATATTTTGAACTAAAAGAAAACAAAAAATCCACAAAATTTTTTTAGAAAGTTATTTCTATCCAAAACTTAAGTTTTCAAAACGGTGTAATCAAGATAAATTATAAAATCTGTTTAAAAGATGCGTTATTAGAAAATATATGCTTTTCATATAAATAAATAAACTAAACAGGCGAAGTTATAGTTCAACCAGTAATAAAGTGTATAATAGTTTTGATTTCTTTCAGCTTTCGATTTGACGAAGAAATTATTTATCCAACTATGTTTTACTTACTACTGAATAGTTGTCAAAAAGAATTATCAACAAATAATTTTTAAACTGAAGATACAATATCGTGAGTGGAATGATCGATTATATAATTGGTACTTAAAAAATAAAGACATAAATAGCAAATATACGGAAAGTAAGGACGAAGATGCTAAGAAAAAATAATAACGCATATTACTTGTATAACCCTATAAATTTCAAATATTACAATCCCCATCCCTCCTTAAGACTCCATAATAAAGCCTTAAACCTCAACATTTTCAACAACATCTCTCAAATCGGAAGAAGAAGAAGCAGAGAAAAAGCCATGAATTCGTCTATTTTAACAACACCTTCCTCTTCTTCTTCTTCTCCTCACCTCCAATCTCCTGCAACATTTGACCACGATGACTTCCTCCACCACATCTTCTCCTCCGCTCCTTGGTCTTCCTCCGTACTCGACGACGCTCCTCCTTCCGATTCCCCCGTCGCCGGATTTCACCATCACGACGTCGTTGATTCCGGAAACCAGATCACCATGATTCCTTTGTCTCACCATAATCCAAACGACGCCGTTGATGGCTCCTCCTCCGTTCACGCTCTCTTCAATGGCTTCTCCGCCGGATCCCTCCCTTTTCACTTCCCTCAGGTCTCATTTCCTCTGTTTTGATTTTTTTTTTTTTGAAATACTTCAAGAAAAAAAATATATATTAAATGTGATTTTCCGATTTAAAAAATTAGGGGTCGGGAGAAAAAATGATGAACCAAACGCAAACGCAAACGCAATCTCAGGCGACGGCGTCAACCACCACCGGTGGCACGACGGCGCCGCCGCAGAATAAGCCTAAAGTTCGAGCTAGGAGAGGTCAAGCCACTGATCCTCACAGTATCGCCGAACGGGTTCGATTTTTCTCCCTCGTTATTAGCGTTCAGTTACCGAGGAAAACATCGTGGGATTTAAATTAAGTCTTAGATTAAATATTTTTGGGGTGATTATTGAAATATTTTTGAAAATTATGGAACAGTTACGGAGAGAGAGAATAGCGGAAAGAATGAAATCTCTTCAAGAACTTGTCCCTAATGGCAACAAGGTAACTACTGATACTAATCTGTTATTAGCTGAATCGTAATCACATGATTTAAATCGTCATTAAACTGGATTTCGGTCATTCGTGTTCATAGTTAGTAAAATTTTCTCAAACGAGTGAACTCTTATATCCATTTTATTATAGTTTTATATATCTCAAATTAAATAATGTGTTAATCATATGAACCTCACTGATGTGTTTTAGTCTTGGAGTTTATAATGTTGGACCACAAATGCTTGTACTAGTTTAGTAGGTTATAAAGAGCTTTGGACTTTTATACAATCAAATGATTAAACACTGATTAGGTAATTAATTGTTAGATTAAATTACTAATATAACAGATGTAGTATCGCTGACAAGGTTTTTTTATTTTGAACAAAAAAAAACAATTAACAGACAGACAAAGCATCAATGCTCGATGAGATTATCGATTATGTCAAGTTCTTACAGCTCCAAGTCAAGGTGAATCTCTCTTTGATAATTACTATAAAATAAACGTAATCATTTTTTTATAATAATGGAAGCTTCATTATCTTTGAGTTGATATTACAACATGTAATCGAATATGGGACTCTGCAACTAAAATTCCTTATGCTCCCTCTCTCATTTTTTTGTTATTATTTACCTTTTGGGTAGTTATAACTTGTAGTAATCACCCGTACAGTCAAGTTAAGTAATTATAATGGAACGGTGAACTTTGTAAACCATTTTTAAAAATTTCGTATGCAGGTATTAAGCATGAGTAGATTGGGAGGTGCTGCTTCTGTTTCTTCTCAAATCTCTGAGGTAATTTCAACAATTCTTTCATTAATTCTAATTAATGACAAAATATATATTATGAATCGCATAGATTAAATAATTAGGTTTTCATTCAAGTCATATCTTTTTTTTGGGGCGAGTCATATCATTTAAGTCTTATCTTATAATTCGCACGTTCTAATCATTTTCTTACATGATGATAAGAATGACGTTATGATCACCACAAACATAGAACTCCATGAGATTAACCTTATTTTATGCTACAGCTAATAGAAGAAGTAGAGTATGGAAAGAGTTTTTGTTAAGGAAGAAGACAAGTTTAAAAGTACTTTTTGGTTTCGACTTTCTAATACAAATAAAAGTTTTCCAAAAAGAGAAAAAAAAAACAGAACAAGAAACTAAAATTGCAAATATTTTCTTAAAAAAGGCGAGGCACGCGTGCTGATTTTCACTTGTTCTCTCTCTTTCTTCAACAAGGCAAAAAAAGTAAAACACCTTCGATTTTGACATCATAGCTTTAGGGTTTTGCTTTTCATGTTTGCTATATTTTCTAAAAGCCAAAAAGAAATAAGTTTAATTTTATTAATTTTATTTACAGGATGCCGGTGGATCCCACGAAAATAACTCCTCCACGACCACCGAGAATCAGACGACGGCGAAGATGACGGAGCAGCAAGTGGCAAAGCTAATGGAAGAGGACATGGGATCAGCCATGCAGTATCTACAAGGCAAAGGTCTCTGCCTCATGCCCATCTCCTTAGCCACCACCATCTCCACCGCCACGTGTCCTTCTCGTAACCCATTGATATCCGCCGTCAAAGATGCCGGCGTTCCTTTGTCTCCCAACATCTCCGCCCATTCGACGAACACAGCCACTACAACAATTGTTAACGGTTCGTCGTTGGTCACCGTTAAAGATGCTCCCTCCGTTTCTAAGCCGTGATGACGGCCGTTTATATATCATTTTGGGATTATGTGTGGTTAGTCTGAGTGGGGAAAAAAAAAAACAGAGACAGCGGAAAGTGGGAGATGTGGTTTTCGTCAAAGTCTAGAAAGAATAAAGGGGTTGCGTTCTGGGATAAGACACCGTATTTTGCGTACACTTTAGTTCTGTTCTGTCTTTTACATACTACAAACCACTCAATGGCACACTTATGTTTTCTCTTTTTGTATTAATCTAACATTTCCAATGTTTTTGGTTTATAAAGTTATATCCTCCAATGGGATGTTACAAATCCAATCGATATGCATGATGTAAATACTCTATCTAATGGAAACGAATATGGCGGATTTCTGTATCCATTAATCCTCTATTTGCATTTGAGTATTTCTATGACATAACACGTCCCGTCTTGACCAATGTCAACGATATGATCATTTACGCCAAAGAGATGGACGATCAGACCACACAAGTTTGAAAAATCAGTACACATTTAAGCAGGTTTGAATCTACTGTATTTATGGATTATGGTCACTAGGCTGTGCGGTCTATAGAACATACGATTATTACACTAAACTGGTATGATCTCATTTTAATCCTCACACTTAGCAAAAATTGACAACTTTGTAGAGTAAACTAATAAGAGTCAATTTAGTTACTGTGTTTACTCTAAAACAAAATTGTCGGAAGAAAATATAAAACTTCTTTCTTTACATTTCGTATGAGTTTTGACTTCAAATTTATTGTAATTAATTTTGAGCCACAAGTAAGTGGGACACAGTTTGACTCAAAGAGTGGGTGACTACTAACTCCACACTACACCCATTCATTTTTTAAAAGCAATTTACATATTACAGTATGATTGCAAGCAGAGCTTTAAAATTAAGCTACTAGTCGGCTATAATTCCTCATCCATTTTCTTAGTGACCTTGCAACATTCGTAAACGAAACAGTTACAACCTCTTTCCCAAGTCTATTAGTTGGTCAACGAGCCTAATTAATTGGTGGACTAGTGCGCACTATATCTACCCCATTCGCAAGATAATTAAGCTGGCAAAAAGATTAACATTTGGTAGTTAGTATGTTCAGTTCATCAACACCTACTCTCGATTTGAAGATCTGTCAGTAAGAGCAATCTATAATTCTATAAGACTATAACTTTCTGAGAAGGGGCAACAAATTCAATTTCTAGCTGGTAAAGGGAACATATATAGTATACTGTATAGTTTCTCCAAATACTGGCAGAACACTAACACTATTGACAGCAACTTATTGGTCATTACTCTTTCAATAGTGGATGACTAACCACTTTCAGAGCATTGATTCAAAACAAAATAATGTCTACTGATTCAAAAATGATAATCACCCTCATGAACCACTAAATTTAAAGTTTTAAACTAAGGACAAACCTTAACATCAAGAAAGACGAGTATATGGTCCTAATATACTCGCACCTTTGCTGTGAATATGAGAAGACTGGCACAGTATCACACATTCTGCTGTTTCTGAGAATTGGATCGCTGATGAGGCACTCCCATGATAGATTTTTCGGTACCATTTAACGCCAAGACCTAAGAGTCAGACACATCTCTTGTATTAGGTAAAAGATGATATGTAAATCCAACAGGATTGATATGCAAAAATTAGTTCACACAAGAACACAGTTAAGATATCAATTTAGTTATCCCTTCGTTGTTTCATAGGAACAATTTAGAGCAAAACCATTTCGTGGTTTAGCTTTAACTACGGACCTAGGGCAAAAAATAATATAAATGAAGCATCTATGATAAGAAGAAGAAGCTAATTTTCCTCAATCTTGTATGCGTCCATTCAGATGGCAAATCCAAATAGAACAAATAACAATTCATTAAACCAGTAGATGTTATCGGCAATGCAATTCATCATAAAAGATTATTAATTTGAGTTCTGGATAGTGAGTTAGCAAAGACAGTCCATAGGTTCATTTCTAGGTTCTAGCACATAATGCGTATTATATATTCCCACCATTTGTTAATATGCTTGTGAAGCAAAATGGAAGACAAATGAATTAAAGAGCATGACACACCTCATGGACATGAAATCAAGTTCTCGAGTACAAAAAGTGGAGATGAAATCGAATAATACCTCCAATCTATTTATATCCTATCCTATGCAGAGAGACGAGAGGAAAGAAGGCAGATGAAGCTGTTGCATCTGTGATCATAGCATAGATTAATCAGCAAATGATTTTCTTCAGCTTCAAGTCAGCAAACCCACTGAATCCACATTGCATGAGAAACGTGTAATTCTTTATATCGTTATTAACCACCACAAGATTTTTACAATTGTTTTGGTGATGACTGTGTGCAAATCCACAAAACAGGGTCCTGTTCAACTATAATAAACTCACTTGCACAAGAAGGTCTAACCAAGGCAATCAACGACGACACTTTTTCTAACTTGGTAATTTCTCTAGAGTACCTAAAAGCCTACAAATGCCCTTGATCATAATATATTTTTTTATTTGTGTTATTTACCTACCAAACCATCAGTATAGCTTTATCTGAATGCAAACAAAAAAGAAAGAACATAGAAAGCCTAACTCATAAGATGGTGCATCACATTTTATTAGAGAACAAGAAACTCTAAATCAAATTGTGTCTTAGAATCTTGCAATTGGTTTTTGAACAGAATCTGGAGTTGACGCTCATTTGAAATCACAGGTTAAATTACTTCAAGAACGAATATCTGAATAATAAGCCTATGGAAAACTGCAGAAACAACAGTCATTACAATACCTAAACCAACATAAGTAATTAAATGAACATTATACCCTTATATACATGCATAAATTTCAAGGCTTATGAAAGGAAGCTGGGGATAACATGTGATACACCGTACACAGAAAGTCTATGCATTTCCACTCGTTATCTGTTTGTGACTTTCATATATTGATTTCAAGGTGAAGCGCTTTAGACACCATAACTGGTAATTAACCAAATTTCCAATTTGATTTCATCAGACACAACACAAGAACTACGCGGAGTTGAATGGTTGACACAAAAATAGCAAAAGCTCCTTCGTTTCCGATTTATATTGTGAATATGATCGAAAGAACGCGCTCATCTATGGGAAAGACTAGAAAACACCACTCCCTTCTTAGTTAAACGCATTAATTATAGTGCATTTATAATCAAAGCAGACTAGACATCATCATTACAAAGCCAGACATCCAATTACAACGCACTTACTATTCACAACAAAATTATTCGACATTAAGAATAAGCTTAGACATCAAAGCTACAGATCGAAACAACAAAGAATAACATCAAATTAGATATCGTTATAGATAGGCAGCTTAATTAAGATCAACCACTTCAGTGTTATCTAACGTTATATAACATTTCTAACATTTACCCATTTCCACTGTTCACGACTTTACTTATAGATTTCAAGGTGAAGCACAATAGACATCGGTAAACCAAAACAGAATTTGATTTCATCAACACAACTCAAAGACTTCCTTACTTAAATATTTGACACAAAATTAGAAAGATCTCCTTACATTTCATACACAGTGATGGAATTAACATAAGCCAACATTCTGAGAAAAAAAAAAAAAAAAAACAACATAACTCATGCCTTTGAGTTGATCCAATATAATGTAGTAATCAAAGCAGACCAGACAAAATCACTGCAAAACTAGGCATCTAATTACAAAGCACTTGATGTTGACAAAAAAAATCTCATTAAAAGACAGAAACATTACGCTTGGCCAGCACAACAAAAGATAAATACCCAACAAGAATAACATTATATAAAATTATCATTTAATCCGAAACTCAAATAGATCAATCATTTCAGTAGAAAATAACAATTTGAAGCTGCTTGGCAGCAGAAGATAAACAACTTTAGTAGAAAATAACGTTTTTAACCTCCTTTTGGCACCAGATGATTAAGAATATAAACAATTTCAGTAGATAATAGCATTTTTTAAATTCCTTTTGCACCAGAAGATAACCCAAAATCGAAATCTAATTCCTAGCAAATTCAGAAGCAAAAATGAAGAAACTTGGAATGAAAAAGAAAGGATAATAAAAAGCATTAGGTATAGGGTTTAATCTTTCTCTTTTGGATCACAACTTGCAAAGAAATCAAGTTAAGTGAAACTCCTTTACCTACTCCAGGATCACATTCCAAGAAGGACTTCAATGCACCAACTAGCATTAATCCGTACAAACCTAACACCAAAAAGGAAATTATAGATCAAAGACTTTTTAAGAACAAACAGCTGGATTCAGTGCTTCATTACAAACCTCCTCATAGAAAAATTCCTATTTCCATCAAAACGGCACAGAACTTGCGTATACATGAAATAGAACTGAAACAAAGATCATCATTCACAAATGCTATCATTAACGGTTAAACCTGAAATCTGAAAAGAAAAAAAAAAAGGAAGATTGAAGAAGAAAACATAGTAACAGCATCATTGCATGTTGCTCTTTAGATCAAAAGGGATTTCTTAACATGCAGAAACTTAAAAAAAAAAAAAAAACAAAAACAAAAAAAAACACTCAGATTTCATCCAAAAAAGACAAAGAGACAATCAATAGTAAAATAATCTTTGAGAAGAATGTGTACCGGTGGGGGGTTTCATGATCATCAAAACTCGCGCTTTTCCTAGATCCACTAGAAGAAATCAACCATAGCACAGTTAAAATTATATACTTAAAATCATAAACCCAAATAAAAAAATCGTAGCTTTTGTCCACCCAAACTGCTCGAGATCAAACATTCTTAAGCACCCACTTCAACACAATACAGAAAAAAAATTAAACATATTAGTAATATATACAAGTAACGAAACGAATGTGAAAGGGTAACAGTCTTATCCACATCACGAGAGCCAAGTGCACAACAAAAGAGATGATAAGAAGGTCAGTGATATAGTGATATGTATAGATGATAAGAAGGTAAATAAATTTGAGAGTGAAAGAAGATAGAGAGAGTGAAAGAGAGAGGCAGGCAACTGACAGAAAGAGAGGTGAGCACGCACACGCAAAGTAATGGACACATAACAGTGCCTGCATGTGCTCACTCTCTTCTGTCAGTTTTCTCTGTTTGCATTTCTTCAATCACCTCCTTCTCTGTCTTCTAACATCAGCTATTTATTGAAAGCCAGAAATAAAAACCTGTTCAGGAACATAACTTTCTTACTCTCCTATCTAATTCCTCACAGATCCCTCCAAACCCTAATGAATACTCGAGAACCCTCCTCAATTCACTCGTCTTTCAGATTCTAGCTAGAGATCCCTGCTGAGTATTGCTTTCTTCTTCTTTGCATAGTCTGTAATGGCGAACACTGTCGGTATATAAAGAGAGAGAGAAAGGTCAAGATGAGAGAGAGAGGGCACGAAGACAGCGGAGATTGTGGTTTTTTCGTTTCACTTTCTTTTTTTTTTCTTTTTTTTGTTTCTTTGTTTCTAATCTTTGCTAGAGAGTTTTAGAAGATTTTCAACACGTGTCTTTCTGTGAGTGGATAGAAGAGCACACCTGGTGGGTCAAATCTCGTAACAGATTGGGGTCTTCAATTTAAATCGGGTTTTCAAAGGGTGGCGCGTGTGTAACACAGCCAACGAAAAAGTCTTTTTCTTTTTATCTCTGGTGTGTGTAACTGTGTGTATGTGTGACTGTATTTTTTAGTCCAATGAATTCTGTCAGACCTACTTTTCTTTTCTATTAATTTCAGTTAAAAAACATTCATTCTAGAATAAGCCACCCTTTACAAAAGCCGATTTATCAAATCGAAGACACAAAATTTTGTTTGTTACAGACCTTATGGGTATATATATGTGGTAAGTTAAAGAGTTTAACGTTTTCATTCTATAACCAAGAAGTCCCTTCTTGTTCAATTCGTTGGTCTTTCAACAAAATTAATGACAAACTGTTGAAGCATATGTTTAACACATTATTATTTTTAAACTGTTTGTCTGACTAACTGAATGAAAAAGCATTTCAACCTCAAGGGTCGGTTTATTTTCCAAGTTACAGCAATATTCACGTCAGAAAGCAAGTCGAGCCTTTTGAGAAGTAGACTTCCGTAGAAGCTAAACCCTAATAATGAGAAAACAATGGAGAAATTTCGAGATTGCTCTTGTTAAAGTTATACCTTATGACATTTGGTGATGGAGTTTAGGATTGGCATTTGTGATGATTTTTAATCTACTCAAAACCTCTTTGATTAAATTTAGGATCATTCGCTCCTATTAGGCCTTTTTGGCCCGATTTTGGTTTCAAATATTCTACAAATAATTTGTCCAATCGCTTACTTAATTGGTTATTTTTATGCGGTTGAAGTCCCATCATTCTTACTATGGCGATTATAAATTATGATCACCAATCAAATCCCAAAAAAATACTAACCGCAAGCTTATGTTTTTAACAATAACTAGCTGGATGACACACAAAATTTAAATTATTGAACGTTGGAAATCGCGTACTTCAAATTTTTTTGCCAGCAAACAATTTTATTGAATTCAAATTTCAAATAAAGTAATTTGCTTTATTCTATAGTTTTATAAGCATTCTGTAATTTGTATTTGATTGGGCATGTTATCTGCTTCGATCGGGTTTAGAGATCATCTTGGTTTAAATATCTTTAAATATTTTTAAGTGGATTATATTTTTTTTAAAAAACAGTAACCAAACTATTTGATCAAAAAGAAAAAAAAAAGTAACCAAACTGTTTTAATGTGAACATACAGAGCTCACAGTCTTCAGACATGTATTTTCTTTTAAGGTTTTGTTCTTTCTTAATTGGGTCCGGTTTCAAATTTCCTTTTTAGACGCTAATCAGTAATCATGATGAATCGTTTTGATTGTCTTCATTATTTTATCAATATTACGTCAGATATCATAAAACTGATGCTAGTGAAGAAACTTCCACTAACTCAGAATAAAAAAATGTATAGTTTAAACTGAAATTATTAATGACATTGGTGGTACATTGTATGTACCAAGGAACTTAATTGGCTTGAGAGATGATGACTGATGAGAATAGTAAGATATCGCAATCTTTCAGATCCTTGTCTTCCTCCTTTTCATTTTTAGATCTCTGTTTCGGTATATTCTCCTTGTTTAAGATAATTATCCAAAATAGCATAGTTTAAAAAATTTGTGAAAACTTAGCATCTTTAGTTAAAATTGACAATAATAACACAAATTTTAATATAAAATAATTCCAAATTTTTTTGAATGGTGAAAAACTAAACTTTAAATAAGAAATAATAAAATCAAACATAATATTTTTCATTTTATCTAAATTTTATTTTAGGTAAACAAATATTTTTTACATAATTATTGTGCTATTTTGAAATTTCAAATTTAAGATACTAGATTTTGAACAAAAAAAAATAATTTTGTGCTTAAAATTAAAGTATTTCTCTATTTTAAATTTTCATCAAAAAAGAAAAACATTCGTGGAATTACAGAACTGCTATTTGTTTCCCTATTTTGAATGTAGAGTTAAAGTAGTGAAAGTTAAAAAACGTTGGAAATCTAAAACCAGACCATCAAATCAAGTGACAAAATTCTTGTACTAACCACTGCATAAAACATAGATTTCGATAACAAAGCTTAATTAATCATTTTGTCGACTTGAAACAATAATTGCTATAATGAGCCCGGTACACCTTCGTACATAGTACACTGCACGACTTGTGGTTAACTATGGAAACTTCATAATTACTCATTCTGCTAAGAATAGCCAATCAAGCAAAAAAAAACTGAAGAATATATATTTTTTTCTCTTAAAAGTGTCAAATCTATTATATTAAAACAGAAGCATTTTTAGTGTTTGCTTCTAAACACTCTTAAAGTTTTTTTTTAAATTATTTTATTTTATATTTATATTTAATTCCGAAAATTAGGTATTAATTTAGATATTTTTAGATTCTCCTTAAATATAGGTGACAATTAATTTAAAACATTTATTTTATATTAATATTTAATTTCGAAAATTAGTTATTAACTTAGATATTTTTAAATTTCCTTAAATATGGTTATATTTAAATAAAATTTCAATTATTCAAGATTTTTAATAACTATATATAATTACGAAAATTTATATCTAATTTAATTTAAAATTCAAAAAATTTAAAAAATTTATAATTAAATTTTATTTCAAAAATTTAGGTAATAATTTTAATTACTTTAGAATTCTTTAAATAAAAATTTAATTTTAAATTTTAAATTTAAATTGTACTTTCATAATATCGCAAATGGTAAACGAATATTTTATTATATTTTATCATAATCAAACGGTCTAAAATATCAAATATTTAAAATAAATAAATATTTATATTTTACAATAATATGATGAAGCTGATTAAGGTTATGTATTATTATATTTCAGGTCCTATACGGTTAATTTGTTAAAACATGTAAGATATTAAGATAATTTGAGGTAATTAAATGAACAAGTTAGCCAATATATAGATATATCTATTTTTATAATAACACTAATGGTACTTGAATATCTTATTATATTTTATCATAATTAAATCGACATAAATTCAATATTAGTAAATATTTTAATATTATAATAATATGATAGAGCAGGTTAGGGTTATGCATTTATAATTACATTCTTATACAAGTTAGTTTTTAAAAATATGTAAGATATTAAAAAATAATTTAAGGCAACTAAACAGATAGATTAGCCAATTCATAAGCATATAGATTATTTATATGTAAATTCACATAATTAAAATCACATAATTAAATTTACATAATTAAAATCACATAATAACAAAATTTATAATTAACATTAGATCGAAATATACTTAATTAACTCATATTATAATTCTACTAATATACAAATCTATACTATTTAAAGTTAAAACATAATAACAAAATGTCCTGCAAAAATATAGCTCGACACCAGGATGATGAAAAACTTAACACATCTCATTCTTATTATTTTTTCATATTTGAAAAATGAATATTTTTGATTTAAGAAAATAAATAAATAATAAAAACAACTTATATCTAAACAAAAATAAATAAATACAAATTATATTAGGAAAAAAAATCAAAAATTCCCGTGCGGATGCACGGGTTTAGAATCTAGTATTAGTTAACAATGGACACGAATGAACTCGATTAATACTTCCTAGAAAATTAGATTTTAAACTCTAGTAAAATATCATTAGTTATATGCGATTTGTTTGTCTAGGCTAGATTTATTGGGATAATAAAATGAACAATGTAGTATGGGGTATTATATACTTAAAGAATGCTTAGGTTTCCGACAAGGTCAGCCATAAACCCAAGCAAGACAGTTTGAGTTTACCACTGTAAAAATTCTATATAATTTAGTTTTTATGAATTGGTTATAATATTTTTCCTTCTAAATCTCACTAATAATTTGGCTCTAATTTTGCTGGACTTCTCTGATTCCCAATATCAATATGAGTTTGGTGCATGCAATCCAATTTTAATTTATTTATATTAAAAAAATCGTAGATGTTAGAGAATCGTGGTCATTTTACATTTTCTATGAGATTAATTACCTTATACATAAGTATTAAGTATATGTTCCTCATGAGATGTAGAATTTTTTTTTTTTTGGTATTTGTAATACAAATATACAATGAGTTGATAGTTATTTGTTGTATTGAGTTTGAATTTGGAGACTAAAGAAAATTGAATTTCCACCGTTGGAGACTCTTCTTTTTAAGCTTTCGGTTTGGTGTATGTGTGTACCTTTGTCGACATTTTCGGCTTTTATTATTTTCACCAACCACGTGTTTTCTTTAGCTTTGCTTTCTCAATCTCTCTTATTTCAGTTTCACTTAGCCAAATTGTTAAGTGATCAATTTTCAAAGAAAACCGATTAGTATATTGAATCTAAATCTAGTTCAGTTCGATTACATTATAATTTTAGTTTCAGATAGGTTTGATCTTGGAACAAAATTTCTCATTAATCTAATAGATGAAAATTTATAGAAGAAAATTTAGGTGGATTCGAAAACAATATAATATTAATAAAAATATTTAAAAATAATTTGCGTGAGTTTATTTAACAAAAATAATAGTAAGTTGCGTGTATACTTAGATACTAGATATAAACCAACTTGATATAAATATAACTCAATGCGTAAAGGAAACAGAAAGATAAAAAGGAGGAGGCATCTTCTAGGATTAACCAAGTGTACTTTGAGAAGCGACTGATAAAAAGAGGACAACAAATTAATTTGAAGTGTGTATTTACTCATAAAGACAAACAGAGGAGATGGGGAATACAAGAAAAACGAGTCCGAAGAAAACAAACAAATATATGTAGCATGAGGGATGATTAGGATTTTTTCATATGACACAAACAAATTTTCTCATTTGTATAAGAGAACTGTATCCAACAAATAGATATCAAAGGCCTGGTTTAAGTAATTATACAATTACTTTGTGTTATATACTTTAACAAAAGGAAAAATTCGCTTCATTTATATCAGTGTTTAATTATTTACTGTATTTACTAAACTAATTATAAATGATACACTATCGTATAATAAAAATATAAACAATCATATATGCAGCATAAGGGCTTACAAGAGGCGCGGTTCAGCATACAACATATACATACGTCCTAGGATTTATTAAAAAGATTACAATCATAATCGTTTTACGAATATCACGTACTCTGAGAATCATTAGTACGTAAAACATTAACCTCGTACGCAAACCACTGGATTAAGGAATAGGGATGCTTTTATAGTTCTATACATATTATGCAGTGAATCAAAAACACAAGCAAGTACTCCTTGGATTCTTTCGCACGTGATGAAATTTGTCTTCACTTAAGAAAATAAAAATTTTGCCGTTGTACATATATATAGATTTTTATTTTTTGGTTTTGAACTTTATTGTACATATATATATGGGAGAAGTTAAAATAATTAATTAAAATAAAGGGACGGAAACTGGAGAAAATGAAGGATGATATGATGATGGGAAAGAAGAAAACTAGTTTGGGACATCTCGAGTTCTATAACCTAGGAAAACTCAAAAGCTACCTCACTCTATTTTCTGTTCATAGCTTTAGACAACACTTATCTACGTTTCATTTGTCCACGTTTTTTAATTTTCCTTTATTTCTTTCACAAACATGTTGTACCACTTCTCCCTTCGTATGTCTAAATCTTTCTATATATATAATTTATAATGCGAGTATAGATATTTTGGTGGACTACGCAAACTGTATCATGTGTCTAATAATATGCTTGTTTCTACAGAGCTTATAATGATGAAATTAAGAAGTAAACACTATTTTGATTTCAAACGTAAACATTCTATTGGTTATGCTTGCGATTATATTATGTCTTTATATAAAACAAAACACAATAGTTATTTTTATTAATTATTCTTTACAACAATATAAAAGAAACGTGTGACATTAATAATATAATCTGATGAGAGTTTAAGAAATAGAGAATCACAAGTTATGCTTATAAGTTATATGGGGACGTGAAATGTGATTCGATTTTAGGGTTCGCCAAGTGAAGAGACAAACTCGGATCTTTGAGAAATCTAGGTTTAATCTTAAAGCCTACAAACATATCATAAACGAATTCGAAATCCAGTTGAATCTAAACCAAAGTTGAAATCTCCCGGCAATTAGTGATCTCTCAAGTGTATAGGTCTCGGACATTAAAACCGTGAACGATCCAAATACGTAAGACGAAGCATCAGAAATGGGCTAAGTCAATTACATTATACCCAACATTCTGGGCTCAAATGGAAATATCATCACAACTTCGTGAGGCCCAATTATGTCAGCCTCACGATAATCGGCCACATCGTAGAATACTAGAATCCACTTATCCACAAATCACAATCGAAGCTGTATTTTTTTTTTTTTCCAAAAATCCTTCGAAAATTAAATAAATATCATTTACTGGACGTTGATCTAATGGTCCCTAAGTTTCTAACCCTCACCCAACTACTTAGTACTCGATTATTATTACTCATATTAAATAAAATTAACAAGAAATCATGTGCGTATGCTAAATTGCTAATAAATATCTACCACCAAACAAATTAATTGAAGTGTTCCTTAATACTTCACAATGATTAATAAGCATTAATAAATATTACTTCTCTATGTTTTGGATTTTTTTTACATAATAAACAAAAACATTTATAAATTGTTTATTTTATCTCTGCTAATATGGTTTTTGAATTTGGACTTTAGCTTTCTTTGTTTTTTTTGGTCGATGACTTTAGCTTTATAAAAAACACTTTCCTTGTTGAAATCCCAGTGCAAAAAGTCCCTCATAAAAATAAAAAGTTGTGAAAAAACAGTTTTTTTTGCTAAATGTGAAAAAAAAACACTTGATAAGCTGTATTCCATTGGACCATTACTATTTCTTTTCTTTGAAACCTTTTGGTATTTGATAACTGATAATTCATGTGAATAAATCGTATCGAACAAAAGAAGCGAAATGCTTTGTGGTTATCCTTGTTAACCCATTTTAGAAGAAAGGTAACGTTCTCTAACTTTTTGGATTTATCGTATACGTACTTAAATCATTCTTGTTTTTAGTGAATTGCTCACTAAATTAAATGTATAACTTAGTCCCACAGATCCCACATGCATATGTTTACCATTTCCAAAGTGACCCCAACCAATGTAACTTGAAAAACTAAAGAGATGTCAACTATATCATCCACTAGTAAATTAGATAAACTTCCTCTCTATTATTTTCCTTATAATATTTCCAAAGATATTTATGGAAAATTTTAATAAATTGGCAAGTTGCGAAAGTGTTACACCGAAGCGCAACCACAAAAACACAGAACTCTATTTTTTTTTTTATACCTCTGTATTGTAAAATCTGATGTAACTCTGTCTTCTTCCTTTTTCTACCTTTACCAACATGCAACTTGAATGGTATAGCTTCGTTAATGAGCAACAACGAGTCAACAATATATTCACACACATAACAGGCTTATTGATATATACGATGAAGGATTCAATTTTCAATTACAAATAACACTCTAGATTCTACCAAAAAAGTTGTCATTACTTAAAAAGACTTAGAATATAGCTGTGAAGTTAAATACCTAAGTTACTCATTATATATGTATCTATGATTGGTAAGACGAAAACGGAGGTACGTTTTGAAAGACCGCCACGACTCGATCCAACCGCACTATCCACAATACTTTGTCGCAGTTCACTAGTTTTGTTCAAGTGAGATGCGCAGCGCAGTTATTCTTTATTGTCATATTTTGTGAGCTACAATTAAACCGAACAACAACCATATCCAAGTTAAAAACGGTTTAGAAGTAAACTGTAAAATTTAAATAGTCAAATTTTATAATGATAAGTATTATATATAGTCTACTGACTAAGCTATATTTATTTCGTTCACTCCGTATGATTCATTTGTTCTGCACCATCCATTTTGGTTTTTATTATTCAAACACTATAAATCATCGCCCAATTAAGAAAGATCGGATAAGAAACCACATGGACGAAGATCAACGGTAATCACATGCATGCTTTTCGACTTCTGTGGACACTGGACAGCACCAAAGCCAATATCTTCGTGATCATGTCTCGTCTTATTAAAAATAACAAAAAGTGCAAATCCTATCATTAAAACCCATGTGGATGTATATGCATATCGATCAATCTCACCCTATTCGACATTAAGACATATGATTTCTCCCTTCAATAACAAAGTAAACCTATCATTTTATCTTTTTGAAAGGTCACAATAAAATCCACTTGCACTTTATGAATAATACGTGTGAAATCTCGATGATTGGCTATATACAGGGAAGAATAATACATCAATGCGTTCAATTATCAGATTTTCTTTTTTTTTGGACATCCAATTATCAGTTCTTCAACTGTATAATATGATCGACATATATGTTTAATGCCAAAAAGTTTTTTGTAAAATTATTACCTTTTCAGTCTTTCTAGTGATTTCAAATTGATTGTTGTAGATTTGTATAACAAAGCTGTAGAAAATTATTAGAGCACGCTATCGCCACCGTTTCTATAGGAAAAAGAACTTATCTGAACCAAAACTTTATATCATCAATTGAGCCTAACCCTAAATACATGCAACTGTAAAATCAACCTCATAATCAGTTACAAATTAGTTATCAATCAACTTAAAACAAAGATTAAAGGTTACTGAGAAATCCCGATACTACTTCGTGCCCATCCTATTAGGTCAGTTGATAATAAACAGATGAAACCATGTTTATACGTGATATTTGATCGAAACCCAAATACTCTCAATTCCATAGATACATTATTATCATTTTAATTTTTTTACTTCATTATTTAAAGTTTATACAAAGACCAAGTAAATGCCAATAATAAAAGTCCGTGATTAAATTAGTAAAATTCGATCACTAGTCTAAACGCATAGGCAAATCTTTCACCACTTGAATACCGAGGCACTGGATCTGGTAATCCGTTTTCCAACTATTTGATGGCTTTTTTTTGCTTTTAAAGTAATAAATCATGGGTTATTTTGCATCTCCGTAATTGATCACATGTCAAATATGATAGTGAAATCTTATTTATAAAAGGAAAAATGTAAAACAGATAATACGTAATATGGTTCATGAAACATCCATCCCAATCACGCAACTTCCACTTTTGTTTTGCTGCCCACCTCATCTTCCTTTTCTGCTTTCAGGGTCCATCTTCTTTTCTACTCCACTATTTTTGTTAATCTTCGATCGAGTAATAGTAATACTAGTCCCCAATCATATTTGATGGGAAACAACGTATCTTATCTCTAATCATACAATCCATATCACTTTTGAGCTAATTCAATCGCTAAAGTTACTAGACTGAATTTATTACTTATTGTTATGAATTATTGATAGTTCTAATGTCGTATATAGGGAGAAGACTCAATAAAGTTAAAGCGCAGACAAATTTAAAAGGAGTATGTCGACACGCATCAATATACATATGAATCTTAAAAAGTTTATGAATCAATATGAATTAGACAAAAGAAAAGATAAAAACTGATCTACATAACCCCAAGAGAGAGAAAGATTTACAAAAGAGGATGATGTCCTAATCATTCCAATGTAAGAGACGTGCAAAAGAAAAGACATTGAGAATGCATAAAAATTGACTCTTGAACATTCTTAAAGAGTCATCATAAATATCATTTATTGATAATGGAATCTTTAAGACACCATTCTTAACCACACGAATACAACACCACACAAACACCCTCTTGTCTCTGCCTCGTGACGCAACAAATCGGCAACAAAGACCCAAAAAGACACACAAAAGATGCAAAAGACTGGAACTTTTTTTCCAAGATCCCGCGATACCCATCAAGAATCCATCAAGAACAAGAAACACGAATCGAATCTAGAACCCAACAATATATTACAGACAGGAATAAAAAAAAAAAAAAAAGACAAGAATCCATTCAAATTGATGAAATGAAACAAATCAAGCAGGTGTAGAAGTCCAGAAAATGTCCTTGAGAGCTGGTCTAAGAGCAGTACTGCAAAAGTTATTGTACTCGAGAGTATCTCCATGATCTTTCTTCACCTCCACGACGACAAACGACGGAGCCACCGCGAATATCTCCGCCTCCACCGCTAATTTCCCTTTCCGGCCATTCTGTTTCCCTTCGATCCTCACTCTACTCTCGCTCTTCCTCACATCGAACTTATTCCCAACTTTCGCCGCTTCTTCAAGGCTCGATATCACACTGCTCGCCGGACGAGAAGTCGCGAATCTCATCTCTCTCTTCTCCTCTTTCTTCTTCTCCTCAAACAACGGCGAAAGATCAAACCCTTCAGATAACGCGATGATATGAAACGCGTTTAGCGTCTCCGTCTCTTCTTTCGACTTGTGCACGGAGAAATCAAGATCCTGATCAGCCTCACCTTCTGTGGCTACCGAAGTTGGTTCCTTTTTGGATCTCGTTGCGGTTTTCTTGAACCAGGTCGAATCCATGACCTTGTCGATGGTGATTCTTGTGTTCGGATTCGGATCAAGAAGCTTCGTCACGAGCCTTCTCGCGTCAGAGGAAAGCCATCCAGGACATTTGAAATCTCCTCTGTAAATCTTCCTATACATGTTCACAAGATTATCATCTTGGAAAGGCAAATAACCAGCAAGAAGCACAAAGAGTATAACGCCACAAGACCAAAGATCCGCCTTTGCTCCGTCGTATCCTTTCTTCAGTATAACCTCCGGCGCAACATACGCCGGAGTTCCACAAGTCGTGTGGAGAAGCCCGTCTTGCTTCAAATGCTCTGTGAAAGCAGAGAGACCGAAATCAGTCACCTTGAGATTCCCTTCTTCGTCTAACAACAGATTCTCCGGTTTCAGATCTCGGTGATAAACTCCACGGCTATGGCAAAAATCGACGGCTGAGATCAATTGTTGGAAGTAGACGCGAGCCACGTCCTCGCGTAGCCTTCCTTTAGCGACCTTGGCGAATAACTCGCCGCCACGTACGAGCTCCATCGCGAAATAGATCTTGGATTTGCTCGCCATTACTTCGTGAAGCTCGACGATGTTTGGATGTTTCACCATCCTCATCACTGAGATCTCTCGCTTGATTTGCTCCACCATCCCAACTTTGACCACTTTCTCTTTCCCGACGACTTTCATCGCCACGCTTTTCCCCGTCGTTACGTTACGAGCGTGGTACACCTTCGCGAATGTTCCGTGACCTAGAAGCCGGCCTAGCTCGTAACGGCCGTGAAGTAGCCCCGTAGTTATTCCACCGTCAGATCCGTTCTCCACCATTTTCTCCGGCTTTGATCCGACTATAGTTTTTTTTTTTACAACGAAAATTTTGAAAAAAGAAATGGAAAAAAAAAAGATTTCTACGGTTTCGATCTTCTGGGAATTCGAGAGCTTTAAAATTGGATCACCCGTCCTCGACGTGTTTCCGGTGGCAATTCCTGCCGCCGACAGATCGGTTAAACCGATCGCACAGCTTAGTCTTCACCGGCGAAACTCCGACCATCTCTCTGCATTCCCTTCAAAGGATTTTTTTCTCTCTTTTATTATTTCTCAAAATCAGTAGAAGAAGATAGAGAAAGAAGAATCTGAGTAAAACACGAAACTCTCTCTCTCTTTTTTTTACACCGGATAAGAGCAGAAAAAAGAGAAGTGTTCGTTTATATAGATCTTCACACCTCTGAAGTTACGTGAATACCCTTATTAGTGAGTGATAATAACACCGTTTAATCTCCACACACTGACCGACAGGTGTCGAGTGATTTTCTTGTGGCGGCTTCGGGATTGTCAACTATTAGAGAGAGATGACGACACGTGTCCTTAAATTACCGGTTATGATACGAATTTATTATTCTACCCCTTTAGGCTTTGGTCAAGGATGTGGTTTTTTTGGAAAGTTATTTAGCGCTCTCGTTGACGTCCTACTTACCATTATTTACATAATACAAGTGCAATGCACATATGATAATTGTGGCCTGAGGGGAATATCATAATTATGATTTATATAAGGTTATGTATCTACAAAGATGTACATTAAAATAAATCTTGGTATCATAATGTAGGACCTGATCATTTTCCAAATATTCCTAGCTATAATGTGTTTTCTTTCATTTTTGTTTAATCGTTTTCATTGGTTGTGGTCCTTGTGGACCATCATTATATGTGTTGATTCTAGGGTTTTCTACTGCATCTCTTTGTTCTTTTGTACACGAAGAAGACAGTAGATAAAACGTGAAGTTCTTTCCTCTAGACTCTAGTTCATGTCGAGATTAGTTTTCGAAACAGGTGTCATATGAAATGAATTTGTTACAATTTTAAAGTTTTTTTCTGTAATTAATGTTTGAAAATAACATGTAAAATATATATATATATATATATATGTTGATGAGGGATGAGCTGTGTATATAAAATTCGATAAAAACCTAAAGTTCCTTTGTCTAATGAATCGATATATTAGTTTCATGCATGGTTCTATACAATATAGGGATCATATCGAGAATATGTATTTTAGGATGGTTGAAATGATAAACTATGATTCTCAATGTACTGATCAATGAGAGCATACATCATGCATCAAAGAATTTCCGGTATATCTAGGCGACAAGTTTCACGAATTTAATTTGCGGTTAACCAATGCATGAGGGCCGACTGGCTGAGCATAGTATTGGGATTAATCTAAAATCATGTATATCAATTGTCAATTTGTCGAGGAAACAATTTGGATGGTTAGCAGCACACATCTAGCAATTAGGAACTTTTTGATTTCTTAAATATATTTATATAATCGACCAAGAGAGGGAAGACACGTGCATAGGCTTTGTATAGCTACGAAACGTATGTACGAAAGTGTATACAAATCACGTACGTATATATAAATCATTGAAGATACGTATATACATCATCACCACACCATACAATATAAGTTGTGTTCAAATTACTTTATAATACCTTTTTTGGTCGAATTTTAACTTTATAGTACTATTATCTACTTAACTTTTTATGGTTATCACGTTTATTATGAGGTAGACAGTATTAAAACAATTCTCTATTGACAAGTGACAATCATTACAAAATCATGCTATCATTAAGTTGATTTTTTTTAACAAGTATTTAAAATCGAGTGGTGATGCATACACAATACCAAAACAAACGAATAGAAAAATTATAAATTCATGATGCACTTTTCAGGAATAAGATTAGTGATTTAAAAGCACGGTAACGAGTTTAGTTTGATAAGGTCATACAAAACTAAACCGCGATCCAAAAGTTTATTAACTTTGGTTTCACATGGAATTTTTATTTTGAAATAGTAAGAAAAACAAAATCTGAAGGAAAAGTAAAGAAAAGAAACTGCATTCAATGACCCAACAGGCCAACACGATGCTCTTTCCTCCTCAGCCACCAGAAACATTTGGGCGGCTCTCAGCGTCTGTAATCCCTACCCTCTCTCATGTGGACATTTTCCTCCTTATAATTTAAAGTATATCATTTTAGTTTTGAAAAATACTAAAAGAAAAACTAAAGTTGCACTTCTGCTTGATCTACCAGATAATGTTTTTGATATCCCGAATTACCAGTTTTCCATCATATTTCCAAACTCGATTCTCTTTATATAAACGGAAATCGATCGAGCCACTAGTAAAAATTTGTTACTTAATTCATGTATTTCTTGCAAGTTACTTGTTATTACTTTAACCAAAAGTAAAGCTTGTCATTGAGAACTAAATGAGAACAATTGTTGGAATATGTTGTTTGAAGCAGTCTAATTTATATATATAACCGCACTGACTGGTGACCACAGTCAATAAACTAACTACACTCCAACTGCATTTCGTATTCACCACAAAACAATGTGCGACTAGAGCAGTTTGGAAAAAGTCGATCGCACTCGCCATGCACTCGAATAGCTTTCTCTCTCGTAGGCCTTAAATAAACATATATCCATCAATTTAATTACTACTAAGTAACTTGCTTGTGCATATTTGTATAATTGTATTCACGAGACTGCTTCGTGGCCTTCTTTTCTGCCTTCTCTGTTGCTTCTCGTCAATAATTTATCTGAGACACACATACACTTGCACAAACACATGAAGAGAGGAAGTATTAAAAAAATATACTATTATTGCTGACATGCATGGAAAAAAACAATCTTTAATATAATTTGATATTCCTTATATAAAAATCTGATGTTGTTGAATGGAGTACAGTAGCATTTTCAATGATGCCAGTTTTGATTGTTTAATAATTTCTGATGCCATTATTAATTGAATCTCAAATGATGTATGTGATATTATGGAGAAAACTTAATTTTGTGTAGTATACATGGACATACAAGTATACAAATGGAGCCTTATAAATCAAATTAGAATTATGATAACAATTGGGAAGAAAAAGAAATCCTAACCCTTTCAAAATAAGAGGTACATATTTAGTTTAACTTTTTTTCTCTTTTCTTTTTTTTTTTTGTTATCCCTAGCTAAGAAGCTGAGCTCAAGGAAAACAAATTAAACGTTATAATTAATACTTTTACACAATGAGGTATCCCCTCAAGCATTGTATACTTTTGCTTCATGTTTTGATTGTAATCAATGTTTCTATTGGAGTTGTTTGGATTCTGTATGATTTGTAGCTAGGAACTACATGCAATCTGGTTTATTGTTTGTGTGCGGATACCAAAAGACTCATAAAACAAATCAACTAACAAAAAGAAACAAGTTCATATGAGTTTTAGTCATTATCTTAATGGTGCAGCTGGAATAAACCTAAACAATGCTTTAATTTGTTGAAATAATTGCATGTTCTCGTGCTAGTTTAACAGGAAGAAAAGAGAGAAGCAAAAACAAAAACAATCACAAAGAAACAAAAAAGATGGGCAGGCGTTTGCTGGTTCAGGTTCTATTACATGATGACGTAATCATGGGACCCACTTAGGATATTCCCTCATACTTTGGTAGGCGGTGTCTTGCCACTGCCTCCCTAGGTGGGCCCATTTCCGTCGCCAATAAAAGTTTTAATTACCAACCAATATTCGAGTATATTCTTCTTTTCCTAAATTACGATACTCTAATCAAACATAATTATCATTAATTCAGGTCGTATTTTGCTAGTCCGTTTTGAGATGATTGCTGACGATAATTCACAAAGGGATAATAACGACGTAACTAAATCAAAGAATGTAAATTGATAAAATTTCATCGAACAGAGTAAAACACACGCTAATTAACAACACATCTTTCTTGATTAACAAAAAAAAAGCACACGCTATTCTCATTTTATTTATTTTCTGTAACGTTACTTTTCAGAATTTCCGGGTGCTGCTTAACTACAAGTTATTTCCCAAACTACTTTTTTTTTAAGAGATTGGATTTCACCTATCAAGGCACACATATTAAAAAACACACCTGTTTGTTCAAAAAAAAAAAAACACACCTAGTTTAGTTACCGAGTTACAGTTTTTTGGGTTAATGTTTCGCACCACATGACACATCCACATGTCATGTAACTTGCTAGAAAAAAATTGTGTTATTGTTTCATCAATTCATCATCATTGTCATTATGAATCAAATTAATCCTTTGTTTGTGGAAAACCAGCAAGAAGTATACCGTGTGACATAATTGCACGTCAAAGCCAAAACAATAACATGAAAACTGCATGCAGGTACATTACTTGCAATATGAATTATCAATAACTTATACAAAATGATTTATTTTTTTTTGTCCTTAAAAACACCCCGAACATACCATCATCTTGTCTGTGATGCAAGCCTATAAATCCTTTTTTTTGTCTTCTTCTCCTCTTATGACGAACAAAGACGTTTCGACTGTCACTAGACAACGACAAACCCGTAGACATTCAAATAATGCTATAGGTTTGATACTTCGATTCGTATATTTAGTATTTGATTTCATTTCCTGACAGATCATATTACATCCCATTTTGAATGGAAATTGATTTGCGCGCACAATAATTTTCCAAAAGTTGTTGGACATTTACATGGTCCAATCAAAACACGTTTTATCATTACATATTTACGGTACATATTTAATCTACTCGTATTGTTCTTAATTATGACTTTATTTTTAAAAACTCGTAAATACTGCGGCCTTGCGGGTTAATTATTTATATGTGAAAAAAACACACTCTGTCTACCAACAAAAAAAAACAATCATATCAATATATAGTAATATCTGAATACTAAAAAAATAACAATTATATAAATATGTGCATATATATAACATCCACAAAATATTGCTTCTATAATATATATGAATCATGCATGTCATTCATTCAAATGGGTTTCGTTTATTTCAGATATGATTTAGAAAGAAAACGCCGAATTGTTGATCATAGATAAAGGAGGTTTGTATTGAGTTGACAGAGTTTTATTTTTTCAAAAAATTGTTTTTCTTTCGTCTAATTTTTGGTGGACGAGATTGGAGAGAAATGGATTGATTGCAATGGCAATAGCATCGGTAACTAGCGGACAAGTGGCTTCACATGGAAGCTCTGCAAAAAATCAATAATGGTGTATGTTTGGTTCTAACCTACAATTTTTTATAGGTCATTGATTGTGATAAGACATCAAACAAACGAAAATTATTTTTAACGAACTTAACTAACAATAGTAAGACGG